ATTGGGGTTGTCTCCGCATTGATTTGAGAAACTTGCGATAGTGAAGTTTACAAACGTGAAGTTGATGCCGTGCTTTCTTGTATTTGTTGTTGAACACTTGGCTCTAATATCATGTAAAGAATCTAAGACCATGGTTGAAGAACAAAAGAAAAAATAAAGGGATTAGAGAAGAAGAATGTTGTTAAAAATAAAGTGATTAATTATTTAATGAGAGTTGTCATATCTTTATAAAGGGTTGAGTAGATAATTATAGCAAGGGTGTCATTGAGGAATTGTAACAACACAATGATGTAGCATATTGTGAAAATAATTAGGTAAGGTTTTTCATGGAAATAAAATATTAGTGATCTTGAATTTCTTGATGGTCTAAGGTGTCCTTTTCAGCATGACCTTTATGGCCCTTCCTCCTTTGTGAAGTTGAACACTGTTTCTCAAAAAAATACAAAACTATCTCATTCTAGTGTTTTTAATTTGAAATAAAGAGATAAATTATTATTAATAAATAAAGTCTCTTTTAAATGAGATTATGCTGGCATATTTTTGAAGTAATCGATGGTTTGGGCTCATTTGGTCTACATCAGCAATACCCATAGTAGTTTCTCTATCACTTGATAGGGAAAGTAAAATAAAAAAATATATTGTTGAGTCTTTGAAAATAATAATGAAAATGAGAGTGAAAAAGAAAACATACTTAAATCTATTTTGAACCAAATATGAAACTTTTGGTTTTCTAGATTAGCATACTAAGGTCATCAAAATTATACAGCTTTTTCTCTTGAAGTAATTGAAGACTTAATGAGTGACTTTGACAATAACCCTTTATTTGTAAACAATAAGGGGTTTGCCTCTTGATATCATCTCAAATTTTTCCAATCAAGAAATTAGAACATGACTTGGTCTCTACACATATCTAACTTCATACTTATAATGTCATAATCTTTCATTTATTTTTAGTGTATCACTTTAAATATTACTTAAGAGAATGTCATAACATTTAATTCATATATATATGTGCTCACATTGATATCAAATTTAATAGTATCCGTCTTATACGTGAATATGATAATTAGATTTTTTATACTATGATCTTATGATCTCAATAAAGTATTATCATTACCAAAGACATCAATATATTTCATCTATCATCACACCAATATAGGACCAAAAAGGCTTTCATTATATTTGTGTATAATTCACATATATTGATATAATAAATGACATATAACAATTAAAAATATGTAACATAAACATTATATGTAATTAAAGTCAACATGTACATTTCAAAATATGCCCCTTAACTTTGTTTGGAGATCAACTAAATATGTTTAGAGTGAGAATAAATATAAATTACATTCTTATATAAAATAGTCGAAGGGTGTGTCTATGACTAAATGAATATCAAAATACACCATATAGTCTCTTTAGAATCATATATCCTCATGAAGAATTATACCATATAAGCAAGATACTTGACTACTCTAAACCCTTAACAACTACCTTACTATCACAAAATATCTTTATATATCTTTCAATTACATTCATAATTTACAACTACAACTAAGAGGCCGATGTTGTTCTTAATGAATTGTATGTTGCATCCAACAAATTCGAAATTAGAGTCCCAATAATTTTCAACTAATCTAATTTCATTTATACGATCATATAGTTATTTATTTTTTAGAGTTATTACATGGCCCTTTTAGTTAACTTTTATTAATCAACACCTAGAGTACTTATGTACCTAGAATTTCAATAATATACATAATATTCATAAGACTTCATATAATTGACACATAAGAAATCTTCTACATCCTTTTAGCATCATAATCATTTTTATAATTAACTTGTCCCACTTGACAATAAGAGTATCACCTAGTTTATAGTATTATATGTCAAATATTTCAAGAACTTTATTGATATAGATTTTATGTGACAACTCAAGAATATTTTGATATTGATTTGGGTATATCTTTATGCCCAATACAAAAAAGACATTGATATCCTTTTATTTATAGAAATCTTTTGATTCACATAATAAACTTATATCGTGATTGACAAATAATATATCATCGACATATAAAATCATAAAAATATACTTACTTTCACTAAGTTTGTCTTTACTTTCACATAATTTTGAAATATATTGAATTAGATTTTTTATGTTTCTATTTATTAACTATGTTTTACCAACTATTTGAGACTAATTGGCATTACTGAATTTCTAGAAATTATCTTCTAAAGAGTTTGTCAAAAATAAAATAATAAAATAAATTTTATTAAAAATTAATTTATTAAATAACGTAATTTAAATAAATAATTTCTTTAAAAACTATGTTTGAATCCGAAGGACATCATTTGTCTTTTTTTTACACAATAAAAAATACTATTTTTAAAAATCTCTCCACAACTACAAAAAATGAATTTCAAAGATCCAATATTTTTCATATTAATAATAATGTTATTTAACCAAATATAGAGTTTCATCAAAACCCAAAGTTTCTTTCTAATTGAATAGAGTTTAATTCTCAAAGTACTTGTTCTCATAACAAGTTTTTGAGAATGCATAATTGACTTCTATGAAATAAAAAGTTTTATTGCACGTGAGATTCTTTATTTTCTTGACCAATGCCATAAGTATCCAGATCTTAGGTAAAATCTTCACCATGTTCACACAATTCTTTGAAGTGATTAAAGTAACTTATTTCAAAACCAAGACTCACGAAAAAAATATTTTCTTACTCAATGTATATAAGTTGATCAAACTTTCTAGACTTATATTTGATAATAAAGTAAAATTATGGATAAATAAATTCATTTGGTATTCATTCAATAAAGAATAATCTCAATATTTATGTACTCAAAGTTTTATGACAAGTGAATAAGATAAACTCATGTTCAATCAAATGATATCGTCAAGTGTATAAAACTCTGAAAATAACATAAATTTTAATGTCTATATTGTCTATTTATTTTTAATATTATATATATTTTTCATTATATGGAGTAATTGAATGACTTTCTAGGGACAACACAACTCTACTTGAATGATGGAGGCATCATATTTACTTTTCAATGTTTATTAAATTTTGACAATAGTAAAACTAGAGTATAACATAACTTTCTTTAATTAGTTCAAAAATTTTACCTACTTCATCAATCTAATTGAAATTTTTTTATGTATTATATTATCACATCAATAATATAACTCAATTTTGATAAATCTTCTATAAAAAGATTCTAATCAATAAAAACTATGCACTTGATATTTATTCCTCATTGTTGCTCAATCTTCAATTGCTCTGATTTTCTCTTTATATATTTTAATACCATTTTCACTAAGTACGCATCTTAAAAATATAATATTGTTGGTAATGAAATTAAATTTCTGTAAATTTATATCATTCATTTTCATGTAAAACTTAGAGTATTGCTCTCAAATGATCAACATGTTCTTCCTTATTAGTGATGTAAATCAAAATATTATCAAAATAAAAGACAATATGTCTTAATAAATGATTTAGAAAATGAATTGATCATTCTCATATAAGTATTTGGGGTATTTGACACCCAAGCAACATAACCAATCATTAATGTAAACTTACCTTTATTTTAAAAGTAATATTATATTTATTTGTAAATCAAATTTGAATATGATAGCATCTACTTTTAAAATCAATTTGAGTAACATTTTGATCCACAGCACATGTAAAGCATATCATCTATTGAAATAGAAATTTATATTAAATGTGATTTTGTCAATTAGTCTAATGTTGACACACCTAGGTTCGTTTCTATCATTTTTGAAACTAATAATGTACAAATAAAACATAGACTCATGTTTTTTCTAATCAAGCCCTTCGTCAATAATTCATCCACATATTTATGAAGAATTTTATTTTCTTCTAAACTCATTATGTAATGAAAAAGAACTTTACACAAAAAACTAGAGCTAAATTAGTATTCTTGTACTTTATTGACGTTCAATAATATTTCAAGCCATCTTTTGAAATTTACTTTTTTACGGTGCAATTTCAAAGTGGGCTCCATTTTGAAGAACTAGTAGTATAACAACATAATATGGACTCATGCTTTATATAATCATCCCATCATGAATAGTTTATCCAAATATTTATTTTCTTGTAATTATGAGTTGATATTATGTTGTCCAAGATTTTTTTTATTGACCTGAAATTTACAGAGAACTTTTCTAGAGGTTAATTACCTAGTGAATACTACAATAGTGAATGTATGATAAAATATATTATTTATTATTATATCTTGTGTCAACATTAAAACATTTCAAGGTTTCAAAACTCGAAACTATGCTTGCTCAATTTTTGTGTTAATTCGATCATATTTTTTGCATGCTTAAGGGGAAGGGGTTAGCTTTAGTAAATAATGTTTGTGGGATGATGCATACATCATACATGTACCAAATCCAAACTGCTGGATGGTTCACGACGAGTGTTCCAACCTCCACCAAGAATCAACTGGAATTCCCGTGCGTGATCTATTCAAAGGGGAGAGACAGACTACAAGATTGACCGACCCACTCTTCTTGACAATTCAATTATAGCAACTCACTCTTCTTGAACTCTGACATGAAGCCACCACCCTGGGTTACCTCTTGACAAAGAGTATCGATCTCATCCAATACTCTCCCCACCCCCCACCCCTCTCTCTCTCTCTCTTTCTTTGAGCGAATGTTTTTCTGGAGCTTAATCTTTGAGGACTATCCGCTGCCGCCGCTGCGATCTCCGGCGAAACCCCCGGCAGCGAGAGACCAGTCAGAAAGAGCCCATGAACACAATACGCATCTCTGATATGGAAGAACTATACAATAAGCTATCAACAGAGCAGATCCTAGCCTCCCGTTATTTCCTCTATTGTCAGTGTTCCCGACCAAGAAGAGACGATCGACGGTCATCTCCCCGTGCTCCTCACCCCGCCTCCTGCTCCGCTCATCGCCGCCGCCAGCGGGGGAACCGGCGGAGACTCTGTTAAGGGGGAACCTGCGAGCGCCATGGAGAGCCGCTAATCTCGCCGCTGGTTCTTGGCTTGTATGGCTGCGAGGCGACGTGCTTGAGGGCGACAACCACGTCCCGCATGATGGGACGGACGTGGGGCTGCTCCTGGAGGCACATCGAGGTTATGACGACCAGCTGGTGGAAGGGCCGCCCCGGAAACTGTCCCTGCAGCGATGGGTCCGCCAGCTGAGGGTACCGCCGCCTGTCGCTGAGGAATGGCTGCGACTGAAAACGAAGAGGTTCGCCCACATTTCAGAAAGCGACGTTCAGAGGCCATCGTCACGATGTAGACGTCGTTCATCACCAGAAGCGAAAATCTTGCACCCGATCATTCAAAAAAGGGGAGAAAAAAAACCCATCTCGTGCCATTCCATCGATTGGATGCCACGAAGGGCGGCATATATAGACCGAGATAACATATCTACAGGATCACCACAAAATTCTTTAATAAAAATAATTCAATCGATGAGGAACGATGAAAACTGAAAGCTGAGTACTAAAATGGGAAGAACTGCGAGTGTAGATGGCCTACCCATGACACCAGGCTTTGTTCTCTGGGCCCCTTTGTGCAGTCGAAGGCCTTCCGTCCAGTGACCAGCTCCAGGAGGACAACCCCGAAGCTGTAAACATCTGACTTGGTGGTAAGCTTCCCGCTCATGGCATACTCAGGAGCACAGTAGCCATACGTCCCCATGACCCTCGTCGAGACGTGGGTGTTGTCGCCGACAGGCCCAAACTTAGCAAGACCAAAGTCAGAGAGCTTCGGGTTGAACTCGTCGTCCAGCAAGATATTTGCCGACTTCAAATCACGATATATAACCGGCGGGTTCGCCACGTCGTGCAAATATGCAAGCCCTTTTGCCGCACCGAGGGCTATCTTCACCCGTGCATTCCACCCCAACGGTTCTCTCTCAGGGTGCAGACCTGCCAAAAACGTAGCATCTCATGGATTCCAGGTCTCCGACATGAAGTAACTTAGAGGACTGAGACCCCAAATGCAGATAAACCCCTTGGAAAGCAGGTACAAGTAAGTGGGTGAGGTGTTTGATTCCCATTATATCTGCGGCCGGAACCATTTTAGAACAGGAAACACTCGAGGTTTATATTTGATTCATGGGTCTCTATCAAAGTTGACTCTTGATTGAACTATTAGGGTTCTTCATTCCTAGTTGTTCTAGTATTTTTTGGCGGCCTTAAATCATTTCAGAGTAGGAAACTCTCGATGATCCAAGTTCATTAGAGGGTCTCCTTCGAATCTGATTTGAATGAATTATTAGGGTTCATCATTATTAGATCTCCAAGTATTCACTCATGTTATTTAATGATAAATTTCTTACCACATTGCAGACCATTTAATGGAAGATAGATAATCATGCGATCCAGTATAGATCACATTGTAGATCTCATCGATCTTAAGAGGTAAATGAAGTCCAGATAATATAACTAAAAGTAGCAACAATCAGTGCATAATAAAAGATAATGCAGAAAAAGAGCGTCCGTAATGTAATCTTCAGTCTGTGGAAAGGAAGCTTACCGCAGAGATGGCTTTCCAAGCTACCCTGAGGCATGTACTCGTAAACCAGGAGCCTCTCATCGCCGTCAGCGCAGAACCCAATGAGGTTGACGAGGTTGGAATGCCGAAGAACGATCAGCATGAGAACCTCTACTATGAATTCCTTGCTCCCCTGGAGGCCCTCCCTGTTGAGCTGTTTAATGGCGACTACCTGCTCATCAGAAGAACGCAGCGGAAATCAGACCCCGGAAACCTACGCTACGGCAAGAAGACGAAGAACGAGCAAGGATCTGGGCTCGAATCGGGGAGATAATATGGAGGAAGAAATCTCAGAGGAACTTGCCTGGCCCGACTCCAAGCGACCTTTGAAAACCTTCCCGAAACCGCCTTCTCCCAGAAGATTGCTCTCTTTGAAGTTGCGCGTGGCGGCGGCGAGCTCCCGGAAGGTAAACCTATGAGCCTTCCCGCTCCTCTGATCGTCGAAGGGAGAAGAAGAAGATATCCTCCTCCCGCAGTCTGTCCATCAAAAGCAGCGAAGGCCGGTCTTCACAAATTTCATTCGATTTCCTGCAAAAGAAGAGGGATATGGTGAGGAGGGAGAGGGCGTGAGCGTACCGTCGTGGGCGGCGGGGTTGGTCGCGAGAAAGTGGGTTTTGGAGCGGGCGCCGGAGCTGTCGTCGATGCCACCTGCGGATCCCCCATGGCGAGGGCTCCAGCAGGGGAAGCAACTCATCTTCCCCGACCGTATGCGATGGCTCAGAGATGGAAGGTGGAGAGGAGCGGCCGGGGGGAACCGGCTCCTCCTCCCCACATTGTTCTCGACGACTCAAGAACGAGAGAAAAACACAGGCGAACCCCCACCCCCCTTCTTTAGCTACTGTTCCCCTTCCTTTCCAGCGACTGCCCCGAGCAGATCGGACCAGTAGGAAATGAAAGCGGCCAATTATGTCAGCGTAGGGCGTTAGAGATTATGACCCAGAACCCGTGAACAGAGAGAGAGAGAAGGGAGAACCTTGGAGGGAATGGGGAGAAATGAGGGAAGAAGAAGGAGAAGAAGCAGGAACTCAGCGGCAACGGACCCAACAGAAAGAACCAAGAAAAGGGGGGGGGGGGGGGGGCTGCTTCAGCTGCCCAAGTCATCAAAATACCCACCGCGGCAAACAAATTCCGCCCCAGAAATACAACCAGCTACCCTAAAAAGATCAGTGGCGATTTCCATTTCTCTCCCTCCTCCTCCTCCCTGGCCCGCGTTTTTAGCACGAGGAGAGCCCCCCATGGCGCCAACTGCCAGCAAGAGATTCCACCCCCTCCTCCTCCTCCATGACAGCCTGCTCAAACAAAACCTCCGAGTCCCCCTCCTCCCTGAGAAAGGTTTCACCTTCTTCTTCGTCGTCTTCAGTCTCCCTCACTCTGGAAGTGTCAACTCTCGTGGAATTCATCACCTCTAGCCCTGCGAAGGGGGAGAGGAAGGAGGCGGCGACCCCTCAGACCTAAGTCAACGCCTGCCGAGTTCCAGCCTCGTGACCAAATGGAGCATTCTACTGCTCTTTTGTAATCCGCAGAAAAAGTTGACGAAAATTAATATTAAAATTTATTTTTATGTTTCTAAGGTTTTAAAATAAGATAAATCAGAAGCCTAAGGCCACCGACAGATGTAGGCCCATTAATTAGCTATGGGCTATGGTGTGGCCCAGGCCCATTTAAAACTCGTCCGGTGGGGCCAGGCTTAAGAGCTTGATACGTGGCGGCTTATGGCCGTTTATGTCAGTAAATGATGTTAATAGCCCTACATTGATAGCTACTGTTGAGAGGGATATTTAGGTCATTTGAACCAAGTTTGGACACCAGACGAGCCTATAAAATGAGGTCGTACTGCAGCAGCGTAGTTCAATTGCCGGTTCCCCCTTTTTCTTCTCGATCTTAGACGAACAGCCTTCAGGTTAGGGTTTCCTCCAGAAAGGCCCTCCCCGCCCTCTCGATTGCTTTGAATACGGAGATGATTGATTGTTCTATATTCTCTTTGTTCTTCAGGAGTTGTCCCGTTTGTTGCTTGGACGTTTCGTCTCTTCCTCTGGTGAGGATCATCGTCCTTCTCTGCGTGCGGCAAAGGGGGAGAAGCGATGAGCGTGTACGGCTCTAGGGGGTAAGTTGGAGAGCTGTTTTTATCTCAATTCTCTCAGTTTTCTGCGTTGAAAGTTCTTAATTATTGATTTTTGGATTTCTCGGAGCGTTTGCTGTGCCTAGGGTTGTGTAGTTTTCGTTCTGCTCTAATTCGTCGTTGGTTCAAACGCTCAACCCAAACTATACCGTTGAACTTAGGTCATTGAATCGTAAATTTTTTGGCATAAAAATCAACATCCCAAATTATGTGGGAACGTGGATGATTTCATGGCTTCTTCTGTGATTTGCGTTTTACAAGTGGTCCTTTAGAGTTAATGACTTAAGGACCGACTGCCTGAAGCTATGGGTGAGTTTTTGGATCTGCCATACTATGGAAGTGATAGTCGCCATTGTTGTTTTTTGTTGAATTAAACTGGCAGAGAAATTTTTGAGTTTGGCGAAAAAAAGATAACGCAGATCGCAGCGAAGGTTTTACGGGATTATGTGACATGATGCATAGTTGTATCGTACTTCTATTAGCTTGGACTTGCCTTTAAAGCTCTACATTGCCATAGTTCCTAGAATAACGATTTTAAGACGCCCATGGCGTTAGAAGGCTTCGTTGCCTTCGCACTGATGGGGACCACGTTCTTCTACTCATAGCGTTAGAAGGCTTCGTTGCCTATTACTTAGACTAACAGTATCCAGAGACTCAGAAATATCTGCTGTTTAGAATTCTACACTGAACTCTAGAGGATTGCTATTTGTTTCCCCTTTTTCTCTAAGGTATATTGTCCAAAGAATAGCCATTTTATTTATTTTGCGTTTGTGGTCCCTAAGTTCTTTAACGCCTTTATTTCAAACCCTAATGCAGGTTGAAGATTTTCCATAGCATCCAGTGTAACACTCATAGGTTAACTGTATTTTGATATAGAAAAAACATTATTTAACGGGTGGAACAATATTACTGCATATAAAATTGCAAATGAAGTCAAAGTTGTGTGACCGAATCCATATTTTCCACATAGGTTCACTTAAACTGGAGTAAAAACCCCCCCCTTGCCTGTACAATGTTTTTTGTTGGTCATAGATCATTTCTACAGTGCTGCAACATGGTCTGAATCTGTTCCTCAGATCCATGCACTATTTTTATCTCAGTTAGTCTCATCTTTTTTTCCATGCTTCTACTGTTAGGCCACGCCCATTATCTTCCCTATTAGTTTTAGGCCTGAATACTGCTAGGTTTATGGTGCACGTACATTTTGAGTTAGCCAGCATTCCAGAGGCTCTTCATACCATAGTACTTCTCTTCTGTAAACATCCTCTTATTGCGATGAACCGATGCTTCTGATTTAATGTAACCCATTTGGCAGTTTCGTATTTCTTGGGTGAATTAATGCATGTCTTATGAAATTCCCTGCTTTCATATTAATATACTATCAGTTGTTTAGCAAAACGGATGCATGCGGATCGTCTTATCTCTGTTTATTTTATTGGGTTTATTCACCAGAATGGGGATTGAGTGTTGGGGGGTGCTTTCTTCTTCTTTTTTTCTTCCTCTTGGCTTGGGACGGTGGCTAATGTGAAGGGCAATGTTGGGGAGCGGGAGTTTTTTGGACGGGTATGAGGTCGGCTCAAAGAGACCACGAATGATGGAATCGAATCCCTACTTCGCAGTGAGCGGCGGCGGCGGCGGCGGCGGCGCCTCCTCCTACCAGTCCTCTTATGCCAGCAGCAGCTACGGCCCCAGGGAGACCACCACCTATGCAACCGCCCTCGCCGGATATCCCGGCGGCGCCGCCGCCTACTCCTTCCCCATCGTCCGTCTCCGGGGCCTCCCTTTCAACTGCACCGACCTTGACATTTACAGATTCTTCTCCGGCCTCGATGTCGTCGACTGCCTGCTGACCAACAAGAGCGGCCGCTTCTCCGGCGAGGCCTTCGTGCTCTTCGCCGCCCCTGTCCACGCCGAGCTCGCCCTCCAGAGAGACCGCCTCAACATGGGCCGCCGCTACGTTGAGGTCTTCCGCTGCAAGAAGCAGGACTACTACCACGCCATCGCCGCCGAGCTCGCCACCGACCACCACCGCGGCGCCTCCGCCGGCTCCCCGCCGCCGCCGCCGCCGCCGTCGAAGAGGCCCCGCCAGGAGGACCAGCACCAGATGGAGTACACGGAGATCCTCAAGCTGAGGGGGCTCCCCTTTTCGGCCTCCCGCGCCGACATCGTTGACTTCTTTGCCGGCTTTGACCTCCCGGAGGACAAGGTCCACATCGCCCTCCGCGCCGACGGCAAGGCCACTGGCGAGGCCTTCGTGGAGTTTCCCTCTGCGGAGGAGGCGAAGCGGGCGATGAACAAGGACAGGATGACCATCGGCTCCCGCTACGTCGAGCTCTTCCCTTCTACCCCCGAGGAGGCCTCCCGGGCCCACTCCCGCTCCCGCCAGTAGTCAATTAAAAAAAAAGAAAAAATAAAAGAAGAAAAAAAAACCCACCTTCAATCTACTGTTATTTTCTGTTCTCAATTTGGTTAAACTACCTCATCTTATCCCAATGTTTGACTTCATTTTATTCTTCTCTTATTACCCTGTTTTAGCTGCGCGTGTAGGAGTCGGCATCTCTGTGTCTCACATCTAATGGGCCGCATGTAAGTGGCCCGAATGTCATTGGGCCGTGTATAGCTTGGGCCCCCCTCCAGTCACTCATTATATGCGTGGGAGGATGGAAAGGAATGGGGAAGACTTGTCCGGGCCCCACCGTCGGCGCAGGATAAGGCAGTGGGGCCCGCGCCCAGCCACAGGAGAGAACGAAAGCACAGAGGAAACACAAGGGAGGAGAGGCGGCAGGAGAGAGAGAGAGGGAGAGGAGGAGGGGCGAATTGGCGGGGATCACGCGGATCGCTTACGTGGCGCTGGGTATTCTAAATCCCGCCCAAACGCGGATTTCATCTCTCGTCGTCATTTGGAATTTAATTTCGCCCTCCACGCCCACGCCCACGGCCCCCCCCCCATTCCCCCCCCCCCCTCTCCTTCCTCTACGGGCCCTTCTTATGCCCGCCCAACGCACGCCCTGCTCTAAACACGCCAACCGAACGAACTCGTTCTCTTCCTTGCGCCGTCTCTGAAGCCCTAATACAGGCCTCTCCTCCAAGGTAAGCACGACCCGATCCTGGCCCGTCCGATCGCGTTTTTTGTTTGCTTGTAGGCGCTCTTGTTGGTCGGTTTTCATTTAATCTCGATTGTTGCTTCCAGTTTACACGATGAAGGGAGGAAAATCGAAGGCCGAGCCGAAGAAGGCTGATAGCAGGTACGATTGTGCTGGTTGTCGCTGTCTGTGTACAGATCGCTGGTGTTTGGAGTCTGCTCTTTCCGTTGTTATTTCTTGTGTTAATTCCTCTAGTGGTTGGGATGGTAGATCTAGGGTTACAGTAGCTGATCCGGTGCTTTTTTATTTAGGTTGTCTGTGAAGAGGAAGGGATCTGAACGGGCTGCCAGCAAGAAGCCAGCAAAGAAGGCGGCTAAGGATCCCAACAGACCGAAGAGGCCTGCGAGTGCCTTCTTCGTTTTCATGTATAATTACATCCTTATCAACATGATTTTTAAATTATACGTTCTAGATATTTTCTAAGTCTGAACATGATTTTCCCTTATATTTCTGACTACTGGTTCACCACATATTTTTGCAAATGAAGGGAGGAATTTAGGAAGCAGTTTCAGGAGAAGAACCCAGAAAACAAGTCCGTTGCTGCTGTAAGGCTTCTATCTTCGCACTTCAGCGTTATTATCTCCATATCTTTGATCTTTAATATCTGTGGTTTTGGTGCGTGCGTTTTGTTTTCTGATATTCTCCTGACGAGATTTATTCCATTGTGCCACACGACAGGTCGGTAAGGCTGGCGGGGCAAAGTGGAAAAGCTTGACTGAGGCTGTAAGTCTATTCTCAGACGATGGCTGTGACATGATTTCAGGCAGTCCGTCGATGGTTATTCACTAATTCCATGACTTCTCGTGTCTCGCGAACTACAGGAGAAGGCTCCCTATGTCAGTAAGGCAAACAAGCGGAAAGCCGACTTCCAAAAGGTCATGGCGGACTACAATAAGAAGGTGCCCGCCGATCCCTCTCCCCTTCGACCGTTGTGTTTCGATTGCTATATTTCGCTGCCATGATTGTCCCCCATGTAGCCACATATTGAATGTTTATGTTGAATAATAGGGTGCGAAGAGCACTGCGGAGGAAGAGAACGAGTCTGACAAGTCCAGGTCTGAGGTAAACGACGACGAAGACGACGAGAGTGGCGAGGTAATCATCATCCTTCATCTGATCCTAATCAAATCTATTTTTGGCTGGATCTACTGCCTTCATGTTACCTCGAATTCCCCCCATGATCTACTGGCCCGTGACCATTCGTCCGTTCCCATTATCCTCTGCAGGAAGAAGACGAAGAGTGAGCCGGAGAAACCTCGCGGTAGGAACTAATGTTTTAGCTCCCTCCCTCGAAAAAAATATGATGTCCCCGGGGAGACATCGACTGTATTTTTTCTTTTTCTTGGGCTTCTTTCTCTTTTGATGTGCTCTGCCTGGTTCCATACCTTCTTCTGTGGCTATTGCACCGAACCAAACAAAATCTCTTCAATCCAAGTAGATTCTTCCCTGCTGACAGGCTCTGTTCTTGCCCATTATCTTCTGGATCCCTGGAGTAGTTCTCGTATTTAAGCTTTTTTCTTACCTGAAACCATCATCATCATCAGTGGGAACGTATAGAAGATCGGACAATCCCAAGGCTCGTCCAGCCTTTCCAGCGCTTTTAATCTGAAGCAACGCCCGGTGCAGAGACGCCCGTTTGGTCCTTGGCCGTGTGAGGAGCTCGGTGAGCCCATTAGCTAGCTCTTTTTCTTTGTACCCAAAGCTTGTGGTCCATCTCAGGCCAATTCTCAGTGGAGTCTGTTCCGGTTCTGGAGGACCCCCCGTCCTCTGACCATTCGGCCGTGGGGGCCCTCGCCTTAAAAGCGGACGATAGCTGGCGGATCTGAACGTGCGGGTCCCACATTTGTTGCAGGTGGCGTATTTCTTCCTGTCCATTCCATTTATTGCTTATAATACGCATTCCAATAACCCTCTCCCGCCCACGAATCGTGCAGATATTTCTCCCCCCCCCCTCTTTCTCTCTCTCTATATATATATATTAATATAATATACGTTCATAGAGGGAGATATTTAGCTGTCCGCGGGGGATCTGGCAGAGCTCCGCCAGCGCTGACAGTTGGGAAACCTGCGACCCAGATGAATAACCGGCGGCATTTCCATGGGAAACCTCGAGTCACTTGGTCGTGACAACGCGGCTTCTTATCTCTCTCACGCCGCAGATCCGTAGGTCCCCGACACGTGCCGAGGGAGCGGGGAGAGGGAGGCGCCTAAATGAGTGACGACGTTGTCGACTTGGATATTTCTCCACTGTGGATGGGATGCGTGTTCCACGTCAGTAGGAGGCTGGCGTGACGTGGCCCTATGGGTGGGGTCTATACTTGGGCCGGCCTGAATATAGTCCATATTTGGGTTTGCCTCCGGAGCCCATTTTCCTCGTCGCAAGATCCTCTCCTTCATCGAGGTCCAATTCTGACTTCGGGAATCATCATTTATGGTCAACGTCGCGTTAAATTTATTGCTATTGATAGTCCTTAGTAGAATATGTTTTTTAAGGAGGAAAAAAAGGAAATTTGACGCGGCTGGTCAGAATACGGGGGGGATATTTCTCCGTTATTTAATAATAAGACTGAAACGGGCCGATAATAATTTGAAAAAGAAAGGGGGCCGGCTTGTGGGGCCCACACCACGTGGGAACAACGAAATTTTGGCTGGCCTTATAAAAGCTGAGAATCCACGTGTGTATTGACGAAGTCAAAATCCTCTTAGATTGGTGCTATCCCCGTATTGCGACAGTGACGATTGCTGACCTCGGTTGGTGACGAATGGAGCGTGATGTCTTATCCTGACGTGGCGTCTTATTATTGGATACTCGCGGTGTGGGGCGTAAAGCGGTGATTATCGATAGTCGGGTACAACGATCCGGTCATTTGGTTAATGCGACCGTTTCAATTTCTCGTTTATGGAAAGAGAATCTGCCAGGCGAATCTTCCCTGTCCCCGTTCGCGCGCGTGCTTGCCCCTCTCTCTCTCTCTCCCCCTCTTTCCCTGTCCCTCTCTCTCTAGGTACTGGGTGTGCTCTTCTTCCGCATGTGCAGGCAGCAGCGTCAATGAGTGGGAGAGACGAGTTTTGACGGATGAAGACGGCAGGAGGGGGAGGAGGATGGCGAGGGAGCACGGTGCTTGTGGCGCCATTGTTGAGGAGGCGGAAGAGGACACGGAGTTCGGAGTAGGGGGAGGGGGAGGCGGCAGCGGATTTGGAGTGGGGTCGTCGGGAGGAGAAGGAATGGCGCAGGGAGTGTTCCACTTTAGGGTGATGACTGACGAGCAGATGGAGGTCCTCCGTAAGCAGATCTCCGTCTACGCTACCATCTGTCAGCAGCTCGTCGAAATGCACAAGGCCATCTACGGTAAGCCTTTTGTTCATCCATGTTTCCGCTTCTTCTATCGTTTGATCTCCGCTTTTCCTCTGGTGCATTTCATCTTTTGTTTCTTTGTTCTCTCATCCATTCTTGTCTCCCATCTTTTATGATCTTCTTGCTAAAGCGTTAGATGCTGACTTGTTACAGTTGTTCGAGCCTACTTTGACATTGATAGCATCCATGTTTTCGTACCCGCCTCCCTTCGTTCGATTCCGACTTCATCTGGTTGAATCGATGTTTTCACCCGTGATTTATACCGTTTCCTTTTCCCAACGAATGTTCGCGCTGTTGATTCCTTTTTTCACCCGAATTGATTAAACGTATCCGGAGTAAGCCCCGTAAATCTGAATTCTATTCCTTCCGCTATCCTTAATGGCGAATTTCATCCATGTCTGCGACCTCTAATGGCGTATAATTTAAAACATGAACCGAAAAACTCATTGCACTGAAAGTACTTCACGAATGGCTGTCGCATTTATGGACAGACCTTCAACAATTAGTCTATGTAAACGACTGGTGTAAGATGCCTATGAAGGCACCAGTTCTTGGATTGCTTTAGCCCATCCTAGTGAGGCAATCATGCTATGACACTGATTCGAAGTGAGTGTATCTCAGCAAGAACATAGGACAGATTTTTTATTTATAAAAAATATTTTTCCTATTCATCATTTGTCGCAAGATTCAAACAACGAAGCAGCTGCGGAATCAGGATATGACTTTTGGCCGAAGGCATATTTTCAGGATCATTTTCAGACGCAATCCAAAAGACTTCTACTGCTCATTGGATTTCCTTGAGGATTCGTTTCCCAGGAATCCTCCAGTAATTGTCAATAGATACCCTTATGAAAGTTAAAAATTTCACAGCTCTGATAGACACCCTGCGTTGTAGAATCATGCCATGTAACTCTACACCGATTAGTTCTTAGATGGCTCCAGATTACCTTGAACATGCTAACTAATGTACAATCTTTAAAAGATAGCTACACCCACACTCTTTCACGCAGTGAACAGCGGTGTGGTGAGAGATCCAGGAGCATGACCACCCTGGACTCTGATTAGTATCTCTCTTTTTTTTTTCTTTTTTGGAATGAATAAATACAGTGGAATTTCCTTTTCCAAGTCAGATTGAAGCGCAAGAAAAACACAGAGAATTGAACCCTCTAAAGCACCGTCGGATCGATGACTTGGAGGAAGCGCTGGACCGGATTCTCTCTATCTTGTTTTTTCATTGGACGTGCAGACTGTGAATGTCTTCACGTTTGTGAATACCGTTGACATCTCCGATTATAATCTGAGACTTTAGTTTGTTCTCGAACGTTCGATGGTCTTGGAGTTTTTGAAGTTGCTGGTATAAGACTCTCAGGGGAGTTCTTCCAACGCTGCCAGTTGATTACTCTTTACTTTCTGTTCGTGTTCTATTTCAGGAACTTGTCCCAGAAACCCACACTGTGATTCCTCAGCCACTCCAGGAGGCCATAAGATGGCTTCAAGGCAGCGCTGGAGCCCAACTCCCGCGCAGCTACTGGTTCTTGAGAGCATATTTGACCAGGGTAATGTAGCCCCCAGCAAGCAGAAGGTGAAGGAGATAGCCTCCGAGTTGGCAAACCATGGCCAAATCTCCGAGACGAACGTCTACAACTGGTTCCAGAATAGAAGGGCCCGGTTGAAGAGGAAGCAGCCAGCCGCAATGCCCAGCAATGTGGAGCCCTAAGTGGAGACCCAGAGTAAGTTGCACCAAACCAGGTGTGAAGTCCATTCCCTTGAAAACCCATCTCTCTGGAGATATCCTCAAACGCGCAGTGTATAGAATTGCACCAAACGTTGACCCTTTGTCTCTCTACAAGAAGGTTCTTCCCGATTCATCGGAAACGTTGATCCATTCCCTTTCCTTTTTTATCATGTTGACCTACCGCTATTCAGGGGCTGATCAGCAAATGGGAAGCTCTGAAGCAGCTGGAAGTTATGATCCCTTCAACGTGGACCGGTGAGAGATAGACTGACACAGGAAGAGGGAGAGAGAATGGCGCGTACGTGGCAGAGTTATTCTTCTGATTATGAATGAGTCTCAGGTCAGCCCCTTTTCGATTTTTTCAATGAATTACCTTTCCCTTCTGTATAAGATTCCATCCCATAGCTTCTTTTCTTGATGCATGTCTGCCCCCACCCCCTCCAACCCCGCTCTCTCTCTCTCTCTCTCTCTCTCTCTCGCTAGGAACACATTATTTTGAGGTTTTTCTATGGGGTCTTATGCTAGGTCTGGCATGGCAGATCTACTTCTCAACGGCAAATACCATCTAGATAAAATGACTTTGCTGCATAGGGTTTTCCTAATCATTTCCCCAGATAGTTCACAAAAATCTCCCAAGTCAGCTCTCCACTCCCTCTCTTCGGGCGACAGAGAGCTAGAAATTCCTCAAAATAGATTAAAAAAAATAAAAACATGACTACATGATTTCATCTAAAAAACCCAGATAGAGTGCCCACTTAACGGGGAAATAAAACCGTTACTTGTAATATCTGAGCTTCCCGGCCATACATCAGTCCATATTCAGTGTAGTCATTCAATCGCAGTCAATCTGCTTCTATGAGAGCCCTATGAACACCCAGAGATCTCGTCAACGACATAAGATCAAAAATGGCTTACAGAGTGGCTCTTAGGGCGACCCTGGTTCCTCCTCCAAAGTCAAACCTTCTCCTACGTGGCATCAACCCCCTTCCTTCTACATACAACTCGATCAATAGATACCCTTTCTAGGCTTCCTCTGTTGAAATTCATCGAGCCTTCTTCACTTGGCCGTCTTGAGTTGGAGATGGCTCATCCCTGTCTCCACCTTCTCTAGAATACCTCCTTCGCTGGTTCTGTCAGTTGACGGTGGCTTCTGGTCGACCGAGAGCCAGGCGTGCTGCAGGCATTCGGCAGCTGATGGCCGCTTCTCCGGTGAGTAATCGAGAATTGGGCGGAGGAACTCAGAAAACTCGCTGGCCTCTTGTTCCGAGAACTTGTACTTCTCAACTAGGAGTTGACCCAGGGACCAGAATCTCAGCCTCCTGATCCGCTTCAGGTCTCCGTGGCGGTCAAAGTAGTCCTTTGACCGAGACCCCCCCAGGGCAATCTGTGGTCAACAGGAATCCGCATCAGGCAGCTGTAAGAAGAGAATGGAGAGATGAGGGTAGAGATGTCTGGGCAGGGTGTGCTCACCTTTCGAGGTATTTTCCCTAGGAGTTCCATCATCAGAGCCAGGTGATCCTGAAATAAAGACGTTGAACTCTTCTAAGAAACGAGGCAACTTCCCGTAGTTTCTGATTACCAAGGGCAGCAATGTTATGAACCCACACCTGATTATCCCAACCTAGAGAGAGAGAGAGAGAGAGAGAGAGAGAGAGAGAGAGAGAGGGAGAGGAAAAGAAGAGAGAAGGTAACAAAGGAGGAAAGATTTCATGGGCAGGTGACTGAATAGAATTGTTGCAGGTTGTGTATGAAAGAACATGGACGAGAAGGGGATTAAGTGTGGGAGCAGCGAAGACTGAGATATTGAGTAAGATTTTCCCCAGCTATGTTGGTTTCCTGATATCATTCACAGCCGTCAAAGGTACATAATCTAAGTACCTTTCGTATTGAAGAAGCTTACGGGTCAGTAGCAAACTAATTCAAGTATGCTCCTCACCAGATATGAACAACAAGATCATGCAAAAATTTACAAAAGGGAATTAAATTCGCTTTCATAATAACTAATAACAAGATTATGCGATTCCGATTTCGATTAAATGCTTATCAATAATTAATGGGCATGAAAGATACCTCATCAAGATAAATGGATAACTAACATGATTATGCAATAACAATGTCGATGAAGTTGTCAATCATATCATTTACAGAAGGGGGTGAATGAGATCTGATCTAACAAATATGTAATATACTTGCAGCGTACCTCATCCTCGCTGAATCCTTGGCCATCCTTTGGTTCGAAGAGCATGTCGCCGGTGGCAAGCTCGAAAGCTATGCAAGCAAAGGACCACATATCAGCCGAAAACGTGTATCCAGAACCGAGGACCACTTCAGGAGACCGGTACTGCCTTGTCTGGATGTCCTGTGTGAACTGCTTGTCATCCCAACAAGCATTTCCAAAGTCAACGATCTTGCAACTCAAGTCAACGTCCTCCAAGCTCCTCCTCTGCACGGGAACCCCCACAAAGGACGACCGCCTCTCAGAAATCTTGGCTACTGCCCTTCTCGCCTTCTTCTTCAATCTTTTCTCAATGATACTGGATATGATCCCGCCATTGAGGTTCCCCTCTGGCTTTTCCAGGATGGGGGGGATCCCAGACCTCACTGGGTCCTTGGAAGGATCAATGGTGGAGACGAGGAGCACGTTCTCCGGTTTTAAGTCGGTGTGAATGATTCCCAGTTCTCTGTGCAAATAGTCAAGACCAGACAAGATCGACCTGCAGATCTCTCTAACCCTGTTCAGCCCCAGTCCTTTGTAGCGGTTATATCGAATCAGCCGGAGCAGACTGTCGCCAAGAAACTCTACCACGAGGCAGAGGTGCTGCCCATTGGGCCCAGTGTGCTTGAAGCTATCCAGCAGACGGACTATAGACCTTGAGTTAGCAGGGTCACCTTCTGCTATCGCAGATAAGATCCCGATCTCATGGCGCGCTGACTCCGCGAATTCGCCTGCGCTTTTCTGGATTTTTAGAGCCACATATCTCTGCAGAAGCCACAAGAAGACGTCGAAGAAGTCAAAATGGTGACAGCAAGGCTAAGATCATATGGACATCATACGAAAAAATATGAATAGGAAAGGGAATGGAATCACAATTCGATTTCCAATTTTATCTGGTCAACGCCAGAAGGATTTATCTCATCTTTCATGGAAAAAAGATCAGAAATAACCAAGGATCCATCAGCCCCGTGGCCGCAAAGACCAGGAAGATGATGATGCAGAACTAGTAATACCTACCTACCAACCAATATACTCAAGAGAAACTGGCATCTATGAACATGAATACTGATAATACTGATTTTTTTAAAGTAATTGATGGAAACTGACGGCATGAGGGGGCCAATGAATAGAAAGCTGTCGAGACCCGAATTTCTCTCTGAGATTTTGTGTTTCTCCATCGCAAACTCTTGTAGCAATTGGGGGTCGATGATCCGAACGAGTGGGAGCAATTAGAGGTCAATCGTAGGATAATTACACTATAAAACATAAAATGGGAAAATTTTCCAGAGCAGATCCTAATAACGACCGAAATTGAAAAGACCACGTCAAAGATGAGAAGGCTAAACAAGGAAGAGGCACCCGAAGAATTGATAATCCACTCTTGCGATAGAAATCTAAAGGGATCCGGGAGCCCGATCCTGAGAATCACCGGCCTCCGCTGAAACCTCAACCGAAAGAATCACGTATTCGACAAGGTTAGCACCAGATCAAGGACAGGAATGGATTTGAGATGAAGAACTGCACAGATGTTTACGTTGCCGCGGAGGTCGTAGGCGAGCCAGACGGTGGAGAAGTGGCCCCAGCCGAGTTTCCTCTGCGCAACGTAGCGGCCTCCCCCAAACGCGTCCCCCACCCTCACAGCGTGGTAGCCTCCTTTCCTGTACGCGTCCCTTCCTTCGTCCTCCGACTCCGACGACGACGACGAGCAAGACATCTCCTCTATTCCTTCTCCCTCTCCCTATCTCCTCCCCTCTTCCTTCCCCTCCTGATTCCTCGGTATTAGCTTGATTGGAAAGGTCCCACCTTCTCTGGAAAGAGAAAAGAAAGTTCCCCTTCCATTCATGAAGAGAGAGAGAGAGAGAGGTTAGTTGGAGGGTGTAGTTTAACTTAAGGACGCTTCTGAGGACATCATACACGGCGCACAAGAGCGGACAGAATGGACAAATAAGAAGACGGTTGGGCCATCGCACAGACCCCGCGAAACGGCGCTGACGCGGACCGGCTTCCCAGAAGCAAAACCGGGAACTTTCCGGTCAGCCCGGTAAACCCCTGAATCTCGATTCGACCCGGAATCCGATTTTCCGCCCTGGAAACTGCTCTGTGGACGCTCCCAAACACTTGGCCCCTTAATTATTTGCCCAAATTGTCAACTGATTGACTAAATAAAATACTCTTGGTAGTACGGAAATGAGCTTTTAGAGTAAACCTAATTTTCATAACCTAATAATTGTGGATTAATTCCGGTGAAATTTGAGAAAAAAAAGGCTCCTCGATGAAATTTAAATTATAAAAATACCCATGATGTTAGCGCTCCACCCTCCCTAGTGAACAAAAATTGCTGAATGATGCAGGAATAGACACACATATTTACATCTGTGATGCCTCTCTTGGGCTTGTGAAATTAATCGACCTCTTAGGTCTCCTGAATCTATGCATATCTAAAGTATGAGAAATATTCATAACATACGGCAGTAAATATGGTACATATTCCCTTGAATTACATCTAATGACGATCCTGACCCCCTTCCCCTCAACAGCAGCCAGACTCTTTCTTAGTACATTGGGCCATTGCCTTTGTTGGTTTATAGAGAGAGAGAGAGAGAGAGAGAGAGAGAGGATATCGAGGCTTTGGGATGATACCCAGTTAATCTTCTTTTAAATCTGTTAAATTTTGGCCACTCCCAACCGCGATTAAGCCAATAGCATTTTTGAAACAATGCTGATTCAGGAACAGACATAAAGTTTGCAGGGAACTAAAGAGATAATTAAATCGTAATTAAAGTATTTTATGACGAGTTAAGTATAAATGACCCTTATTTAATTCTATAACCTGCATCAACCTTTCATGCTCAGTGGATTCACCTCCTCTTTTCTACGTGAGAAAGCATAGCATCCCCGAAGAACAGTGGACACTCTTCTTCTCTTCTCAAAACAGGGTGCTAGAACACCCATGAAAGGGAAGGGAAGGAAGGGAAGGGAAGGAGATGCCACAAGGATTTCAGCATGGTTTTCCAATACATGCTGTCAATAAAAGAAATAAATAAAGAGAAGAGAGGTTCAAGAAAGATGTATCTGAGAAAATGAGAAGGGGTAATCCTTCTCCCATAGAACATGAAGTAATCACAGGATTTTCTCTAATTGGGCATCAAGGGTTGACATAAAACATTGTAAGTAGGTTTTTCTGGATTAGATCAGAAACATCAGCAGTATGCTCTCATTCATGTTGCTAGATCAGGTAACTTTTCCTTGGAAGTATTATTTTGAAGAACTTCAAATGATTTTCGGGAAGAACACCATGTGATGAGAAATGAATTCCGTATGGAACACAGTTTACTGATGCACGACCTAAGAAATGGAATGGGCTTCTTCTATGATAAGTGAAATTAGGGTCTCGGCAGCGGTGCTTCAGTTCTCGTCTAAACTATCTTGTAAGAGATTTCAGATAGTGAGTCAGAGAGATGGATCCAAGCAGAGAATCTCCGGAAACTTGGGAGTTCTTATCCAGTATCTTATATTTCCTTCTTGCCACAATCAAAAAGCAGCCCAAGGTCAAAGGACAGAAGTCGCCCATGTCCTCACCACCCACAACACGGTAGGATTTCATCAGTGAGAGTATGCCAATTATATGAAACTGGAACCACAAAGCTAGGAAATTATATGAAATTTTATGATAAGGGCGATGTAATATGGAGAAAGATTAAACACAAAAGGAAACACTTGGCAAAATAAAGCTATAAACATAGCATATTAGGGAATCAGATGCACAATCCTATGAAGAGAAATTGGGTCTCTCTCCAACTTTCTTGTAAGGCAGCAAAGTTGTGCATAGATAGTCGACCAATTTGTATGGATTCGGGGTAGAGAGTAGGGGCGTCCCTTGCACCAGAAGATTCGGCCTCCAAGGTTCTAACCCCTGGCTCTAAGGTCGGCGAGGCGCCTCGTAAGATCTTCCTCATCCACCTTGTCCTTCTCCTTGGCAGCGATCTCGTGATTTGCAGCCTGAGGAAGCCCAACCGAGACCTCGAGTCCATGTTCGTCGGCCACCTGCTGCATGAGGCTGTTAACGTCGCCTTCTGGAGTCGAAAGGCTCGTGGATCCTGCCATGGAGTTCTCCATAAATTCCGCCTGAACCTCCATGTTTACGAACTGCTTCTCGAATTGATCCATCGTCTCCGACATCTTCTGCAGGTTGCCGGTAGCCAGGGACGAGTCCAGGGACTTAACGATGGAGGCCATGGACTTGCCGATGATCTGCATCTTGGCCTGGGTGTCCAGCCGGGACACGACGGCGTCGAGGCGGGAGGACAGGCGCAGGTAGTTCATCTGCTCGCTGCGCTTGCGGATGGCGTTCTCGGCGTAGATCCGGGCGCCGTCCATGTTCCCCTTCTCGATCGCCTTCTTCACCTTGAGCTTCTCAGACTTCTCGTCCTTCTCGCACTTGCGCGCCTGCCGCTGCAGGCTCTTGGAGGTGAACTTGAGCTCCATGATCTGGTTCATCAGCTTCTCCGTGTTACCCATGATCCGGAGACGAGTTATCGATCGATCTTCCCTCCTCTGGGCGCTGGAGATCGAAGAAGGCGATCGGACTGGGGCGGCGGGGGAGGAGGAGGCGGCCTCCAAAAGGAGGAGGAAGAGGAAGAGGAAGAGAAGATACCAGGAAAGAGGGGAGAAGATCCTAGCCCACGAAGGAAACGGTCTCCTGACGCGGCGCGCGGGATGGGCGGCCGGATCGGCATCGAATCGCCTAACTCGGCCGATCCACGGATAAACTCAGTTTTGACTTTTAAAGAGATTCTTTCTTCGAGTAAAGTAGACTGTATAAAATTGTACGGCACATTATATCCATAGGATTACTCGTTTACGCTTGCTTGCCCACGACGCAGTACTCTAATTACCGATAAACCCTTTCTATTTTAAATTTACCTTTCACTGCCTATCAATTTTTTTATTATATTTTTATCCTGGCCTCCCATATATTGTCAATGACAAAACAAGCCCCCATTGTTTCGTTTCTAGTGACTAGTGTTTTCTCTCTTCCTCACATATACGCTGAGACACACAAGCTTAAGCCCATAGGGATCAGAAAACGAAGCTAATGAGAGATTTTGGGGGCTAACAACTCAAAGGGGAAAAGATAAGGGTTTATTAATAATTAATTAGACTACTTAGCGGAAGCGATCACCTAAAATGTATTATTACATATTTGTCCTTTTTATGTTGTCAAGATGGGAGTATATAAATATAAGCATAGTATTTTCAAGTGTGGATTCTGAAGCCCGCGCAGAGAACGCGGGGGGGGGAAGAGGGGATGGAGTCGCTGGTGAGGAAGTACCAGCAGAAGTACAGGAAAGTGGAGGGGGAGATGAAGCGGTGGGACGAGCTCCAGTCTCGGCTGCTTTCTCATTTTGGCAGCGCCTCCTCCATCATCGACAGGCTGGAGGTGCTCGTCTCCCCCGTTTCCTGTTCCGTTGCCGTATTCTGTTTACTTTCTCTAGGTATGTTCGTTAGCTTCGTATTTCGATTCGTAGATGTAAAATCGTGGCGATCACTGGAGATTAGCAGGGAAAAATGAAAAACGTGATGTGCGATTTGTCTGGTTCTTTCCTTGATTGCCTTGGAAAACCAAGTGGAACAATCACTTAGGGTTTAAGGTGCAACGTTGCGGTTTTTCTCTTTAACGTTAATGGAAGAGCTTTGATGGTCTGCACATTGGCGCCTCTGGCTTACTGCTGTTCAGGATCACTTTTGTTATTCCCAGCTCGTAGTCCATTCAATGTGAAACTCATTTTTCTATTTCCCCCTTTTATTTTGTCCCTAAAATTGTGACAGCTTCGTGGATATGTGTTAGAGGGAGCATAAAGCCTTTTTAGATGCTTAGGATAACTCCGACGTCTACCCTCGCAGAGGAATTGACATAAAATCACTATTTCTGTCCAGAAGGTCTGAACACGATCTCCATAAGTGATTATTGCTGAGAAACCAATAGATCCAGGTAGTTAATACGTTGTTATGTGGGGCATATTCGTTCATATTTTGATACGAGAAAAAATGATGTGTCGCTCAAAGTTTTATTGATACCCAATAGATCTATTTATCGTTATTCCTGTTTTTTATGGAGGCATTCGGTGGAATGCATTTCATAGTTTATAAATTTTAATCATGATTTAGAATATCGCACAAGAAATGACTACAAGGTCCTGGAATTCTGAAAGTTTGCGTTCATGGAAAACTAAATATATACCAATTTTTTATTAATCATATAATGCTACATTTTAAAGAATTATCTTATTTATCATACGAATTAAAGTAAAAGAATACTGACAGAAGGATAATAAGGGAAGAAAGTAGACTCTGGGAAGATGAGTTCTCAAATGCAGAAAATAATGGATCATTGTCAGTCAGTAATACTCTTCCGGCCTCATCATATTATGTACCAATCTGAATGGTAATGCTGTGTTTTAAACTATTATTTAGCACGTCCAACATTGACTGATCCAATTAAAGTTCAGGTTTTTTTTAAAGAAGGTGAACTTGAAGAAACATGAGTAGCTGAAACAAATGATTGACCATATTTCCATGAAAAAAACTCGGGAAGATAAAATGATTTGTAGGTTGGAAAAAAAGAGAACTGAGAGCAGCCCACAAGAAGCAGACTTGTTCCTAATCGGATGCACAGAGACGGAGGATGTAGCCTTTGTTGATCCACTTTAACATGGAAGAAAAGGTACTCTACTGAATGAATTTTGTCTCAGGCCCAATATTAGGAACAAATCTGTATTTTGTGCGCTAATCGCATGGACTGCGAAAAATTTATGAAAGTTGGGTAATATTGAATATAGTGCAGAAGATAATATTTTTATCGGTCCAAACTTATGCTAGTAAATGTACAAAAATCAAGGATTGCTATCACGTTGAGACAATATCTCCTCTACTCTTGGATATTGAGCTGTGGAAAGTGCTATTGCTGATAGTGTGATGAACCATTTGGAAGGGGAGAAAGGACGAAGTGCTTAACAAACAAGCATTTAGCATCTTCGAATGGACGTCAACAAAGCTATGACTACTAGATATTTAAGGGAAGCCTATTTTGGGTCAATTTCCTTTTTGTATAAGTTTAGCATCCAGTGGGATGAGTAGAGGGTTCCTTTTGTAATTTTGCATTTTATTTTTCTCTGCTGCTTTGTACTTTTGGTCTCTTAACGGTTAAGCCCGTTCACCTTTAAAACGAAGAAAAATGATGGTAGCAAAGTCTGTACAATGCGATTTTTGCAACGCTAATTAATGAATTATAACTCTGTACGTCGTGAGAATTAAGGGAGATGAATTATAGGAAGCATTATACTTCAGTGTGGTTGACTTAGATCTTTTATAGAACACTGACCCTGCTATTGGCATGAGTTTCTTATGTAAGTTGATGCTTAATGTATACGCCCCTTTGTGGCAGTACTTCGCTTGATATCTGGCATATTTTCAGGAAGCTGGTCATTTTGGGAGATGAAATATGCATTTTAGACAAGATGAGAGGTTGTAGAAGGCTGGAAGCGAGTTTTGTGCCAAATGCGATGATTGTTTTGAACGGGTGAATCTTCCACAGGTTAAAGAATGAAAGCGTCTTATTGACCAAAATTCCTCACAAAAAAAGAAAAAAAAAACAAGAACGTTCCCATACACACGAGCAATACTTCTCCAGGAAGGAAGATTAGCTTCCGATATCATGATTTCTTCTGCATTGAGCTTTTTAGTGTTGGGATCCTGTGAGGGGAGGGGACGGGTCAGTGGAGTACCCGTTTAGTAGATAATATTATTCTGGGAAATTTGGCGAAAGCTATCATCCATGATATGTCTTTGATGGCATCCCCTAGAGAAGTGGAGCAGGTAAAGAGATGGCACACTGAGAATTGCTACTCAATAGACTGTGACATCCCATTGATCTGTTATTTTAATGTAGGGAATTAATCTGTTATTTTAGAGGCAAAAAATTTTCAACACAGAGAGTAGCCGGAATATTTGTAATGGTGTACCAGAGTAGGAAGATGCCTGCTGTAATGGAGAAGAAACGCACTCTTTCATTTTGGGATGGTAGGTGCCTAACATAGCTTTCACCTCATTTGCCTAGGCTATAGGGCAGCTGCCCAGGTTTTGCTTACATCCCATTGAGACTACACTTGTACACCTCTTTTTCTACTTTAATTTTAATGAATTAATAATACGAGCCAATAAGAAAAAAAATACTGCCACCCTTAATTTCTTGCTGTATATCCCATGTAGATTATGCGCCCATATGGCAACTCTTCGGCTGTATTTGTCTTGGATTAATGAAATCGATATTAGGAGCGTGTGTACTCATATTTATTCTCCTTCAAATTTGGCCACAGGTGCTGAGAGAGAAGAAAAATTATGGTGGCCTGACTTGTGTTGACGGCGTTAAAGAGGCACTCCTGGGGAAGCAGCTGGAAACATTAGAAAGAATTTTTAGCACTATGAAAGATATACTGTGAGTTTCTTCGTCATTTGTGCCTCAAATCTGGATAATAGACATCATCTGAATAGAAAATTCTACTTTTGCTCACAATAAAATTGCTTCCATTGGCCTAATGAATAAGTTTGCTAGCTCAAGCCGTTTTCCACCTGTTTATATGTATTGATAGCCATTTTGTATTGATTGATCTTTTATACGAGTGAATTCAGAATTATTCATTTTCAATTTCATTGTTAATCATTGTTTATATGTATTGATAGCCATTTTGTATTGATGGATCTTTTATACGAGTGAATTCAGAATTATTCATTTTCAATTTCATTTTGTATATATTGTCAATGCCTATTTATGAGAATCATTTACATATTTCAAGTACCTAATGTATTAAACAAGTTAATCATATTTATTTATTTTTAAATAATTATGTTTTTATTTACTGATAATTAAATTTCAGAGTGTTGATGCATGAGATGAAATGGGTTTATATTTTAAGAAAATTGATGATCTCGTAGAATAGTCTGTGTTCCATGCCTGTTGGATTGCAGCCTAGACTTGTCCTTGTGATTGGCCCAGCTTTTAGGGTTAGCGTAAAAGGGATGCTGAAGTATGCAACTCCTGGAGACAATTAATGATGCCATATGTTTCAGCATCAGTGATCTGTGTTCTTGTGACCTACTATGCCCCCTCTCTCTCTCTCTCTCTCTCTCTCTCCCCTTTTCTGTATATAAATCCTTATTAATTTCCATTCGGGTGGAAATCTTTTACTGCACATGCTGAACATCATCTAAAATCTAGATTGCCCACTGGGGAACTATAATATGTTAAAAAATGTTATTTTTTTGGTTATGGGACTCCTATCAGGCATTGAAACAAATTCTCCGTGAACTTGTTTTTTGATGAAAAATAGGAAACAGTTTCAGAGTATCGTAGTATCTTTAGACAAGATATCAAAGGATGGAAGTCAACTCTCAAAGTCAGAATCAACTCCCAGCTCCTGCCGGATGAAGATCGGGATCAAACCGAGTCTAGCAGAATGTGTGGAAGGGCTGAAGATGATTCACGAGATGCACCAATCAGAGTGAGAATCTTTCCGTTGTTATTCTGAATCTCGATTCATGTTTCTCAAAGGCATCCGCACTCACTCTTCATTTGCTTCATAGCTAATGCCCATTCGGCATGGAGTTGACTTATGTTTCGTGATGATGATGATGATGCCGCCTAATAATCATCTATAATTCGCTTCCTTATGGTTTTGCAGGTACCTGCTGAAAGTATCATTGATTTCTGCGTTGACTTGGAACACCAGGTCAGCTGAGTACACAATCCCTTTCCCAGATAAGATAGAACCTCAGCGGTGGCTGCTGGGCTCGTGCAGATTATGCCCTACATTCCTCATTCTGAAGTAGAATTTCATGCTGATGTTTCAGTTCCAGGGAAATAGCTGGACTCAACCAGTTCTTGGCTGATCAGCCGAATATTTCCAAAGATGAAGGTATTAGAGAGACCTATAATTTATTTTTTTCATTCACAGTTCAAAAAAATGTACCTTTCACGAATGGTTGAGAGAAATTTCTTCTTCTGTCTAGTACAAGGAATCTTTGGCGTTATATTTGCCGAAGAGAACTGACGGCTCCCTGCTCGGCGAATTGCCCACAAGAAGCAGCACCTCATTAGTTGAAGCTATAAGTCGTACTTGGAGCTACCAAGCTGGCTGAAGAGGATGGCCATGTCCATCCCTTGAATCATGGTGGGCATGGCCACTTCGTAGGGGCACTCCCTGGAGAATCCCGCCTTCCCAGTTTTCCTTGTCCGCTTGATGCATCTCTTGAAGCTTTCATGGCACTTCACGCTCGCCATTCCTGAAGGATCCAGCAAGAAATGAGTGGAAGTCAACGGAATGGAGCCCAGCTGGTCCTCGCTTGCTTCCGTCTGATGAGCGATCATGATACGAAAGCGGAAAGTCAGTTTCTTAACTTTATTTATTTCTCCTGATTCCATATTGATCAATATTTTACTTCCGAAATTCTACGATAATCCATGGATCTATCAGTCAACGGATGAATCTGACCACAGAGAATCAGATAATTTTATAAAAAAGAAAAATTCAGGAATGTCTCGAATAAGGACTGCTCCAAGAAATCAGGAACGGGAGGATGGAAGATCGAGCTGAAGAGTGTACAGATGAACGGAGGCGAAGCATAATCTCGCTGCGGCGCGGGACGATGAGAACGCGCCGAGCCGACGGGCTTACCGCTCTTGTCGACGCACTCGTCGTGGACCTTACAGCAGGCGTCTAGTTCGTCGCAGGGGTTCTCGCCGGGGCATCCCGTCCATCCGACGCCGCAGAACTTGCCGTATCGGATACCGATCGCTTCAGGGACCAGACGAGAATCATCGTTTCAGTTCTGCTCGATCGCTAACGTTAGAAAACTGAGGGAGAGCTTCAAGCAGACGAGACTTACAGTTGCAGTTCAGAGCGACGCAGGATCTGCTGCACTCCACCTGCGAGAGAGGTGAACATCTGAGATCTGGACGTGGATCGGTCGGCGACGACGAAAGATCATGTGCGGCGCGAATCAAGAGAATCACTCTTCCCCGAAGAACGACAGATTGAGAGTGACGACAGTTTTCGAGAAAATGAAGCGGATCTTCCGACGAGAGAGACAGCTAGGGTTTGCCGGGCGAGACCGACGTCGGAGGAGAGAGAGAGAGAGAGAGAGAGAGAGGCAGAGCGGCACCTGGGGCTGATCGGGACGGCGAGCGGTGACTCCCTCTGCTACGACGGCAGAGAAGAGAAGCAGGGAGGCGAGAAAGGAGTAATCAAACCCCATCAGCAATTCGCCCTCCCCTTCTTCCTATGCTTGGAGTCACCGGCTATTTGCGGCGAATATAATCACCGTCAGAGAGTGACGTGCTCGCTCACCATTGGTTCATCGTGTGCATGAGTCTAGGAACCGCCGTAACAGCATAAGCTGACAAACATGACCGTACTCGCTCTCCAACATTACTACTGTTGTGACCCTTTCAGGCGCTTGCTTTATAGACGTTCTCCATCCTCCAGCGCCGCCACTTAGCCTCTCTCTCTCTCTCTCTCTCTCTCTCTCTCTCTCTGTGAGTCGTCATGGCGGCTGCTGCTTACAGCATCTCGCTCACGGAGCTGAGTCTCCATCGCCATCAAGACCGCCGGCGGTCTGCGCTTGCGGGGCCCCGATTGGCGACTGTGAGGTGTTGCTCCAAGGGCCAGGTCGCCGTCGCCACCAGCAGAAGCGGCGTTGCGGATCCTTCCCCCGTCTTCACGAGCCTCAAGTCGTTCGCGCCGGCGACCGTCGCGAACCTCGGCCCTGGCTTCGACTTCCTCGGTTGCGCCGTCGATGGTGTTGGTGACTATGTCACTGCTTCAGTGGAAGCCTCTGTCCGGCCGGGCACCGTCGCCATCTCCGCCATATCTGGCGGCGCCGGTGCATCCAAGCTCAGCAGAGATCCCCTCTGGAATTGCGCTGGGATTGCGGCAATCGAGGTCATGCGGATGCTTGCTGTTCGATCAGTAGGCGTGTCGCTGCATCTACACAAGGGGCTCCCCCTCGGTAGTGGCCTGGGGTCTAGCGCCGCTAGTGCTGCTGCGGCAGCCGTGGCTGTCAATGAACTCTTCGGCGGACACCTCTCCCTGTCGGAGCTCGTGCTCGCTTGCCTGGTATCGGAGGCGAAGGTGAGCGGATACCATGCCGATAACGTGGGACCTGCGATCATGGGTGGCTTCGTCCTGATTCGGAGCTACGATCCCCTGGAAATCATCCGTTTGGACTTTCCGGCAGGTAGGGAACTGTTCTTCGTCCTCGTGAGCCCAGATTTCGAAGCGCCGACGAAGAAGATGCGCGCAGCGCTTCCGGCTGGTGTCAACATGAAGGATCACATATTCAATTCCAGCCAGGCCGCTGCACTAGTCGCAGCAGTGGTTCAGGGAGACGTTAAAATTATCGGGGCGGCTCTTTCATCCGATATAATCGTGGAGCCGAAGAGGGCTCCATTGATACCAGGAATGGTGGGAGTGAAGAAGGCAGCCTTGGAGGCTGGGGCATTTGGGTGCACAATAAGCGGCGCGGGCCCTACTGCCGTGGCAGTAATCAACGACGAGGAGAAAGGGAAGTTGATCGGTGATCGGATGGTCGAGGCATTCCTGTCTGAAGGCGGTTTGAGCGCGAGCATGACTGTGACCAGACTAGACCGTGTCGGTGCGAGGGTTATCAGTAGCAGTGCGAACTAGGAAATGGAAAACGAGAGGTAATCAATTCTCCTTATTTGTTTGTTCCTTTACTCCTACGTTTCATGTGGTGTCTAGTGTCAACACCCAGGATGCTTTTGCTGATTAAAACATATTTATATACCTTTTTAAGCATTTGTGATTAATTGGATTTTCGATCATCTTCTTGTATACTTTTTTGATTCCTCTATTGATTATTGTCTTTATAATCTGGACCCTGTTCGAGCAACGATCGTTTTGTTGCTTTCGTGGCCATTTGAATGGCCTTTAGTGCAAGGTTGGCGCTAGAGGGTTCAACACTAACAGGGGAGAAGACAGTCAAAGTGTACTGTTTCAGTACTCCTCTTCACTGAACTGGAATGGAGAGAAATTGCCTCTTTCTGTGATTTTTCCTCCGGAAATATTTAAATAAGTTCCAAATTTATGTAGATTATTTATTGCAGATGAACAAGTTAAGAGAGATATAAACGTTTATATATCAATTCACTTTATTCATGTGGCATAAAATGTAAAAAACATTTCATTTTGAAAAATAAGAAATGAAAAAAATGCCTGGACAGAAGAAGAAGACGAGTTTATACGCCCAGCATGAATGCTGACTTTCTCTTCTCCTTATGCTGTTGACAATGATGATGACACGATTTTGCAGGTGTCACCCCTTGGATAACATATTGATACTCCATTACCTCATACTTGTCCATATTGTGATTTTTTTGTCGACGATTCATCAGGTCATCTCTAGTTATTTTGTTTACAATTGTAGCAATGTTCAATGCAGCTAGTAAAAGTGTTATCACCAATTCCCTTCAATTATTATCTAGATATTTATCTATTTGCGACACAGTATAAAGCGCCTTTTCATCATTTCAAGGACCAAAATTTCCATCTTCAGCTGGTACTTTGCTGAAGCTAAAATTTTAGGGTAAGTTAGTTGTTTAATATGCTTGTAGAGAGAATTTTCTCATTGTGGATACGTAAGACGATACGAATTCTATTTTCTATTCGAGACTGGAGACATCACCGTTTTCAGAATACTCATTGCTGATGGTTAGCAATCCATATGAAAGGTGACTGATACTTTTGCTATTCCTGCTTATCTCTCTAATCTTTTTACACGCATATTGGGATGAATTTAGCTTTTTACTATCCATTCTTAGTATGATACATTCAATATTGTTGAGAGAAATATGAATCACATTCCGTTTCAGCTTGCTTGTTCAATGCTATCACAAGCAGCAGAACCTTAGAAACAAGTCACAGCTGTTTGTGAATTTCTATTTATTTCTGTTTTTTCCCCATTGTAGGTGTACCATGATTGTTCCATTATTCCAAGGCCTAATGTAGCCAGGGTCTCTGCAATCAGGGTTGGGATTGCTCTTACGGGCTCTGAATGGATTCTCTCATCTTCGAGTTCCATTCTTCGTTGTGGAAATCGATTAGATGCTGTGTGCAACGAGAATAAAATGGCTCTGGTTCATGTTTCTGCATTAACCTCCCTGCTGCTGTTCGGCCAGGTTTGGCATGCCTAACTCATCTGAGCCTCACTTTTATTTTAGTTATTGCATATGTGTGGGATTTGGGTGGTGTGAGGCCTCAGCAGGTGGCATTGGCCCCATAAAATATCACACGGCCCCTCTTTGGTCAAGAAACTTTTTGGTGGAGTATCTGTGGAATACCAGAGGCTTGTTCTTCTTTCTAACCTGGCTTGGCAACCTTCTGAACTGTCCGAATTCTCATCCATCTTCTGCATCTGCATCCGCCCATCAAGAAACCCATGTTTACTCATCATTTAAGCCCATCTCCTCACCTTCCCCTTGGCGGGCTTCGTGTGCTCTCCAGACAGATAGCTCTCTCTCTCTCTCTCACACACACACACACACAATCCATCCCCAGTGGTGCAGACTTGGTCAGGGAGTTTATGCCTGTTCATGATTAGAAAAATACAGACAACTCCTTTCATAGAATAGCCTTACACAATGATACACCAGGAACGACTGTATCATGCAACAAATTTGCTGCCCATCTCTCCTAGGGGAGATTCACCTTTGGCTGAACTAAGGTTCTTACAGTCATGGCCAACCTCTCCCTCATCCCTCTCCCAATTGCAAAACTTGCCCAACTTCGGGAGTTCACTCCAGCTCATGGTTAGGAAAACATGTACAACTTCTTCTCATTAAACAGATTTACATATGGACACAGTGGGAAAACTTGTATCATGCACAACAATTGCTGCCCCCATCACTTGAGGGGGAGGTTCGCCTAGCTGGACTAGGGTTTTCATTGCCATAGCCTAGGAGATCCCGCTGCTTGTAAAATATTTTTGGAAGGAAGGATCATCCTGGCAGTGTCTGTGCATAACCTTGTACACTTCGATTAAGAGAGAGGGGAATCGGGCCTTGAAGTAATAGTCGAATCCTTCGGGGACCGATCCAAGGAGTTCCTGCAACAAATAGAGAAAAACCATGCCAGATTCAAAGTGGGATATCAAAATTTTTAGGATTCTCTTTCCCCAATTTTGGACAAAATAGAAACCCTAGCTGAGAAGATCAAGATGCAGAGAAACAAGGGACAGGGCTTGATCCAATTCAATGGGGTTACTTATTTTTATACCTGTAGATCTCTTGGGAGCTCCCTGTAATGATTCAGCTTGTTCCTAATGACCCGAAGTAGATCACGGACGCAGTCAAACCTGTATCTTCTGTAACGGCCCATATCTGCGATTAGGGGAGCATCTAGCTTGTCCCCCCACTTGCCCCCAAATGCTGCCACTTGGCTGCTTTCCAGTGCCTCCAACAGCTCGGACTCCTTCTCCCTGTCCTCCAGTTCCACCCGATCGCTGGCGTCCCTTAGAAATGAGAGCCTCTCTTCACAGCTCCAGAAGAAGGGGTGGTGCAACACTTCCACTGCCTTTGGCCTGATAATGAGCAGATTTAGGGTGAGTTTCATTGACTAAATTATCTGCTGAAATTGGGGCAAAACTTAGGAGGAGAAGAGTGAGATTCTACCCACCTCTTCTCCGGGTGAGGGCTCAACAGGAGGGAGAACAGGTGGACTGCCTCTGGGTTGTGCTCCACCAAGAAGAGGTCCACATTATTTTTGACGATATTTGAGTCGCGTTCAAAATGGCTGCCAAATGGGTGCCTTCCCTTGGTGATGCAGAAGAAGAGGACGCAGCCCAGGCTGAATAGATCGACTGCCCTGGTTTGACGCCCATTGAGGAGCTGTTCAGGAGCTTGCCAACCAGAGCTTCCACTCCCTGCATGGATATGGAAGCAACAAGCTTCATGAGACCGTCTGCTCACAGAGTTAAAGAGTCCTGGGTGGAAGAAAATTGATGAGATTGAGAGGGTTCTCACCGGTAGAATGGTGCCCTAGAGAGGACATGTTGTCGGGTAAGTGTTTGCTGATGCCCATGTCTGAAATCTTGGCGGTGAGGGACCGGTCGGCACAGATCAACACATTCTGCGGCTTGATGTCGCGATGTATGATGCCGAGCTCATGGAGATGGGCAAGCCCGGAAACCACATCTCTGCATCAGTTTAGGCAATGCAATTAGGGGATCTTGGGGAAAATAGCTTTGACCTAATCATGTTTAAAGAGCCTGATGTGGGCCACTCAAGATGAGAATGCAAGAAACCCCAGCTGAAATGATGAGTTTGATGAGACTTTTGGAAGTTCATTCTGATCATAACATAGCCTTTTCTTTTCTTTTCTTTTTTTCTGGGAGGGGGGGGTTAGAAATATACTAATCAGGGAAATTCCGGCTATTTTGCTCCTTTACATGACCAAAAAAATTGCCCTAATCAGCTTTAGATGCGAAAATCACTTCTGGGAAGAACAGTCTGCTAATGGCATGCCTTTCTTTGGGGAGATGGGGTTACAACACTGATTGGGGCAATTCAAGGGTGTTTGATGTGCGGGCAGTGGGTGATAAGAGTCATTAGCATAAAGCAAGCAAAAGATAAGCAAAAACCAGCAACTGAAAGTTCCATGTCTCTCAAAATTCCACGCCTTGCTCACTCAATTATTTGCATTTAATGCTTCCTGGATGGCATGCACGCCGTTTTCTTGCACATAGTAACAGCAGTCACCCTCATCACACTAGACCAGAATCAGACCTTTTAAAGCACATCGAGTTGACGGCAGAAATTATCTTTCAGCATGAAAAGGGAATTGAAATGATATCAATTATTTCTGCGTAAATGATTTAAAGGAGAGAGAACTTTAATTCCTTCTTTCAAAGAAGGGCAACTCACAATGACTGCATTACATTACAAAACGGAGAGAACACAAGGAACATGACTGAACTTTGAACCGTTTTGGTATCTTATAAAAGAAAGCAGTGGAGGATTACATATTGCTGGAATTCTTTTATTGGAAAAAGAAAGAGTAAATCCATGAAGAGCCATGCTTCAAGAACTGAGCTTGATGTTATCTAGTCAGGAAGTTGTAGCATCAGTAGAGAACCATTCAGGCACTGTTACAATATGAAATCTCACTTGACTCTAGTTTGACTTACAAATATCAATTGGGCCATTGAATTCAAAGCTAATTAACTTTGAATGTAGATTATCTTTGGAATCACAGGTTTATTTGTGTACTAACTTGCGAGCTATCTTATAAAATATGGGACTATGTTTAACTCGCCCCCTCATGTGCTTGCTAACTTCAGGCCAAGAAAACCAATCGGCTCTAATACCATGATATAGTTGTCGGGCCATCCGACTCAAAACCATTGGCTTTGAGTGCACCAATAGTGGGTATTTTTCTTAATATATATGATTCCAGATAGAATAACTAAATAACATATTTTAGGAAACTTTGTCCCCCAATTCCACTAAAAAACCATGCAAAAATTCAAAGGGAAAGCAAATGGCTTGATTGAGAGATTGCCCAATTCAAGTAATCCCTTCTTCAGATTATACATTTATTTTTTTTCCGGACCATGTCAATTCTAAGAACGATAAATCTTCAAAGGAAATTTGGGAGGGAAACAGATTTCCATCTATCTGGGTTCCATACTGAAAATGTGGCGCTTGTGAGATGGGCGACGATCCTGTTGGTGTACTGGAGATCTGATCTGATCTCAACCCTTTACAACTACACAAGAAGTCTCTACAAAAAGTGGAGAGATTTTTCTCAAGAACACGTTGAACCTGACATCCATGAGTTCCACAGAACAGAGGATTAATGGCAGGCTTTCATTCAGAATGGCCATAATCCATCACACTCAAGCAATACGCCACCAAACAGGCATCGTTGACTGCTTTTATATCAAATGGCAAATCTGTCGCATCTTAGACCACAAGAGTGGCATATCCAGTAAATTTGTAGCAGACCATGAAGCTTATAGTAAATTTGCGGTGTCCAATCAGATGATTACATTTGGCACATCATGGATCCATCTCGAGGTATGTTATCCAGAGGCACGACCTACATTTCTAGCAGATTGTGCATCGTTTATGTCAGCAAGAGGGATGAAAGGCTGAAAAGAGTAACAGAAAGCCTCGGGAGTCTTGGGGGTGAGAAACAGGAGAGAAAGAGAAAAAGTACCTGAAGATTATCTCAGGACCTGATCACCCAAACTAACTACACCATTTTCTTGATGGGTCACATGAATGGTATTTCTTTCCCTTTTATCAAACTTGGCCAGGGAAGGGAAGTGGATATTCTTCAGTGGAAGAACTTTCAACAATAGAACTTAAGGTTGCCGCTAAGTAAAAAAAATCATTTTAACATCATTAGCATGAACAAATGAAACCATGTTGCTGGCTGCTCATTTCATGCCTAGTTTTCCTCCGCAAGGTTATAAGCTGAAAGTTTGATACACGTACCAGGGTAACACTGAGTTCCTGGACCATTCAAGTATGGTTGAGATAAAAGGCCATATTTATCAATGTATTGAAAGGAATGCCTTCATAATTTGCTAAAAAAATGATTTTTTAACTCCTTATACTCCTAAAAACAGAGGAATGGCCATTGAGAGATGTAGATTATAAGCAAGCCTGTGAAACCCCATAGACAGCTTACAAAATGCATAAATAGAGTAATAGATTTCTACTAACCTCATTAGCTTTAGCAGCTGAGATGATGGACATCCATTCGGTTTCCAGAGCTCAACGCCCTTATCGAGTCTGTTCACAAGGTCCAACCAAACTTTGTACTCATTTTCACTACCTTGCGTCAGAGCTGGAGAAACAGGAGAATCTGAATATGACTGAATCAGATCATTTAAGCTGCAGGTACAGCGTTCAAGCGAAAGATAAATGAAGTCCAGATCATGTTCTACTCCAAACCATCGAATAATATTGGGATGTTGATCAGAGGCAATAAGGTTCTGAATCTCTTTGAACGCAACTTCATGATGAGTCTGAACAAGACGTTTAACGGCCACCGGACGCCCAGCATATACTCCTTCAAGAATAACTGTGCCATTACTGCCCTTGGCTATTTCTGTCTTTGACAGAAATAGCTTACCGATCCACTTCCCATCGCCAGTCTCACCAAATCTTATATAACTCATCAGTTCATCTTCATTTTTCTTTTCGATTGTAAGCCCCTCATCTGCAAGCTCCTTATCAGTCAGAGTGCCAGCAATTGGCCCATTATTTTTTCCAATCTTCCTAGCTTTTCTCCTCCTGGTGACCACTGATCTCCTCTCAATCAAACCACTAGCTGGCCTGACAGATTTACCTTGGATTCCCACCTTTACATAATAGACTATGGGCATCACTAACGAGAGTAGGATGAGATACCATGAAACAAATATGTTCACAACTTGAGACTTGATTTCAGAAACAGTTTGACGAACATTTGTCCGAAGCGAGCTGTTGTTCCCTTCATGCTGTTCTACTGATAAAGAGGAAGACATTCGGCTGCCATCTAAAAGACTAAGGGATGTGTGAGGATTTTCTTCAACCTGCCGTGATCCTGAAAAGAGATCACTATGCACAATATCATGACCTGCATTGTGGCCTGTTGGTGGAGCAGCTAAAGCTAGTAGCTTAGGGTTCTTGCGTGAGGAGGCTTTTGGAATAGAGACCAAGCCATTTTTAACCGGGTCCAAACCATTGATCTGGTGCACAGGAATCCAGATGTTGCACTGCTCCCCGCCCCCTCCATGCTCAGATCCAAGTCCATCCCTGACTCTTTGACATGAATATGCCTTAACCATAGAAACTGTCAACCCCCATAACAGTTTGTCCGAAGTCATGAAATGGTTCAAAACATAATCAGTCCTCGTAATAAGCACAGGTGGTATAGCTGCGGGACTTAACTCTACCCAGTCACGATTTAGCAGCTTGGTCAATACCAACTCGCCTCCCTGACTCCCAATTCCCTCTGCTTGCTGAATCTCATCAGGCCAATGAGAAGTAATTACCTTCCCGTTCTTGGCATCAACAAGAAACACAGTTGACCTCTTAGATCCGAGGGTGACTCCTCCATCTAATGATATTCTTGGGGTGCTCTTGACATAGTCTTCTACTGTCATCTCAATTCTCTGAGACAAGGAATGCAAGAAAATAATTACATGGGACACTGAGAGAGAGAAAAAAAGTTTGTTCCAAGGTAGAGACTGACGGACGTACCCTTTTGCCAAATTCAGCAGTGTGTTCATACAGGTTCCAGTCATCTCCACAAGAGATGAAGTAGTTGTTGTCCCTTGAGAAAGCGGAATCTTCAACCTCACTATGTTTATAATCAGAATTGGTGGCCGTACTACGGTCAGAGAAGGCCTGATATGACATCATAAGTGGAGACCCAGATGAAAAGGAACCATAAACTTTTCCGGAATTGCTGTTGACCAAGTAAATTGTGCCATCTGAGAGAGCAATAACTGCAGTGTCATGCTTACTGTTCTAGCAAAAAAAAAAAAAAAAAAAAAAAACACGAATGATGTTAGAAACAGAGAAGAAAATCATTCACTATGTATGCAGCTCGATCATAACATTAGGCATTTTGGGTGGGCCACTTCCAATATTATTGCTAGATAAGAGACAAATCGGGTGAAGAATCAGATACTTTGTGGCTCTGCCAAGATGACATCTTGCCACTGCCGAGAGCCAACATAAAATGAACCATTGAAGCTTTTTTCAAACTGTGAGAACATAAATTTGTGCTGCATTTTCGGCTGAGAAGTCATTTGAGCAGAAAGATTTTGGACGAGAATGGGGCAAAGCATCCGAGGAAGGAGTAATCACCGCATGGTCGCATAATGTTCAGGGCAAAGATTGAGATCGAATGTAATGATTTGCTGCTGAGCAACGCTACGACTGACCACATTTTCTCAGCATTAGCATATTAAGAGTGCCCAACCAAGAACCACACCTCGAAATCGCTTGAGGGCGGCAGAGATCCAATCGAGAAACAGTGTGGAGATTCATTACTTGCAGGAAATCACTAGAAGGGCATCGATTTTCAGCTTCGAAAAATTCTCGTCCATCAGATTGTACCATTCAGTCGCTAACGGAAAATGCGCGTTTATCAGTGGATGACAAGGAGACATCACATAGATTCATCCTCCTTCTCGAACGGGAAAGCAAAACTGATTGAGTCAGAAACGGGAAGAACGTCGAGGTAGCTCGGCGGGGCGTACTCACTCGTTCAAGATCGAGGGGACGATCCCTCTCCCGGAGCCCTCACCCAATCGCGAAGGGCCTTTCGAGCCCTCTCCGTGGGGGAGAGCTCTCAGGGCCGGCGGGCCGACGGCGCCCAAGTCCCCCGGAACTTTGAAAGATTCCGATCTGGAGAGGAGCAAAGTAGCGAAGATCGAGACGAGGAAGAAGAGGGGAAGCTGGAACGGCGGCCACCACCACCACCACCACCATCCCCACGACGACTTCATGGGCCTCGGCGCACCGTCGCAACGCGCCTGGGAGAGGAAGAAGAACAATCGAGAATGGTCGATTGATTACCCCTTTTGTCTCCCTTTTGAGATCTTCGCAGGTGCTCCGACACTTCGAATAATAATAAAAAATAGTAGAAAATAAGATTAACTATTCGTCGGGTGAATTTAATCAAAGAAAAAAAATAATGCGATTTTTTCACGAGAAAGTCTGCATTTGAAACATGATAAATAATTGAATAATTATTTAATTAAATGAAAATGTGGGTTTCTGCTTCGTCGTATCGAGATAAATCTTTTTTAAAAAATTCTGAAAATACCCCGAATAAAAAGTTCCTAACTTTTGTCATGGGTTGAATTTCTCCAGATTGACTGAGAGATTCCTTCCACCAGTCGTGTAGAAAGGATATATTATTAAAGATATATTAATTTAAATTAACGATAAGACCTTTCCCCGCGAGCCGTAAATGCGGCATAATTCCCCGTAAAATGTCTTCTCCCAGGCCCACGGCGCCGTCAGTTTGGACCAGTCAGCCGACGCTTTATAAATTAGACCCCTACTAATACTTGCAATTACAAAAAAACCTTTTCATGGATCTACCTTTATTGAAGAGGCTCAAACAGTCAGAATTCGAGCGGACTTGTTCCCAATTTCCATACTTCAAGGTGTTTTCCTAAAGTCAGAGGGATGACAAGGACCAAAAGGTTTAAAGAAGAAAGAAAAAACCTTGCAGAACACGTGCCCCCAAACCAGTGCTATTCATTCTAAACAGGGAGCTGATGTTCTCCTAGACAAGCCCTGAAACCATCCGCAGGGAACAAGAGTCAACGAAACAGACGGCCAGGATCGACTGACCTTTCAACGGAGAGGGCATGATTCGATCTGGGTCCTTCTCAGACGATGGATTCCGCACCGTCCGATGCCGCGGAGGTACCGTTGGGGCTGAACTCTGGTCGGAGCTGGGAGGACACGTCGTCGATGGCGGAGTTCAATTGCTCGATCTTATTCGCCAAGATCTTCCGCGTTTTCTGCGGCAATCGGAGTAAAACACTCAATTAACCCAATCAAAAGGCCACGTCGGACCCAGGCCTGAACGATATTGGGCCTCATGAATACCAAGTGGGCCGGGGTCTCTTTGACTATTTGACCGGAAGAAAAGTCAACCGACGGCTAAGAGTTTTACCTCCAGGGCCTTCTCTTCATCGTAGATGAATTTCGGCAGTTTCTTCATTAGATTCTTCCGGTCTGCACCAGCTAGTGCCCTGCTGATCTGCAGAGGGTTTGACCAGAAGGGAAATGTTAACGAGCAGGGCCAACGCTGACCATCTGATGAGCCGTTCTCTGACAAGATAGTGATGAAGAGGAACCCCACTTTCCCAAAAAAGGAAAGAGAGGAGACCCGGTGTGATGGATGTGCTGACCTGAGGTGCATATATGCAGCCAAGCGCACCCACGATAAGTCCACCCAAGATGAAGCCACCCACGAAGATGTTCCCACTGCTCGATCTTCCAGCATCTTGACTGCGATTTTTTTATTGAAGACAAGTATTTTACGATGGCAGCATGCAGAAGTCAAGACCAGTCGACAGACCGAAGGAAGTCAATGCACTCCACATTGCAGGATTTCTCCTGAAGGAGGGTCGAAGAAATATTTACCTCAAACTGATATAAGTTGACTAAATCCAACAAAGAGTTCACATAAATATTGACCTCGAACTGATATGAGTTGACTAAATCCAACAAAGAGTTCACATAAATATTGACCTCGAACTGATATGAGTTGACTAAATCCAACAAAGAGTTCACACAAATATTTACCTCAAACTGATATGATTTCGTCTGCCAAAGGTCACTCACTATAAGAGATGAAGGCGTGTATAAAAATAGCAATCATCATATAACAATCGTGGTAATTTTTTTCAAGTGTTCAGTTCAGACTGCTCCTCAAAACCCTTCTTCAAACAGAGGGAAACGCGACCGATTACTAGGAGAGAACATCACTTAAAGTCCAAATAGAAAAGATTCGGACGTGCTTTCAGGGTGTAAGAAGTGTTGACTTTTCATGGATACTGGAACACAGGGCACAACTAAGATTCCTCGTTTATGAAAAATATGGTGTAGAGACCAATTATCACCATCTCCTAAGGAATAAAAACGTCGGCAATAATCAAATTCCATACTAATAAGTTAATCAATATAACAGAATGAAAATGTCCTAAATGAGGACCAATCCTACATAGTGATGCAATACTTGATAGGAAGTCAGCGCATACACCTGATATTCAAGCCAGGACTCACTACACAAACAAACTGTTATGTCTCCTAAACTAAGGAAGAAAAAAGATGTTCGAGATGCATAAAAAATTCAAGAAACAAAAGCAGCAGACGGGTATAAGAAAACACTTGATAAGTCAACGGCACACGAACAATTAGGTAAGAAATATAGAGGCGACGTTCCACACTAAAAGCCTGGGCACCAGTTTGGGATTGTGTCCTGTACAAGATTGGCTGTTGTTGTCTTCATGATGCTTTTGATTAAAAGAAAAGATCAGATTACATCGTATTGAATACAGAGGCTCCTTTCATTAGGCCTTGGAAGAATCACACTAAGGTTTACCAGTGATGGTAATGGCCCCTAGATGCACTCGTATAAGAGGTGCATACCTCAGTAGATCTTACCACCAACTAAATAATCACAAGGAGAGACCACAGGCCTTCAAAGGTGCGTTCTCCCAATCCCATGGATGTAAACTGATATCAACAATAAAAGATGCAAAGTATGGGATTTGATCTGAGAGCCAGCGCATACATGACTCGTTAAACTCAGTTACACATTTTAATACCCAGATACTTTGGACTAAGTGATCACAGAATGAGTTTTAGAAATGATGATGATGATGATGATGATGATGCCTCTTTATTAAAAATAGGTTCATCAAATCTGATTCCCCCACCCTTCTGGGTGAGGTTGTGAGTGTTCAGCTTCTATAGTGTACCTGTAGCCAGCTTGAACTATTGTAGTAGTGTTCCTGCGGGCTGTGAATTTCACTTTCCTCTGGGGCACTGACTTGAGTGATAATTTTCCATTACTGAGAAGCACCAGACACTGCTCTGATTGCTTTGTGGAATAACCTAAATTTGAAAGATCGAAACACTTTAGACAATCATAAAATAATAAATTCTATATTTTATCCAGAAAGGACATGCGTATTTATTAGAGATTGAAATGATACCATGTACCTTTAGAGAAAAATTATTTAATACAATTCTGGTCCAAGGAATTGAAGAAATGCGTTTAAAACAATCGACTGAAAGCTTAAGTGATTCACACAACTAAACTTCCTTAAAGTACAGGCAAAACGTTGAATTATGGGTCATAGGTAATGCAGGGGAACGGAAATGGAATGCAGATCACAAATTTTCGTCAATTCAAAACAAGAAAAAAATGAATATCGTGCAAGTTAGGCTGTGGTCGTATTGGCTGCAAGCAGAACGTAGGCGCTGTAGGTGTTTGTTTGTTGACCATGCACTCTTGCGTTGTGTAATGTCATATGTATGATAGAGGTGGTGTGTTGATTCACCCAATGCTAATCGATAGTGAAAGAAAACATCATATCTCATCTATGAAAATAAGAGTGTCATTTAGTTATTTTTCGAAAGAAGCAAACTAAACCCTCTCAGGAAATTACTTTCATGTTCCAAGAGATAGAACTAGAACGTTAGGGTAAACCGACAATTCTCAATCTGTGTTTTAGAAAATTCACGATATCAGTTGCTGGATACGTCATACGTTTCTTTGAAAACAAACTCAAGGCAGTAGACATTTGACTCACACACAAGTTATGCCTTACCTTGTTATAATTTACCTTATGTTCCATTCAAATAGTTGTGGACCAATATCTGACACTAAAACATTTTTCCTCCGAAAAAGGAAATTCAGAATCGTTGGTCCAACACACTCAAAATAGACTTGGAAAGAGGACCTCAATTATCAGGGAGTGCTCATAACCAAACGACTGATTCTCCAGTCGGAGGACTTCCAGCAGAAAGAACACAGTAAATTCCACACAAACCTCCATCTCAAAACTGATACCCTCTGGAAAAAAGTTATTTTCGTTCAAACTGGCAGTTTATCATCTTTCATTCACACGATGTATATAAAGATAAAGATATCTGATGCTCCTTCTGGAAAGAAGGCAACAAAAGGTGATCCCCTGCCAGAATAGGATGGAGGCTACAGGAAGAGAAATGAGGAAATATTTGGCCTGACAATGAAAGATAAATCATTACCAACCAAGTTCGCCCATTGGCAAATAATTCGAGAGAAACTTGTTATGAAGGACGTAATGGGTGACGTATTTCGCTATTTCATCACTCACATTTACCCCCAATACGTAATAAGATAATATGTACGTATTTTCTGACGCTATTTGTAGTCACATCTTTTGGGACACTATTTGGCTATCTAAAATTATGAACCTGAGTTAATTCAAGAGAGCCTGCCTCGAAAACACATGGGAAAAATAATCATTTCCATCAGTCCTTGTTATGTGCCTCGACATGGAACACAGACAAGCTGAATGATTCAAACATAGTCAATTATATTTTGGAGATATTGCGACATGTTCATGAACAATCTTTTCCTTTGGCATCCGGCATAGTGATCTGTGGGTCAAGTGGCACATATATGGCAGTACTCAAGCGAACAAGAATACAAGATCACGAGGTTGTGAGAAATAATATACACAACCGTAATTTAGGCAAGTTAGCCATCATTTCAATAAATCATCGATTTTTTTCGCATACGAAAATGATAGGGATATTACATCTACAATGCGGACAAAATAAATGGAGAATCATCCACCCGAAAGTAATAACGAATATGCTCATGCCATATCACATCGAACGAGCAAATAAGTTGTCAGACGAGGACTAGATGCACACCGAATCAAGGAAATCCAAGATAAGAGAAAAATTAAACTCGCAAAACGCCATCAGTACAAACACTACGAGGAAAAAAACCTAGGTGAAATCGTGAACCGGGCTCGTGGAGCTTGTTTCACAGGAAACTGACCAGAAGAAATCGAGAAAGAGAGACAGAACTTACCGCGCAACGAGGGAAGACGCAGATCTCCAGCGGAGACGAAGGAACTAGCCAGAGCAGCGGCCATGTCAGTTCAATCTACTGATCCTTTTCTCGTCTCTTCCTCTCTGTTGCTCTCCTTTCTCTAGATCAACTATCGAGAGAGAGCAAATCAATGGCGATAAATGACAGACTGGATCGGCGGTGGCAGGGAATTGCCGCTCCCACTCCTCTCCGGATCGATGATACCAATGCCCGGCGTCCTTGAAAGCGATCCCTTTTTGAAAACCCAAAATATATATACATATATATTTCCTATATATGGAAATTAATGCAAAATCAGAGCAGATCAGACCTTACCCTTCATTCTTTCGTTTTCATCTTATTTTTTAATTATGACGGAAAATAGAAAATAGAATTCCACGCCTTTTCCCAGATAAGCGCAAGTAATTATCAGTTTCAGTGGGTACGAAGATATTAATGGGCCGTGTGAATGATTTTCGCCCATTTTATTCGAATTTGGGCTGCAAATAGATCCCAGAATGATAATTAGCCCCAACTTTGTAGGAACTCCGATTGGGCTTTACAAACTGGGCCCGGCCCACTATCAGCAGTTCCCAGGGGGCATATCAGTCAATAGCTTAATATTTAATTATCCATAAATAGTCAAAAGTTCTATCTGAGACAAGTCAACAGCCAGTCTCCTCCATTGAGGCCGACTATCAACATCTGGCCGTTCTGACGAGCTGCTTTCCGGGTCATCCTCCCCCCCAGCGGCAGTCGGCCACTTCGAGGAATTGTGCCTCTCTGTTCGCCACTCATCCTTGGGTGATCTTTCGAGCCTCCCCCCCCGCAGGAGGTGGGAGAGAGAGAGAGAGAGAGAGAGGAGCAAAGGAGGAGACAGTGGGGGAATGTCGATGTGGGGACAGCGTGAGATGTCGTTGACACGACTGTCGGTGCCGGCGGCATGTGTTGGAGGGTGGGTGGGTGAGCTCTCGCTCGGATGTCGTCTGTCGCAGAGCGTCGTCCCGGTGAAGGGTGAAGCTCCTGCTTTTGTTTCTTCTTCTCTAGAGATTACGATTCTACTTAAGCTCTAATAAAAGCTCGGTCCTGAGAGTTTTGCAGTCTTAATGGCCCAGGTTTATGAAGTTAGAGCGAGATCTAACCGACTTGCAGGGTATTGATTCTGAGATGGCGCCGCTAAAAGAGAAGAGTTACCTGGGAGGTAATTGGGAGGAGGAAGACGTAGGCTATCGCCTCCAAACCGACCTAGAACCAGAAACCCAGAGGGACGGCGCCGCTGGCTGGACTGGTTTTCTCTGCCTCATTGATTCTGGAAAGGAGGCCGCCATATCTTCCTGCTGCTCTGCGGCGAGGTTGAGGGAGAATGGCGGGTGGGGACCCAACCGACTCGAGGGAGCTGGACGAGACACCCACCTGGGCAGTCGCCTCCGTCTGCACCGTGATCGTCCTAATCTCCATAACCCTGGAGAAGCTTCTGCACCACATTGGAAAGGTAAGAGTGAGGAGAGAGGGGGTCGAGTCTGTTGAGCTGTTTGCTATTATTATGACTCAATTCTTGGTATCGAGGGCTCTCCAGACCTCCTCGAAAAAGTAGTGATAACTTTCTTCACTCGGACACGTGATTCTCGGCTGTTGATTTCAGTGGTTCACAGAGAGGCGCAAGAAGTCGCTGTTCAAAGCTCTCGAGAAGGTCAAAGCTGGTACGAACTCTTCTCGTCCTACCCACATCGCTGCTATTCGGTTGAAGTCCCTGTTTGACCATTTTCTTAGCCGATCAAGTGGGTCAGCTTAGATCTTCAACAGGAGCAGCCTCGTTCCAGTTTTGTTCTTTCCAATTAGCTCTTGCGAAAGCCTGGAGAGGAAATGATATGCTTTGCCTTCTCTTGCAGAGCTGATGATCCTTGGCTTCATTTCCTTGTTGCTGACATTTGGGCAGAGTTACATCGCCAAAATCTGCATACCAGAGAAGGTTGCAGACACGATGCTACCCTGTCGCCACAAGGATGCCGACGAGACCGAGAAGAGCAGAGAACACCGAAGGGTCTTGTTTGATTTTGTTCAGTCGAGCCGCAGAATTTTAACTGGACCCAGCAGTGGCTCATCTTGTCCGAAAGTGGGTGCAAACTGATAGAAGTCTTGCGGATTGTCTAATTCTCTCTGCATATTTTTAATCAGAATCAGCTTAAATTTGTATCAGCAGGGTAAGGTTTCTCTTGTATCAGTCCGTGGGATCCATCAATTGCACATCTTTGTGTTCTTCTTGGCGGTCTATCATGTCATATTCAGTGCAATGACCATGGCGCTTGGTAGGGCGAAGGTGAGTGCCTCACCATGATTGCCCTCCGATATCCAAATTCTCATTCCTTTATGAAAATATACTCTGAATACCGGGTCTGCACTACTTCAATGCAGATTCGTGGCTGGAAAGAGTGGGAGAGGGAGACCTCATCAGTTGACTATGGGTTTTCAAATGGTACGTTGAAGAACCACAGAGAGACAGTTCATGGCCCGTGTTTTATAATCCTTTAGATTGATGTGCGGAAGCCTTGCAGATCCAACAAGATTCAGATTCGTCCACCAGACATCCTTTGTGAGACAGTATTTAAGTCAGTGGAATAGGATTCCGTTCTTGCTTTATATTGTAAGAATCTTCATCTCTTCGAAACAGGAAAAAAAAAAAAAAAGGATCTTTTTCAGTGTTTTATTACATCGTTTTGTTCATGGGCAGTAACAGCATCACTCCTTTGGCATCTGAATGAAACGTTCCTACTGTTGTTTATTTTATTTTATTTTATTTATTTACTTTAAATAGGGTGTTATCTGGTTCACACTTTTGCAGGTTAGCTTCTTCCGCCAGTTTTCTAGGTCAGTTCGCAAGGCAGATTACCTGGCCATGCGCCATGGCTTCATTTCTGTGAGTCCTCAACCAGCAGGATGCATGATGCCATCTCGCCCATTATTCTTCATCCTCGTCTACTCCTCTGCCCTTGCAGACCCATTTAGCTCCAACCAGTAGGTTTGACTTCCAGAAATACATCAAACGATCCCTGGAGGATGATTTTGCAGTCGTCGTGGGAATCAGGTACCCAAATGGCCTCATTTTTCCAATTTACTGCCGTCATTCTACGACCGTTCTGGTTTCTTCGGGATATCTAAGAATTTCTTCTTCTTCTTCTTCTTCTTCTTCTTTTTATCAGTTTTCAGAACCAAAATTATTTTTCATTAGCCATGTTTTTGCCATTTAAGGTAATCTTCCTCATATGGTCATGGATTTTAGATCTCTCGTACAAATGATAGCCTGATTCCTTCATTTCTATAAGTAGCCGCATGTATGCTGGTATTTTATTTTTAACATGTATCTTCAGCTCCTATATTTAAAAGAATATCAGCCTCCATCGATCTCAATCTAATCCCCTTTTCTTTACATGCCTGGCCAGTCCAATCCTGTGGGCTTCTGCGGTGGTGTTCTTGCTTCTAAATGTCAGCGGTGAGAAATGAGCACATGAGTGAGAGAATCATGGAATTTTTAACTCATCAAACCCGGTAGATCCATTGGAGCTGGCCTCTCAGACACTCCTCCTGTTCCTCCTTTCAGGGTGGCAGACGCTCTTCTGGGTCTCCATAGCTCCCCTTATCGTAAGAACCCTAAAGAATTGCTTTTTTCTGGTTTATTTCACCTGATGGTGATGGCCCGTGAGCAGCTTCATCTGATGTATAACACCAAATAGAGCAGTTGATCTTGGCAGTGGGGACAAAGCTGCAGGCTATCATCACCCAGATGGCTCTTGAGATACAGGAAAGACATTTAATCATCCAAGGGATCCCTCTTGTGCAGCTCACTGACCACCACTTCTGGTTTGGGCGGCCTGGCTTACTCTTGACCTTCATCCACTTCACTCTGTTCCAGGTATCTCCCAGGCTTTGCCACATGGCAGGCTGCACCTACTCCAAGACCATGCCCAGATAAAAACTGGGTTGGGCCGGATTGGGGCTTTTTTTATTTCCAGGCAGAGGTGCAAAAAATAAAAATAAAAATGACCAACCATGATAATGCTTGAAATGCTCGAATATTGGAATATTGATGGAATTTTTGTGCAGAATGCGTTCCAGATAACGTACTTCGTATGGATATGGGTGAGAGGCGCTGCGCTCATTCAGGGTTTTTTTTTTTTTTTTTTTTCTTAACCCTGATCCAAGGAGATGGGTTTTTCTTGTTCTCCGCTCGGATTTGATCTTGCCTGAGCATTTCCCATCTTGCAGTACGAGTTCGGTCTGAAATCTTGCTTCAACGACAATCTGAGGCTCATCATCGCGAGATTATGTCTTGGGTGAGGCTCATTTCTAGATGGGCATTTTCTGACGGCAGCTCAGAGCATAAAGAACCATTTTTATTTTAAATTTGGGTGGTTTGAATTCGGCACCGACCCCGTTGACTTCATTCGTCCATGATCTTCTCCAGGGTGGGAGTCCAATTCCTGTGTAGTTATGTCACACTCCCTCTCTACGCCCTCGTATCCCAGGTATTCTTCCCCACTGAGCTCTCCTTCAGACTTGGGACTTGTAAAATTGAGCTGAAACTAACTAAGAACACTAACATCATCACGAAATTGAAGAATCCGATGGGTTTGTCCATCATGCTACATCAGATGATATCATCCTCCTGATTTCTCGGTAGCAGCAATCCTGTGCAGGAATTATTAATTGGGGATTTTTTTTTCAACCTCAGATGGGATCTCACATGAAGAGGTCAATCTTTGACGAGTACACAGCCAAGGCCCTGAAGAAATGGCAGCAGAGCGCGAAGAAGAGGCACAACAGCTCGTTGGTCAGCTCCGGCACGAACCCCCCGCCGAACCCGGAGGCCTCCCCAGCACGCCAGCTCCGCCGGTTGAAGACCACCGGGCACGCGACTGACGGCGGCGCCGCCTCTTCGAGGTGGCAACACCAATCGGGCTGTTCCCTCTCCGACACTGAGGCCGACAGATCTCCTCCAGTGGAGCCCAGCAGCCCCAAGGAGGACTCCTCATCTGCTAAGCCCTCGACAAAATCAGGGCCGGATCTAATCTGACGGCGCCGCCGAACATGCTCACAGGTAATTAGAATCTGTGCTTCTCGGCAGACCCAGCTGGGAAGTTGTGTTGTTCAGTGGGGTCAAATGTGGTCAACTCCTCATCTTCCCTTGATGTCAAGACAGGGGCTTCTCCTGATTTGTTTATTTTCATCTATTTACGTGTGCATTATGTAATATATTACAGTATATTATGTAGCTTACCGATCTTATCTGTGGGGCTGTAATGGGCTTGGAGAGTCAACGGGGGTAAATCCTCCTAAAACAGAAAGATTTCTACGATCTGATTACACATACCAAAAGAAGCTAGGGCTCAAACGATTATGTGCTAAAATTAGCCTAAACCTACCCAACCGAAGACGATATCTTCTTGGATCGAATTGACCCTACGCTGCTTGAATGACTGCATGACTTTGGAAGAGAGTTCAAGCATCCCAAACTACTACAAATACACCATAAAATACCATAAATAGCCTGGGATCAATCAATTTTGTGCCAAAATCAGCCAATTATGTGCTAAAATTAGCCTAAACTTGCCCAACTGAAGACGATATCTTCTTAGATCATTTCAAAATCGGAAGATCTAGCTCGAATTGGCCCAGCCTGAATGGCTGCAGATAATTGATCGGAGTCAACCCTGCATCTCTTCCCTCAGAGCTCACAACCATCATGATCTGATCCGGACCCAATCCAAAGGCTTTATGCTATTTCTGATCAAACATGTTCTGATGGAACACGGAAAGAAGTGTAATTTTATGATCTGATCCCTCTTAAGGAGACTAGAGGTCAAAGGTTTGACCACATGTGACTAATCCACAGCAAAGAAGTTGACTAAAGAACTTTCTCCATAGTCCAAACCTAGTTAGAAGGGGAGGATCATCTCGTAGGGTTACCTAGCAGAGCTCATCGAGAATCTCGATAAGGTCATCCACCTCATGCCTTAATGCTACGAGCTTCTGCTCATGCGCAGCGATACGGTTCTCTATTTCCCGCCCGCTGTGCTTCTTCTCGTAGGAATCGACCACAGAGGAGTGTTTCAGTATCAGCCTCTCCTGCAGCTCTCTTTCCTTGGCAACCAGCTCCTCTACCTGCAGCATGACGAGATAAAACGACAACAGAGGTGTTGACTTCACATCATAGCCATTACTGGAGTTGACAACAAATATATTTCTGCAATTGCATATAGAAATGGGTTCTGTAATTGTCTCATAAATAGCAATCGTCGGTCAAACTATAAAAATGAATTGGATAACCCAAGGGCGATCACTATCTGGATTGGTCAACATCCGTACCATGATGATTTAAGAGTAACCACATAATTTAAGTCTGTTCTACTCTCAGTAATATAGTCATCAGCAAAAATGATCTTATCTTCTAAGTTATTTATCTATTCATTTCATTTTTTTGGTGGGTAGGAAGGGACTGCTGTTAAAATCAGGATCGATGAATGGTGGAAGCTATGGCCATCTTCTGAATGGTGAGAACCAGATAGTTGACTTGTGTAAACACAGTAAATATACACACCTTCGGCCATATCTGGGCAGCTTGTGGAGAAGATTGTAGGGATCCCAACGCCAGGTTCAGCTCTTTTAACAATTCTTTGAAGACACTGTCAGCTGCCTTACGAGCCGCTTTACAAGATCGGACATCTCCTGTCCTGGAAAGATCTCTTAATGAGGCTTCCAGCTTACCATGGACCGCTAGACATCGGTTTATAACACTCAGGACATGCTGAAGCGATGTTTGCACCTTCAACCAATCAAGGGTAGATGGTATAAATCAACATATTCCACCCATTTACAGAAAGAGTTTCCAATACTGGTTAACCAGCAGTTCACCGAAAAATAGATGGCATGAGATACTGTCAATCACTATCGTGCAGGAAAAATAATAATGCAGACGCCATGGCGGGAAGAAAAAAAGAAGGGTATTCAAGGAACAGACAGAAGATAGTAAACCATTTTAAGTAACGAGCGATTTAGATAGTACTAGTATTGCCGTGTAACTCGCATACCTCGTCCCACTGAAGCTTTGAAATATATGAAGCAGAGGACTTGGAAATTGACATATCAACATGCATGAATACAATATACGCAACAAAGAGGAGAAAAAATCCAGAAACTAGCATCAGAGGCTCCCTCAGCAGTGAAAGATTGTTGAACCTGTAATATACCTGGATACATGGAAAAATATTGTTATTGACGATGTAACCCGTAAATTAACATAACAGAAAAGTATTTGAAAAATACGATATATCATAGGGTATAGTTATGGTGGCACATATCTATCTACTAACGTGAAACGGTTTAATTAACACAATTTCCAAGCAGTGATTCCAGAAGTTTGGAGAGAATTGAGGAATTGAAGAGTGCTATATGGATGCGAATGGGTCTTGACCATAACTAGATAGTAAATAAGTTTGGAAATGGTTGCTGCTCCGCAATCATAAGTGAACCATTCCATTATTGCCTCACTTTTGGAGTGAAAAGCTACATATTGAGGAATAATTGGTCTCACCCTAAAGTGGGTTCGAGGCTTCAGAAGCCCACAGGCCAGCACCACCAGAGACTAGTAGATGCGGCTCCAGATTCCACAGCAGTCCAAATGAGAAAGGGACGTAAGGGCCCAAGTTGAACGGGATTGTTGCTCTGTCTTTCTGGGATGAACGAGAGAGGGTGAATGACGGATACTAGGTAAAGGAGTCTGGTGAATGAGGGCATCGGATGCCGGTCTGTTAATTTCACAGACGAGTCAACTTTGCACACCCAACAAAAGGATTTTTTAGATAGCCCTGGGAGAATTCACTATAGAGTGGAGTATATAACAGTCGACTTCGAACGTGGCATCCCAGTTGGGATTCAGAAACTTTTGTGACATCAATTCAGGTTCCGTTTATGGAATCTTGGTGTTTTTGGCTGTAAGCAGGCCTAGTTCATTTCTACATCCATCACACCAGCTGTTCAATAAATAACAGTACAATCAAAGATTTAATTTTTTTTTTTGGGCTTGATAAAACCATTTGAGAATATTAAAAAATACGAACCAGGAAAGGTTCATTATGCTCTGGCACCACGTTAGTCTTTTTCAGCACAAGGACCGGTCGCCCAGCAATATCCAGGTGGGAGTATTTTATCTGTGAAGAATCCAAAACAAAATCAGAACAGAAGAGTAGAAAAATCATCAAAATTAGCTTCCAGTCCAAAAGGATTTTTTCCTCAAAGAATCTATGATATCTAACCTCTTCCCATTGTTTTGTAGAGAATGGAACAGATGAGTAGAAGTCTTTAGAACCTTCAGGCAAAACGACCTGTAGAATAAAACAGTAGAGTTAAGAAATATTATGGTAAAAATTCTCGATATTATAAGCTTTTAGGCATCATTAAGGACTCGATTCCATGTCAAATAAAGAATCCATAGCTCTGGAGTGTTTTCAGATCAGTTGTTGTGACTGGAAATACCAATTTCCAAGGTGGTGCTGAATACCCAGAGATTGTAGCTTTGGAAAAGAGAAGGCCAGACAAATGTTTCAGCAGACTAGTTGGCAGGAAGATTGCTTGTTCAGTTGGATACCTTAAGCTCAAGAAGCCCTCCAACATTCACCAACATTATGAAAATTCTAGATGATGTTGAAGGGAATTTGATCTTTCTATATGGTAACAATGACCCACGAAGTCATTGAAGCAGAAATATTAACTAAGTTCAACGCTATGCACTGCACCTCAATGCAAATTATTAATTTAGCTAATTATGATTTTAGTTTACACTAATCTCTTCATTGAATTGCATCTTCTTTACAGTCTGCTGTTTTAAAATTGATCAAAAAGCATGAAAACGATACATTTTCAATAAAATAATAAAAATCCTGACTCTGTTTTAAAACAATGATTTTCAGATGCGCATCACTGTGATTCATGAGACTAGTACAGTCCAGTATTAGCTGATCAGCATCAGTTTTCAAGGTATCTATATGGTATCCATACTCTTACACCCAACCTTGATCATATATAAAAATAAGGCGTGAAATGAAAGCAGCTGAAAAAAGATAAGTGAAAAAATCAAAGTTAAATAATCTTGTTACAGCAAACTGTTTATGGCAAGGTGGACAATGGATCTGTACACAACTTTCATGATGTATAATGAAGAACTTTCAGAATATTTCTCAGGAAAACATTCTGAATCAAAATACAAACAAAGATTGTATGCCCTGAAATGGATATCTTACGGGAAATATAGCATATGACTGAACTATATAATCTCCAAACAATAAAAAATAATTTGACAGAGAAGTTTTTACGAAGAAAACAATAATACATGCAAGTGGAATGCCTGAAATTCGTCATGATCCAAAAGTTCTCACTTGCCTTCACAATGAGATCATCTACAACAACATCTTCTATGGGGCACCCAAACGAAATATTGAGTAGGCGCCTTCCTTCGGATTGAAACAAGAAGTCTTTCAAGGGTAAGCCATATCCAATAGTAAAAGATGTTTTCCACCCGCCGAACATCGGATATCGAGGCTCAATTACCAGTTCTGTCTGCAGGAAAGTTGCGGAATTCACGATATATAAACTCAGAAGAAAATTTTAGAGTTCAAATTGTAGTGTATAACATGATCAGCGAGTGGTTTTTTCTTCACTGAAGAAATACCTTTCTAGAATCACCCCTGAGATGTGATGTGGAGACATTTCCAATTTCATCTCTATAGTAGACAGAATGAGCTCTTGGCGGTAATCTAGCGAGAAGATGCCTAAATGATGATGATTCACTCGCGAAAGGCCTTGATTGATAGTCAAACCTGAAAATAAATAAATCAGTGAGGTGATATTATCTCTCAAACATACAGCTGATACCCACATGCCAAAGAGTATTAGATGGGGTAAGCGCAAAGGACAAGACCTAGAAAATCCCCCTTTGTTGTGAGCTCCTCCATGGACAAGCTTGTAGTGTTCAGTCACCTGTACGTTGCCCCAATGGGAAATTTCGATTTCTCGCAGAAGTTCTTGAGCTACTGCAAAAGGACTGCTGCTTTCAAAGTGGACAACTATTGGTGTATATGAGAAGACTGGAAGGTTCTCATATGGACCATATTTGATCTCAGAATCTATAAGCTTTGAATTTTCAAATTTGGTAAAAGATTCGACATTTTTACTAGGTAATTTAACTCCAAGAGACTGGACCTTCACTACATACGGGGAAAGATAGTATGCACTGTCCTGGAACACAACGAGCTGAACTTCAGTTTGACTAATTTGTTCAGGGAATGGCTTTAGGGAGTGTGTAAATACAGCCAGCACATCTAAGTTTAATATTTCTCCCCTGCGTAAATCCTTTTGTAGCTGAACCGCATAAAAAGTCAAGTCTGGTGGCATGCCCTGAGGTTCGACTAATTCAACTCGAAGTTGGTCAGAGGACACTTTCGATTTCCCTTCCCGATAGAATGACCTCAGCTCCGCAATGTTTCTTGCCTGGTGGCTAGGGAATGCAAGAAGAACCTTTGATGCCGTGCTAGGACCAGCATTCTCTATCTGCAGAAACCATAAAATATTATTTTAATGCTCCTCATTCATAATTACAGAAATGAGAGAAAAGTGAGTGTACATAGTTAAGAAAATTATCTGCAAGGAAGAAAAGTGATGGGTCTGGAAAGGTGAAATACTGGTGCTCTTTCGATTTAATCCTATTTATTTTAGACATTAGAGTGAGTTAGAAAACGCCAAGCTCAGGATAAACGAAAAGAAAGAAGCACAAAAATTGCATAAGTTAAAGAAGTTACTATGTAAACAAGGTATGATTTAAAGATCAGTGATACAAGGCCAACGAGAAAATGTTAGCCCAGCTGTGCTCCTTTCACTTTTTCAAAACAGTAAGAACGACGCCTTCCTGCATACATGCTAAATACCTAATTTATATAGCATATAAAGTAGTAAACTAGCTCATCTCCAACCTCCCCATTTCTCTGTTATGAATGCTAACTCATAACGTTATTGTTTGTACTGTCGACTTATAGTTACACACCTTATCTATCTTAATTTTGAATTCACCAAATGGTATTCGAAATTTGGAAATAGTGATTCACCATGTTATAAGCACCTAAAAACGTTATGCAAGGAAAAAAACGTTGAATTTTGAAGTTGTTATTGCTACTTTCGCATCCCATAGCAGAAGATTCGCAAAATGCCCTTGTAAAGTAAATATCATTTAGAAACTTTTCTATCTCTATCAAATGTCTACTGGTGGCTTGAGAACTCCAGATCCATTACTTCCCGCTCAAAGAACGTTTTCTGTGTGACTCTCTAGAGTGTCAGCATGCATCTTCAGCGGTTGACTTTCATCAAAGGATGTTTTACATTTTATTTTTCGAGAAAAGAGGTTTTTTTCAAGAATGGTCTCCCCTCAGTTCATCGTAGCTAAACCTTTCAGAATAATACACTAATATATATAGCTCTACACCAATTCGTCAAAAACATAATAATACCTATCTTTGATAATCATGTCCTCCTGCATGCTATCTCTATAGCAATTCAGCTATGAATAAAACTGCAATTGAACCACCTCCATTGAGACACTGGCCTATCTATGAGCCCAAGAGAGCTTTGCGCTACATAATTGCATTGGTCAACTACCACTATACATTCATTAGAGAAGTAGTTTTTACTATAATAATAAATAAAAGGATAATGATGGAAGGGTATGAAATATGGCTTAACATGATAGAAGAAGAAACTGTGAGCTTCACCCAATCACTGAGTTGATAAATCCAATAAAAGCATAAATAAAAAGGTAAATTAATAATGATCAATAAAGGTTTATATATCAAGAAGATATGGACTAATATCAACCAAAAACAGTGAAATAATCGACAAAGTAAAGTTCACCAAAGAGAAAATGGTAAAAAATGGACATCCTGTAATCCTATCTCAAAGTGTTGTGGGGCTACTTGGTGGGAAAGAAAGACAAACATTTCAGCATAACATCAACACGTCCAAGCTATCATTAACACTACTGCTAGCACAACAGCAAACTGAGCGAAGCCAGAGGAAACTGAGGATTCTCAATAATATATCATGATAAACATACTAAGAGATGAAAGAACCCTGCCATTGATTCTGTGTTCCCCTTCTTCTTATTTAGCATCTTCATAAAAGTAAAGAAGAGTCCACGTCCAAGTAGCTTGTTTATGTACACTTGCCTTGTTTCCATATGATGGCTTTTTATGTCATCCACTTTGTAATACCCCTAGTTTTTTTATCTACGATAGAGGCTCACTTCCACCTTAAAGAAAACCGACTGAAGACCTAATCATGCTGTCTTATTAGTCTCCAGAGTGGAGACTGGACCTAGCATCTAGTCTGGCATAATCAGATAAAAAGAAAGAATGAATTTGCTTTCTTGCCCAGGCGATAACTTAACACAGAAGGCAAACATTGGGAAGCTGATTATGCAATTGAATGGTGGTTATAACTATGTAGTATTATTTTATTGTTCTACTACATGTGCGTGTGCGTGGATGCACACGTGTGTGTGTGTGTGTGTGTGTGTGTGTGTGTGCGTGTGTGTCTGTGACAGAAAGAGAGAGAGAGAGAGAGAGAGAGAATCAGAGAGCAACCTTCAAGGATGAAGTCACACGAACAGTCTGTGAAGTCAAGTCAATCTGCCAAAGAAAATAGAAAATTCATCAGGATAGGAAACAACTATAAACTTCGAACCTCGAAAGGATTTCTTCGGATACAGAAGTAAATGTAATGTGATTTCAAATGAAAAAATTAGGAATTAACTAAAGAGGCTCCTCTTGAACACAAAAAACGAAGAAGAGAATGTGTTGGAGTAAGACAAATATTGACGATGCCAGCAGCAGAGGCTGCAGGTAAGCAGTTAAAAATGAGAAAAATCAGTGTTCCTTTTTGACATAAAAAGATCGACTTTGTTGTTTTATAGTCAAAAGATTTGAAAAGAATTACTGAATCGACTATGAAAAAACAAAACTGGAAATGCGAGAAAATTCTACAGAGACTGAGAGAATATTCATCAATAGACACACTCATTTATCTATCATCACAATACGATTGACAGCAACAGAAAAACCTTCCAGTTTTAAACCCTCTTTTAAATGCTAAACCAACAACCTCAAACAATGCTTAAGTCTACAAATCACAGTTTTGCGAGGCATTGCCTTAGAGACGTTTCGGTAGTCAGGCAACCCCAACACCTAAGCTATCCAGGCCGCCTAAGCAAGCCACTGTACACGTTCTCCCGAATGAGTGTCCTTTTTGCTAACACAAATATTGACGACAAGTCAACGTGGACATTCACTTTTGAACACATGGAAGTGATCGAAAATGCACATAAGATTTGATATGGTGTTTTCTGCTTAAGTCTCTATAACATCATACATTATATCACTAGTGTAATATAATGAGTCAATATCGTTCCTGTGCTTTTTAATAATTATATATATATATATATATATACATATCAGTTTATACGTTAAAATTAGGCCTTGCCTTATCGCCTGCACATAGCTGCCTTGATCACGTTAAAACCTTCGCCTAAATTGGGAAACTCCTCCCTGAGAGTACCTTTCAGTGATCTGACCCTGATGAAACTTAATAATTAGACAGAAAAAGTAATTTCATAATAATTAGAGACTTCGACTGCCTCACGTTGAACCGTAATTTTACCTTGAATGAGTAAAATTGGTGTGGATCTTAGAGAGAATATTGACACTTAATAATTTCATAGCGGGATAAAAAATAATGTGCTAGTCTTGAGAAAAAAAATCCCGTGTGACATCACAGGCAGAGTCGGCCAGACATTTTCAGCCAAAAAAATGACAATTTCAGCCAAAAACTAACGTCCCATACAGTTAAACATTAAAATCAGTACACGGGTAGAACTGTTGCTTGACCAAGCAGCTGTTAGAACAAACAAAACGCAATGGGCGGCTTCGATCCCACCTCTAACGCGATCGATGCTAAAAACAGATTTGCCACAAACCAAAGCATAAATCAAGACCCCACTAAACGGGGGAACCATCCACCGCGAGGAAGGAGAAAGCACCTTCCGATCCAGTTTCAAGATGACGAGATCCGACCGCGCGGGCGTCCACAGGATTGCATTCCAGAAGAACAAGAACAGGACCACGCGGGAGATCGCCATCCCTCGTCCCACCCTTCAGTAGGGTTTGGAAATCGAAGAACTACAGTGCGGTCCACAGGGAATGAGACCAAAGGCGTCAGCTTGGCGAGACGCTCCGTTACTTCGCCACCTTGGCGGTGATTTCAACGATCTCACCGAACTGGAGACGTAAAGTGGGCTGGGTTGGAGGCCCAACAAACTGACCGGCCCATTTTCATGAATCTACTATTTCCACGTGGAACAGTGACGACATAATGGGGAAATTAATTCCCGTATCTATCTTTTTGGTTCTGATCCAGTTCGATAATTTGGGGTATTTTAGTAATTTACTTATACGAGATTTGCGGCTGCTGTGATTTGCCCAGGACGAAATTTGCCGACGGAGAACCCTCTCCCTCACTCTCTTTCTTGCTTTCTATAGGTGAAGAAGAAAATGCGCATCTCTAGGAGGGCTCTCGAGGATCCCGGAGATCCGGCGGTGGAGTCGGCGCCGCCGCCGCTGCAGGCCCTGGCAGCTGACTCCGACGTGGCGGTGATCCTGGCGGCGCTCATCTGCGCGTTGGTCTGTGTAGTAGGCCTGGCCCTCGCCGCCCGCTGCGCCTGTCTCCGCCGCCACTCCGCCGGAGCACCGCCGCCGCCGCCGCCGCCGCCGACCAAGGGCCTGAAGGAGAAGGCCCTCCGCTCCATCCCCAGGCTCCCCTTCCACGCCGCCGCCGCCGCCGCCGGTGGCGGCGAGTTCCCTGCCGATTGCCCGATCTGCCTCGCCGAGTTCGCCGACAACGACGAGATCCGAGTCCTCCCCCGATGCGGGCACGCCTTCCACGTGACCTGCGTTGACGTCTGGCTTCGGGGGCACCCCTCCTGCCCCTCATGCCGCCAGACCCCGCTGGTCAGCGGCGGCGGCGGCGCCGCCTTGGCGGCGACGCCGGTCACGACATTATCGCCCTCGTATATTCTCTCGATGTGATATTTTCCTTTATTTTATTTTTTTGGATTTTTATTTTTATTTCCATTCTCAGATCGGGGATCTGTGATGGGCATGTCGGAGAATGATCCAACTAGACATCTGTCCGAAAATAGTAACAACCGAACAAAAATGGTTTAAACGTGTAAAGACATATCACGACGAATTGTTCAGACAAAACACGCTTTTTTCGCCAGTCAGTTGGAAGCTCGTTCGTTGACCATGGAAGCCGGCCTGTGGGGTTATTGGGCTGGTCGCCTCAGACGGCCCACCAGCCCATTAGAGACCAATCAGTTGGGAGTGGTGTTTTCATAAATATATGGATATTCAAAACCCCCCACAGGTCCGGGGGACTGCTTTCGCAGTTGCCTACCACCTTGTGAGGGCGGTGGGGCGGGTAATGGCGTAATCCCCTTCGTGCTCCTCTTCTGCGTAACCCTAATCCTGGGCGAGGGTGGATGCTTTTCACATGGCATCCTCGTCGGCAATCCCTACCGCCGGCTGTCTTCTTCAGCTTCGAATGGCAACGGTCTCGTCGCGGGTAGAGTATAACTGTCCCTTTCCTCCTCGCAAGTCTTCGTCTCCTGATTCGTTGATGGTTTTGTCCGATGATTTCTTCATTCATCCTAATCCGAACTGCTGGTTTTTTGGCGTCCAGCCTCGAATGTGCGACTTCGGTTGTCGCCGGAGTGATGCTTGGAGTCGTATGATGCTATTTCGGGCGCGTTGGCCTCGTTTCCGAGCCAATGAATGGGGGATGCTGAGGCGGTATTTCTTCCTTCCAAGGTCTTCTTCTGCGTCTCCTGTAGATCTTACAGCTGAAGATGAAGCCTCGGGGAAGGCCGAGAATGGAGCCGGTGATGGAGTCGTCCAAGCTGCAAAAGAAGGCAGGGAGAGTATTTTCCTCGGAAATGCTCTCGGCCGTTTGGAAGAAGCTATAAATTCTCTTCCTCCTGTGATCTCTGCGGTAGGATTCCTCCTCAGTGGCTAATATTTGCATTATTCTGTATGCTTCCACCAGACGATCGAGGCATTAAATTACTGGTTCAAATTCCCCCCTCCCCGTGGATAGTTATCATGAATTCTCCATGTTCCAGATGAAAGGAAATGCTGGCCCGAGAGTCGCTGTAGGAGTGTTCCTAGCGTTGACTTTCTTGCTGATCATTGTGAGGGAGACCATGGCAAGGAAGGCAACGGAGAGTCAACATGGGTCCGTGGCTGATCTGGTGAGGCGCGGGCAGCTGAAATCTCATAGAAGAGGCATGTAAGTTCTCTGCGACCGTCCCTGGTTTTTTCCGGGTTTTATCGAATGATAACCTCCATTATGTGCCTGAATAACATGAATTTATACATTGTCGATTAGCCTTCAACCTAAGGATTTGGAAACTCGTAGAACAGCTCTTGCCTATATGACCTCTTTTTACCAGTTTTTTCCCCACAAAAATAATCTTTCTTTCTTCTGATGATCGAGAGGTAACGGATCCAAATTTCTACTCTCTCTCTCTCACTCACTCACTCTCACTTGCTCACTCTAATGTATACGCATACGCATATATTTCTCTCTCACCGTTGCATTGTTGTGCCTCTACGTGGAACAGTCTCCGTTTATATTTTCTTCTTGGATTCTGAGGACAGCCCTAGCTTCTAGGAGCCACTGGAAAGAAAACCCTTGACAATTCCGCCCCCTTTTCTCTTGTGGGCAGCTCAACTCCTCTCAAATACGAAGACCCTTTCAACAACCCCCTGGTAAAAGTCAACAAGGGCAATTCATCGGTTGAAATGTGCGGTAAGGTCTACAGCCTGTCACCATTGACTCTGACTGCGGAGCAGCAGTCGAGCCATCAGCGGCGGAGGTCACGGGCCTACCAGTGGAAGAGGCCGACGGTCTTCCTCAAGGAGGGAGACGATGTGCCGCCTGAAGTTGACCCTGACACCGTCCGATGGATCCCCGCCAACCATCCCTTCGCCACGACAGTCAGTGATCTTGATGAGGACCTCGTCCGGAGTAACGTGCACCAGCGGAGTGGTGTGCCTTTTCGTGTCAGAGCTGAGCATGAGGCGCTGCAGAAGAAACTCGAGGCTCAACAAAGCGTAAGTTTTCCCTGATCAGCCATATCTCCGAGCTCTCTGGTCCATTGATTCCCTTCTGTCATTTATAGCTTGTCTCAAGATTGTTTCTCTCTTTGATCTGGGTTGGCTCTGGGGTTCAGAATACGAATGAAGAAGCCAAGAATTAATGGTTCTAAGAATGTTTCTACCTGTAATTTTTCATTTCCTGTTCCTTAATGAGGTTCCAGACAACCATATAGCTTATCTAGTGTGCTGCCATTTAAAGTAAGTCTCAGGATTGACCTCTTCTGATCTGTGTAACTTGTGGTGCTAAGAATGTTTCTGCTTGGAATTTATCACTTCCTGGTCCTTGATGAGGTTGCAGAGAATCATATGGCTTGACTACTCTGCTGCCATTTATAGTAAGTCTCAGGATTGACCTCTTTTGATCTGGGTTGCCCTCTGATGTTCATAATATGGGTGCAGCGAGACAAAAACCTGAGGTTCCGGTTGAGGATATTGTCGAAGTTTAGGAATTTCAGGTCCTTGACGAGGTTGCAGACGGTCGCATGGGTTATTTGATCGACATTTTCTTTCGTGCCGCAGGATCAGATGCCAAACAGGGTGGTGGCAGTGGGCCCGAGCGAGACCCGCGAGTTAGAAGGGGCATTCAAGTCCCCTCCTGGTACCCACGATGAGCTAGAGTCAATCCTGGCCGTTGACTGGCCCGGTGGGGGTCAAAGTGCTGATATGGCGTCGGATTCCTCCGACAGGAACGTTCCAGAGGAGCCGATCAGATCCTGACGTGGCGTCGCTTGGGCCTCTCATTTCTCCACCGATGTAAGAATGGGCATTTTTGAGGGAATTAGGTCTAATTTCGTATGTATCCCCGTACGGTTACTGTAGATAGTAAGTTCTACTGATTTGTTTTTATCGCGCCTTTATATGAATTATTCATAAATTATTAAAAACCCGTTTAATCTATTTTTCTCTGAACCTTAAGAGATATGCATGCAAAAGGTGATCAGAGTGGGCTCTCATAGAGAGAGAGAGAGAGAGAGAGAGAGAGAGTAAATGAAAAAAATTAACTCGGAAGCGGTGACCCCGTCCTTGGGAGAGGTCAACGATCCGACGTCAGCCCAAAGTGGGCCCCACAACCCCTTTGGGTTCGCCCTAAGTTCGAACTACGCGTGGAAGTGGTGCCACGTAGCGGCGAGGAGCATGAGACTGGGGCCTTTTATTATTAAATTGTTGGCAAAAAGGGTCCTTTCGAGCCCGTTGCTCGTGGTCGTAGCGACCATGGCGTCGCCGCCACTGAGCTCTTCAGGGCTCCCCATCTTCCCTCTCTCTGCAGATCCTCGTCTCCCTCGTTGACGACGCATACGTGGAGGAACCACCGCTGCAGAAAGTGTTGAGGACGAGGGAGGTGAGGAGCGGCCTCTTTGATCTCTTTCTTCCGCTCTCCCCTGCTTCTCCTGCTGGTCTGTTGCTGTTTCCGCTTCTTCTGGGGAGCGTGGGAGGGCGTGATCTGTGCTGAGGCAGGGGAGGAAGGGGAGAGGAGGTTTAGGCACGAGGCGGTGGATGGAGACGGTGGTGGACGTGGAGATGATGATGGATCAAGGGGCGGGCGATAACAGGGAGTGGTGGAAGGGGTTGAGGGTGTCCACGCCGGAGTACTATGCCGTCTGCGCCTTCGGCGGCATGCTGAGCGCCGGGACGACGCATCTCGCCATCACGCCGCTTGATGTCCTCAAGGTTAACATGCAGGTTGGCCGTCTCTTTATCTCGCCCTTTGTGCATCCCTCTTGTTTACGCCGAATACATTTTCTGATTTGGTTTTGGTTTTTCTTTCTCTCGTGATTTATCAAAGGTTTTATAAGATTGTCAGGACTCTTCTTGCGACTGGATGGATCGGAAGGATTGGCCATTTGTGGCATAGCTTATTAAGTTGATGAAGCTTGCTTTGGACAACGTCGTTAACAAAATGATAAACCTAGGTGCTTCTTAAGTGCAAGATTAAATTCAGATGGGAATCTTTTTCCCTGTTTGTAGATATGAACCCATATTTGATAGTCTTATGATAGACGCATGATTCTTTGCTTTGACGAGCCATGGATGGTTGTCGGGTGATCATATTGCATTTTAAAAGCTTGGAAAATATATTTGGGGAAGGTTATCTATTGATGATCTTGCATGGGATCATCCTTAAAATACCTTCCAACTTTGCAAGTTCTAGAACGTGCACATGGGATCATATTGTGTGGAAATTGGGTGCTGCAGGGGAAGATGCCATGCCATTTCGTACTCATGAATCACCTATGGTTTAGTCCTGTATATCTCTCTGGCTCTGTATGTTCGTTATTCTTGATGGGCTTCCCTGTTTGATTTGATAGCCATCATCCCCTGTGCACAACAGGATAAGAAATCAACAATTTTCACACAGCATCACCGAACACGAAGCTTTGATCCTTCCTATGATCTAATTTTTGGTGTTGGTTTCTAAGAAGGCATGGTGCCCTCCTTCATTTCCGCCTTTCGATGACATTTATTTCTTATGGCGATTTCACTTCTAGTCCTCTGTAACAATATGCTCTAGTACACCCCCCCCCCCATCTCCCCACACCAGCAAACATATTATTGTTATTGTAGCTTTGATTTATAGAAATATTATGATTCATTGTTTTTTGCTTCCTGTAGGTGAACCCAATGAAGTACACTAGCATTTTATCTGGGCTGAATGTCCTCGTGAAAGAGCAGGGCCCCTCAGTGCTTTGGAGAGGATGGGCGGGGAAACTTTTCGGCTATGGTGCTCAGGGTGGCTGCAAGTTTGGTCTCTATGAGTACCTCAAAAATTTTTATTCTGATATATTAGTGGACCAGAGCAGAACTTCCATCTATCTTCTCAGTAGTGCATCTGCCCAGGTGGTGGCAGATGTAGCCCTTTGCCCATTTGAAGCTGTGAAAGTTCGTGTTCAAACGCAACCCAGATTTGCCAGGGGTTTGGCCGACGGTTTTCCAAAGCTGTACGCTTCTGAAGGTTTATCGGGGTAAAGAAGTCGTATGATCTAACCTCAGTTGATATATGGAAAGGTGATGTCAAAAACAATACTAAGTTCTGTTCTTTTTACAGCTTCTACAGGGGACTCTTTCCATTGTGGGGGCGTAATCTTCCATGTAAGTGCCCCATTTTCCCTTTTACGCGTCATTCATTCTCCCATCCTCTCTACCAGCGCAAGTAATTTCCTGATTCTGTTTAGTAATAGCAAGGGATTAGCAAATGCGCATCCATCTGTCCTTAGTGCCTTCCTTAATTTATCTTGCCTTTCATGATTAGATACCAACTGAAGCCATGCCGTGTGAAAATAATTGTAGTACAATATATCTTCTGAATATATCTTGTGTCTTCCACACATTCATGCATCACAATTTATGGTTGGAATATTTATATTTCACCTTCATTCCCACTGAATCACGGTTTTATGAACCCTCAAATTTACATTCGCAGTCTCTGTTCTTATGTTCTCAACATTCGAGCACTCTGTGGACATTATATACCGCCATGTCATCCAAAGGAGGAAAGAAGACTGCTCGAAGATTCAGCAGCTCGGAGTGACGTGCATGGCAGGCTATGCATCTGGTGCCGTCGGAACAGTTGTTTCGAATCCTGCTGACAACATTGTTTCTTCACTTTATAACAAAAAAGCCGACAGTATCTTTCAGGTGGTCTCCGGCATTGCGCTGGATTTCTTCCCTTCACATAATTTTTATCCGAAAAGCACGTATGAGAATCACATTCTGATATTAGTTTCCTCATCTCAGGCTGCGAAGAACATTGGGGTGATGAATCTATTCACTAGAAGTCTTCCTGTTAGATTCACGCTTGTTGGGCCTGTGGTAACTATGCAGTGGTTCTTCTACGACAGTATCAAGGTGTTGATGGGATTGTAAGTGTTTATGTTTTGTTAACTCTACGTTGTTGTTGAGTATTCCCACTTCCGTACGTCAGCTAGTTGGGATCTACATTAATTACTGCACCGTTGACCTCGTTCTCGGGATCATTTCCATTCGAATATTTCTACTTCTGTAATTCTATAAATACGAGAAGTTGACTTTATTACAACCAGATTGAAGGTTTTTCCACGTCTTCCTCCTTTGTGTTCATTAACCATGCTCGTGGGCTTCAACTCCTGCCCCATTATTTAAGGGCGTATTTTTCTTTGGGGGATTTTATCAATGTTTTTGCTTTAGATGGGAAGAACCCAGATAGAAATGAGGTCGTTTTTATCGTGGGTCGTTTCTCATAAGATATTCAGAGCTCATAGAACACTTGCATTCTTTTATTTTTTTTATTTTTTTATGAATGTATTCGGTTTGATCCAAAAGTCAAATTAACACCCTTTTGTGGTAATTTCTCAGCCCGACAAGTGGAGGCAACATCAACCACTCAGATGAAGTCAACGATGGATAATTGAGGCTACTCTGCAAATATTCTTTGACCGTCGGTGCTATGAGGAAAACCCCTGGTCAATGCCTAGCATCATCACTCCACGGATTAACTACTCACACACTCTCTGTTCCCGATGTTCGCCCGCTGTAGGTTCACGAGGGTTCAATGGGCCAACAACTCTCTCGGTATCCCAGAATTTTTCCAGTTAATTGAGTTAAGAGTCAATCTTCTGCCATGCTTCAGCTGGTCCTGTAAATATTTGTCAAAATGCTGGGAAATGGTTTATAAAGTCAACGAGTCTTTTGTACTGATTCGCGTGTACAGGTCATCTGATTACTGGATGTAAATTCTGACTTTTTCCTTTTAGGGTTAAATGTACCAGATAAGGTGTCCCTTTTAAGAAACATGAAGGAACCACCTGAGATTCCTTGCATGAAACAGGTCCCGGATATTTTTCAGAAAATTCACCATTAAGAATGCAAAATATATTTTTATTTTTTTGGGTAACTTTTTTTTGTTAATATGGGTATCCTGATTATTTAAATATGGTTAATCTTTAATATTTCCAGTATTTGCCTTTTGTGTTTTTGTTTTAGATCCTTGCGAACCCTTTACATAGTAGCCATCATCATCAAGAACCCAATTCTTGATATTACCAAAAAAAAAAAAAAAAAAAACCATCTATCAGGCTGCCCCACCTTCCTCGAGTACAAGAAAAAACAAAAATCATCAATATTGTTTTTTTATTAATCTGACGTTTCATATTTTTGTACCGTTGTGGCGGAAGCCATTTCGCCGCCGGAGTGGCATCTGGGTGAGGTTATCGTTGCCCACACTCGTTTGTTCTCGTGACCTCCTCACTCACTTAATCCATGGCAGCCAGTCTCTGCCATCTTCCCCTCCCCGCCGTCTCCGGTGGGCGTCGGCGGCTCGCATCCGGCGGACCCGAACATTCCGCAGCTTCTTCTCCCTCGAAGACCCGGACGGGTTTGCCCCAAATCACCTACCAGAGGAACTCCAGGTGAGACCGCACGCGTTGAGTTTCTGATTCCGCTTGGTTTTCGCTGGCCTCCTGTTGCCGCTCCTTGCTGTCCCATTCCTTTCCCTGTTGTTCAATCAGCTTTCGATTTCATTCTGAGTGGTGACTTGAAGGGGAAAATTTTAATTAAATTTTATTTATTCAATCACTTTAAAGCACCCTCTTGAATACTCTTGAATGCATGATTCGTTATCTCATGTGGGAAGCGTCAGAAATTTTGATTACCCAGTTTAAATATTTGTCAAAAAAAGGCTAATAATCAGATTCGGAGTCAGTTTTAGTATTTATTAAGCTTTTAATTTCTCTGAATGTGAATGTGCTGCTTTCAGTGATTTCAAGGTTGATGAAATGAAGCAAGCCTTCGTAGAATTGATTTGAAATAAAGCTCATCTTTGACTTTCCTTTCATACTTGAAACGTTTTTTTCATTCTGATTCAGGTTTCCCGTCGACCTGAGTTTCCAATGCCGAGGAGCGGTGATCCTTCCAGCAAAAGCAAACCCTACGGATAAGGAGTCAACCCTGAGTGGAACCAGTGACTCAGGCTCTAAAGGCGGCCCGCCGCTCCTGACCATTATTGCCGGCATTGTAGTGTTCTTGCTTGTATGCTGGGTGGTGGGGTCCATAGCCTTGTGGCTCGTTGGTCTCATTGTCAATCTGCCCTTGCCGAAGTAATCCTGTCCAAAATCTCTGCTACTACTACTATGTTTATATTTTCAGTTGGGCAGGACGATTCAGCGTGTGGCTCTGAATGGTTTGCTTTAATGTTGGCCGTTTTTTTCCCCTGGGAACTGATTCTCTTGACGGATCATGGAGAGTTTGACTAACAGAGAGTCGGCCTACGCAAGATCTGAGGGCTGATGTTTCTAGTCAACCTCTAATGCGATTCAAGCTTGCAAATCTTTTAATTGGCGTGAAGCAGCTGGTTTACTCTCGTTCACCAGATGATCAGATAACGTTGAGTCATAGTTACAACACCAAGGGAGATACCTGTTATTACTAAGAAAGGAAAGATCTTCCTCTGATTTGCCCCTGAAAGCCGGGGGGCTGCGGCGCATAGCCTTCAGCCATGAGTAGAGTTGATGTACTTTCACTGGTGGGAGCATGGGGCAGTCTACAGATATTCTCTCCTGGTCCAAAATCTCAGTTGACTTCTGTGCACATGAAATGATTGGGCGTTTTTTGGTAGTTGACTCTCGCCACCCACCTCCGCAAATGTCTCCCTGTGGGAAGATTAATTAGGTTGAAAAGAAAACGGGGAGCGAGATCTCAAGGCATCTAAGATGGTAATCCACTTACTGTGCCAGATGATAACGTGGGTGTTGCAGAGGAAGAACTATGTGAAGAAGAACATACACCAGCTTTCGCAGCTACCCCACGGCAATACAGAGAGAGAGAGAGATTGAGGATGGTATGGAGAGTTTGTCAGCATATCACCTGTAGCACAAAGAAAGCTTTGAAATTTTCATGCTCAGCCTCTAGCAACTATCTCGATTCGTCGAATTGCCAAGCATCTCTTAAATGAGAAATAAATAGCTGCAAATATTCTTTCAACAATTGCAGTGAATATAAATATATAGCAAGAATATTATGGAGCAAATATAAGTAAAAGGCCATGTCAAAAATCTCTTCGTCGATGGAGATGATATCTTCGGTCAGTTTCTCTAGGAACCCAAAATCGGTCGAACATTGAAATCTCCATGGAAAACCTGCAGACTTGTAGGAGCTTGAAGATTATCCCATGCGAGTTGAAAACAAGGTGATTCAATGAAATTTTTTAGGGAAGATGAAACGGCTTGAGAAGTGGAGTATTTAGAATCAGGGTGGAGAATTATTCATACCGAATTTCCATCGTAACAATGCGTTCATATGCACATGACAAGGTGAGAAGCTCTGCTTTGCGCTTCTCAAATCTGATGTCTAGATAATTTCATGGGTCCAACCTTTCATGCCTGCACCAAGGTACCAATGCATCAATTTTTTGCAACAAAAAACAGAATGAACTTAAATAAAAACCTTCTTCAGAATGAAATCGTTCACTGGCCTTAAGTAATAAAACGTCCTCCTCTCATTTCCTGAGAGACAAACAGTTATCTAAACTATGAAGAGGCATACATTGGCCAGGACGAAAATATCAAGATAAAAAATTAAATAAAAACTAAAAGATATTCATATCAAAGGCCCTGTTCAATATTTTCGTTAAAAGGGTTCCCAAAAAACATGATTTATCTACAGATAGGGAAAAAAAAAATAGGGTGATGTAAATTTCTCACTTGAAATTATAAGGCATGAGAAGACCACTTTAATCATATCTTACTTTGGAAACGACACTGTCAGCGAAAAAGGCCCAATTTTTCGGCCTTCTTAAATCCTTCATCAATTGCCAAGAAGGAGATGTTATCTGGTTGAATTCCTCTGCGGAACATTTCATGAAAAATGCTTTTGGCCTTGTTGATCTCCCCGTGCTTGCAATAAAAAGATAAAAAGGCTGTGTAGGTGACCACATCACCCGTCAGACCCCTACCCATCATCTCATCAATCAATCGATGAGCATCATGAATGCGATCCATCTTGCAATGCCCATCGATCAAAACTGTATAATAGACCGCATCAGGTGCTATCCCCCCCTCTCTCATCTCATCTAGCAACTTCAGACATATCCCCTCCGTCTCAATTCCTTCCCTCTGATCAACAGAGGCAAGGCCTCGTTGTAATTTCTCTTTCAAATACCCATCAAGAAGAACCGTGTAAGAAATCAAGTCAGGCTTGATTCCCCGCCCCTTCATCTCCGAAAATAAATTGCAAGCTTCTTGGAGGTAACTCAGCTTACAGTACCCGTCTATGAGTGCAGAATACACAACTACATCAGGAGATAAACCTCTCCCGATCAGATCATCAAATAAAGACCGAGCTTTTCTCATGTTTCCAGCACGAGAAAAGGCTGCTATGAGGTTCCCGTAGGTAATCTCATTAGGGTTGCCCCCCATGGCCAACATCGTCTCAAAGACCCTTGAGGACTTTAGAAGCTCTTTCGCCTTACAGAGCTCGCTGATAAGTTTATTACAAGCCATATCATCCACAAGGACACCTTCCTTGCAGAATCTGACAAAAGTACTGTATGCTTCCAGCGTGTGACCTACTTCTAGGTACCCACTGACCATGGCACTGAAGATGACGGGAGAGGTAGTGCCCTCCCTTTGTTGTAGTGAGTTGAACAACAGCTCTGCCTCCTTCAAGTTTCCCCCTCTGCAGAAACCCACTATTATGGTAGCATATGTGACAGAATTTGGCTCGACACCTTGATCTAGCATGTGAAACATAAGGTCGTACGTTTCTTGGACGAACCCATTCCTAGAGAATCCACTGGCGAGTATGTTGTACGTGACAACATCTGCTTTAATTCCAAAGTCCATCATAGCGGCCAACGTCTTCCTAGCACTGTCCATATCACCTCTGAGGCAATACCCATTGACTAATGTGGTGTAATGAATCCTATCAGGCGCCAACCCGCATCCTTTCATCTCTTGCAGCAGGTTTACTGCTTCCTCCATCTTTCCAAGCTTGCACTGGGCGCCTATGGCGATGTTGTATAAAATCCCATCAACAAGAAGCCCCGAAAGCTTGAACCTCTCAAAGAGTTCCAATACTTCCACAACCATACCCTTCTCAGAGAGACAGTGAAGAATCGAGCTAACAACCACATAATTCGTCTCAGTTCCCCTCAGAATCATCTCGTCATGGAGTGACAGAGCTCGAGAGACGTTTCCCGAGAGGCAGTATCCTCTGACGAGTGAACTGTAAGTATATACATTGGGTTCTACACCTTCTCTCACCATATCCTCAAAAACTCCTTCTGCTTCGTGCAGTTTCCCTATCCTGCAGAACCCACGAATTACGACGTTGTATCCAAAAGAAGTCATGGGAACACCCGAACCTGTAGCATATTTGAGCAGCATGTAACCTGAATCAGGGGTTCCATGAGCGCACATAGCATGGATGAGCCTTGTATAGATGAATGTACTTGCCTCAGCGCCCGTCTCCTTCATCTCCCCCAAAACGTCATAAGCTCCGACCAAATCACCACTGCGACACAACGCTTTCATGAGAATATCAAAAGTACAGGTGTTTGGCCTTATTCCGGACCTCTTCAACTGAGCATAGACGTCCATCACCATCCTCAGATCGCCGCATCCGACCAAAAAATTCATCAGGAAGTTGCATGTCTTTATACACGGAGGGTAGCCTCGACCGCACAACTGGAAGAACGTATGGACGGCTCCATCCCGGATTTTAAGGCGGATAAAGGATTTGATGACGGCCCTGAATGCCGCGGGTATTATGAACTCGCGGTTCGATCCCTCTGAAAGCGCATCAAAGAGGGCCAAGAAATCGAAACCGGATTCCCCGTTCGACGATATCAGGTCCGAAAACAGAGGCACCAACTTCTTCTCCATACCTGAGTCGCAGAGGATGCGCACGATCCAGGAGGAAGTGGCGGCGTCGTGGCGGAATCGAGAAGCGCTGCTGTGGTTAAAGAAGGCGAGGGCGAGGGTGGGCTCCCTGTGCAGACTTCTCAGGATGCCGACGACCTTGGAGCGATCCAACAGGGAAGGAACCTCCGAGGAACCGAAATCGGGGGCCGGAGCCGCCCTTATTTCATCGTCGGAAGGAGAGAGGCTCTGCTCGATAGCGGCGGATGCCGTAGAAGTAAACCCCCGGAATCCGCCGGTCCTCAAACGCCACGATGAAGGCCGGGAGTCGAACTTGCAACGGAACAGGGAAGAAGGCCGCCACATGCTCAGGAGCTCGCAATTTCATACCATCGATGGATGGGAACTGTGGAGCCACGCCGGGAAAACTTCGAGAGCTTAGCTCGCCGGCGGAAGAGACTGATGAGGTTGCCCTCAGGAGTGATGATGAGCTTACAACGGTTCGCTCCGTCTTCCCCTCCTCCCGCTAAAACACTTAACATATAAAACCCTACCTCATCCTCCTCCCGGACACGAAGAGGGGTAATACGCAATTGAAGACGGGGATAAAAATTTTCTCGTAAATATCAATTTATCTATTATATTATAAATTTAATTTCATAAAATAAAAATAAAAAACTCTCTTATCTATTAATCCATAATTTCTCACCCCATGCATTAAAGGAGTTGAGAAGGGATAAAAATAATCATAAATATCAATTATTTTATGTTTTCCTTATCCATGGCTTATTTTCTTGATTAAGAGAATCAAAACATCTTAATATTTATTCAGCCACAATTTGATGACTAAACCCTAAGTACAATTATCACAAAAAAATTAGGTTCATATAATTGAGAGAGTTGCCACTAAATCTCATAAGAACTCTAGAGTTAAACGTGTTAAGGTGGGAGCAGTCCTCGAATGGGTGACCTCCTTGGGAAGTCTTTAAATATATGCGGCATATGTGGTATCCATTTCACCATGCCAAGATGCCCCCAGCTCCAAAGAATGTGCCGAGAGTCACCTCTGCCACTATGTCAAGAGGTGCTAGTGGCATTTATCTCCAAAGACAATTATCCCAAAAAAAAAAAGAATTAGGTTCACATGGTAGGGCCTCAAGATTAAGCAGCACAAATAAGCATGTGTACACCTAGGTAAGATTCAAGTGGGCATTAGTAGAGGACTTTATTAGTATAGGGCAAGGCTATGGCAGGCCTTGTTGGGCGATGACATGATGTAGCACAACATTAACACATTAGCAGCACAAAGCCAGATGAATGAGCACATACATAAGTGAGAATATACATAAGCACAATGTCACATAAGTGGACTCCATGTGTAGGGTTGAGTTACCTTTTTTTATGACTCAAGTGGTTGAGGTGAAAGGAATCCTCCTACAAGAGGTAGTGAAGGTTCTACTATATGGTTTACATCTTACATTGGATTGATGTTCCCTTTCATAATCACAAAAGGACATATCTTGACAATTGGGGCTGCTTCTCATATTGCACCACTCATTTCATGTTCCATTGTAAGTGGATCTATGTTCCCACCATTATGTGGAGATGGCATCTCTAAGTGCTTACTTCTATGATTGTGTAGTAATGTCCATGCACCCTATGCTACCTACATGTGCCTTATCATCCACACACGTTATATAACTAATGAGTATTGTACCGCATGTGCCCCCAAAGTTGCTTGTACACATAATGCCACTAGCATATGTTGTGCTGCTCGTGTGTGTCATAATACTTGTGTCCACACATCTTGTATTATTTGCACATATGCATGTCACATCCATACATGTCCTGCTCATTTTATGAAATTCAAAACCTTTATCAAGAGAGATGAGAGGTACTGTCTCACCTACTCAAATTGTCCCCAAGTCATTTTGAGGGTGTTAGGTAGTCGCCTCTTATATATTATCTTTTCATTGTATTAAGAAAATTGTGCATTGGTGGAAGTTGTAGTAACCTTTGCCATTTGTGACAATGGTAAAATATCTTCTATAGCCTATTGTTGAGTATTGTGGGAGTAGTTGGAGGTGGACATTTTGGTTGATTTTATTATATCTTTGATGACTATTTTTTATAATTTTTAAAAATAAATCATTAAAGATAGTGGATGAGTAAGCAGGGCAATAGCTTGAATTGGCAAGCTATCATTTCTACTTATTAAGTGATGCTAAAAGGCCCTTTGTTCTATGGTAGAACAAAGGGCCCTTACAATATGAGAAACTTTAAAAATAAAACCTTAATTCTTAGATATATCATAAATTCTTTGATGGACTTTATGAGAGACTTACAATATAATTCTATCTATTACCTCAAAGTTTATTATCTGACACATGATTTATGGTGTAGTCCTCGTCATTGTTTTAAGAGGTGATCAACTTTAAAAGTTTTTAAATCTAAATCTCTAAAAAGTATGTTACTAATTGTTCATTTAAAATGAATAGCATATTTGGGTTGATCCACGGGGAAAGCTGGTTATTATGTAGTGCAAGAATATAATCTAGAAAATATTTGAGCGAGAAGGAAAACACAAAAATAAAAGAGAAACAAAAGACACATAGCTATGTTCAATGACATGAGGTCTACTAGGTTAGTCCTTAGCTAAGCTGATTAAGAAGAGAAGGCAACTGAGTTATAAAACCCATTCTTCATGGTCGGAGGGAAAATAGTGGGGAATGCATAGTGAAGACCCCACAATCACCTAATTTTCAAATTATGGGTCATTTTCAAAAGAAGGTTAAAGATAAGCCAGATCAACTTGGATGAAATAATTAATTAAGTTAATGCCGATTAACATGTTAGTGGTAGAAGTGAATTACTATAAATCACCTTGCTAAGATGGGCAATTATGGGCCTATCATAGAGAAAGTAAAGAATTGAAACTTAGAACATATAGGTAATCCAACAAACATATCAGTCATCAACTAATATGATTGTTTGATCTACGCATAAACTAGTTTTGAATGAAGCTTAGGCAAAAAAGAAATTCTCCTTTGTGATGTCCCCCAACAACCAAATATAAAAGGTAGATGTCTTAAGAGAAAGAGAAATAAAAATTACATAGATTGGTCAATGGCATAAGGTCTAGTGGGCTAGTCCTTAGCTAAGCTGATTAGAAAGGGAAAGTAATTGAGTTTTGAAACCCATTTCTTTTGGTCAAGGAGGAAATAATTAGGAAGGCATAGTGAAGACCCAACAATCGACCAATTCTAAAGCAAAGAGTTATTTTCAAAAGAAGGTTAAAGATGAGCCAGATCGACCTAGATGGAAAAACTAATTAACTTAACACAAATTATCATGTTAGTGGTAGAAACAAATGGCCACATATCACCTTGCTAAGGTGGCCAAGTATGAGCCTATCATAAAGAAAGGTACAAATTGGGACTTAGGTCATATAGGTGGTCCAACAAACATAATGGTCATCAATTGATATGAGTGTTTGGTCTACACATAAACTAGTTATGAAAGAGGTTAGGTGAAAAGAAAATTATTCTCCTCCCCTCCACCTAAAAAAAAAGGAAAAAACTAAATCACTACATTGTCACAAAACAAACCAATGTTGTAATATGCTATTCTATGAATGTGATTTATTTTTGAAAAAAAAAGAAAAAAAAGATGGCCTATTATATTTATAAATGATTTTTATTTAATTGTATGAATATATATATTAAATCATAACTTTGAAGTTAGTAAAATTATCCAATAATTCTATGTACTAACTAAAGATAAATTCAGAACTATGATCAAAGTATTTAGATCAGATAATGCTAGAGACTATTTCAATCATACTATAAATGACTTCTTCCAAAAGGAAATAATTATTCACAAGTCATCATGTGTCAATATCGCACAATAAAATAAGGTAGTTGAAAGGAAAAATAAATATATGTTGAAAGTTGATAAAAGCACTCTTATTTCAAAATAAGATGCCAAGGATATTTTGGGGAGAAGTAGTCTTAACAGCTGCTCATCTTATAGATCGTATACCTACAAAGGTTTTAGGATTCAAAAGTCTAATAGATGTAATCTCATTCTAATATCCATAACTAAAATTGAAAAAACAAATCAGTCCATTTGATCTTTAGATGCATAACATATGTCCACAATGAAGATTCATCTAAAGGGAAGTTTGATCCTAAAGTATTAAAATGTGTATTTATTGAATACCTAAATATTAAAAGATAATATAAATATGATCATTCTTCATCAAATAAGTTTTTTGTATCATTAGATGTAACATTTAATAAATGTGAATCCTTTTTTCACATTCAAGATGTTTCATTTGAGGAGGAAAATTTGTGAAAAGTTAATAAATAGAGACAAGAAATTATAAGCTTCTTGTTGTCAACACCATCCTTAGAATCTTGACCTCCCTCACATATGATTGAGTAGGTTACACCCACCACACTTTATGAGGATGACCAAGAGAAAATTAATGAACCTCTAGTGTGGGAAAATAAGTAAGAAGACTTGACTATAGTCCTTCAAAAAGGAAAAATAAGTTTGAGAAACCCAAAATATATGATTTCAAAATTCATTTCTTTTAAACATTTGTCTGCATCTTATATAATTTTTCATACCTCACTTAATATTACACATATTTCATCAAATGTCACTGATGTATTAGCTCATACATGGTGGAAGAAAGTTATGGATGAAGAGATAAAAGTACCAAAGAAAAATCTAATGTGGAAGCTAGTTAAGTTTTCAAAAGAAAAGAAGCTTCTGGGGTGAAAATGAACTTATACAATCAAATATAACAAGAAGAGACTATAGAGAGGTATATGACAAGATTAGTTGCTAAGAGTCACGTTCAAACTTATGGTATAGATTATCTAGAGACATTCACCCTAGTGGCAAAAATAAATATCATGAGGATCTTACTCTCATTAGTTGGTATCTATAGTCAAGATATATAATAATTTGATGTTAATAATGCTCTACTATATGGAAAATTTAATGATGAATTTATATGAATATTCCACAAGGATACGAATTTAATTTGAGGAATGGTATGTAAGTTGAAAAAGATATTGTATGACTTAAATAATCGTCAAGAGCATGATTTGAGAGATTCTCAAAGGTGATGAAGGATATTAGATAGAAACTAAGTAATAGAGATCATACTTTGTTTATTAAATACTCACCTTTTAATGGAAATTATAGCTCCCCTAATCTATGTAGATGATATAATAGTAATGTGAAATGATGAGAAAGAAAAAGATTATTCATGTAAGTTTTTACTAAAAGAGTTTAATATTATGACATAAGGGAAGCTAAAATATATCATGTTGCTCCTTCCAAACAAGAGATCTTTATATCCCTAGGAAAATATACCATTGATCTTTTTAAGGAAATCCAAAAAATAAGATATAAACTTATAACTACTCCTATAGATCTGAACCACAAACTTAGAGAGATGGAGAAAAGCCAACTATTAAGATATCAACATCTTGTGAGAAAGCTGATATATCTTTCACATACTCACATTACATACTCAATGAGAGTTTTTAGCCAATTCAAAGATTGAGTGAGCAAACCTATTTTTCAAAGATTGACTTCTAAGTAGGATTTGCTAACATCTGCTCACCAACTTGAGGGACAATGTCAAAGAAGAGGAATTATATTTCTACCCTATTTTATTTATTTTCTTATGTACTCTTCTCTCTCTCTCTCTCTCTCTCTCTCTCTCTCTCTCTCTCTCTCTCTAAGTGAGGTAGATACATATTTTGGTATAAATTATACATGACCATTGAATCCAACTCAATTGGGTTAAGGCTGTATAAGAACTAGTGACTAAGAAGGTCATAATTTTATTTAATATTTCCCTTTTTATTTTTCTCTCTTCAAGTGAGAGCAACGGCTCTCTTCTACTGAAGGCTACAATCTCTCTCTTTGATAATCATGGTGGATGCAACTTCAACATATCTTGCTATATCTTGACAATTTTTGGGCATAAAGCTGTTGTTGATCTCCACCATGAAGTCTTAAGAAGTTATTAGAAAAGTTAAGGATATGTCCCTTCCCTTGGCATGTCACCACACCTTCACATCTTTATCTAGAAATGTACTTGTCACCTTTAGATAGTCATAGTCATCCACATTGAGCTCATCCTTATAATCTTATTGGTCTCAAAGAAAGTTGTCTATTACCATGGTGTCCTGCACATATGAATATATCTTGGGGTAAGGGCCTCAAGACATCCTCTTGCTTTGGAGACATTTGGGCAGTCTTCTCCCCATTCACCCTAAGTTCCTTTGCCAAGTTTCAAATATATTCCCTTAGCTCGTCGTGGGACATCTACTTCCCTCAACACATGCTGCCGAATGTGGAAAGGCCAGCCCATGCAGATGAGGGATAAAGTAAGCCCTACCATTAATTTACTTCATTCACCCTTTCATTTTCAGAGCTTACTTCTATAACATGCAAAAAGAAATAAACATCTATTGATCCACAATTTCTAACCCATCAATGTGTTATGGTGACTGATACATAGACCCACAAACCCGGAACCCTAATTCATAGAGTAGAATCAGCACACTAATCCTCAGCAGGGGGTAGAGAGAGAGAGAGAGAGAGAGATTGTGTTACAGATAAGAGGAGCACCAAAAGAAGAAAACTGAGCATTTTCTATGTCACTCAGATCCTCCTAAAGGTAGATGGTCCAAGAGCATATTTATGAACAAGAGAGGAGAATGCCGAGGGGCCTGCATGCTTCGTTGGGCATCATCCATCCGTCCATCTGCTGCTGTTTCTTCTTGAGACAAAATGAGAGCCGGCCCCATAACTACTTACTGATACTACTACTACTCCTTGTGGCGAGAGGAGCGGTCCTTCCTGTGGCCTCCGAGAATGCGGGAGATTTGCAGGCCCCTGCTGAAGGCCTGGTTGAAGAGCATCCGGGTCTGGAACTCGGAGACGAAGGGGAACCACGCCAGGACGGCGATGGGGGTGAAGAGGAGGAGCCCCATGACAATCTCGTAGCCACGGCCAAGGGCCCGCACAGATCCCCAGATGCCCGCTCTATGGACCACGGGCTTGACGGCCTGGGCGATCTGAGAGGAGGGGGAAGTCAACGGTGAGATAACAGGCAAGGGAAGAAAGTCAATGAAAGAAAGTTGGTGGAAGCAATCGGCGCGGCCTGTTGTTTGGAGAAATTAAAAAAGAAAGGTGCGGAGGAGGGAGTGGGGGAGGGTTGACTTACCAGAAGTAGGCCCCACCCGGTGGGCATGAAGGCGAGGATGCAGACGATGATGTCCTGAAAGGTCATGCCGGCGACCGCGATGAGGATGATGAGGATCGCCAAGAACGTCAAGAAGATCAGCCCCTTGATTAGGCGGAAGACGAGCTGATGGTCCGCGCTGAACCTCATCCTCCCGAAAGATACCGCCTGAATTATCAAAGTCAACAGACAGAGTGTGAGATTCTTATTATTATTATTATTATTATAATTATTCTATAGCGATCTTCCACAATCTGGGTGGGGAACAGCCGGTTTAAGTCAACTCTTCCTTTAGAAAAGCTAGGCGCACAAGCAAGAAGAAACAAACCCTCGAAGCTCAGTTCGGAGAAAATCAACCCCCACCAATCATGGAAAAATCGGCCCGCTCCTCGTCAATTAACATAAAAAAAAAAAAAATGTATGATCTTGCAACTTTTCAACTATCAGACTCTGTCTGTTGACTTTGATAATTTTCAGGCGTATCCATTCCACTGGAATGGCATTCACACGACTTTGGGTGTTAGATCTTTCTGCTAGCACACAATGAAGGAACGTAATAAGCAAAATCATAACAAAACTATAGAAAACAGTTTCAATCTCTTGCAGGCTCCCCCTTACCTTCATCACGACGAGCATGGAGATGATCACCAACCAAGAAACTCCATAAACCTGAAGAATGTCAATGGGGCCGTCAGCATCAGTCCATAAAACAAACGGACATGTTTAATCCCCTGGGCATGAAAGAGGGGAAGTTACCAGCACACTCTTCGTGTTCCTGGTGATGTTCAAGTGGTACACGAGCCCATATTGGTAGATAAAGAAGCGCAGAGCCAAGACAACCTCAGTTAGTCTTCCACGCTTCCCTGTATACTTGAGGTGTTCTTGCTCCTTCTCCCACCATGACTCCCAACTTTTCTCTGGGGAGACGCCAATGCCACCACGGTTGCTGATCCATTTATTCCAGTCGGTCCAGTCCTCAACTATTTTCTGCCATTCAAACCCTGAAGGGTTGAAGAGGAAAGGGGCAAACAGCCAGGTCCCAACCATGAACCACATAGAAACAGTAATGAAGATGTATGCAGCTGAACTCTTATATGATTGGCCAAATATCTGGTATACAATGAGTAGTATCATCAATTCAAGCCCTTTGACGAAATGGCTGCGCGAATAAAACCTGTAGTTATCTGCAAACTTGGCGTGGAACACGACAAATCCACGGCCTGTGGCCCTGTATTCTGCACCACCATGAAGCAATGTTCGTCCATAGTAATGGGTTTTGGTCCCCAAGGAGAAGGTAAAGAACACTGAAGCCAGTTGCAGTTGCATCAGAACAAATTCACTCAGTGCTGTGCGGAAGCCCTTCTCCAAGCCAATCTCCATCATCATAGGGAGCGCCATCAAGAATCCGAGCTGCACAAATGACTGAGAAGCAAGAGCAACTTGAAGAGGTTCATTATGAACAAATCTCCTGCCACTTGCTAATCCTTCTTCGAGGCCACTAAGGACGAGATAGAGGCGCCCATACAGAAATACATACACTGTAAGAACGGTTATCTGAAAGTTGACAGGAAGAGGCGAGTTGGATGGCTACCATCAAAGAAATTGTTAAACTGATAGAGGTTGAAAGGAACAAATCATACCAAGGTACTGAAGTAGAACCCAACTGTGGTGAAGTAACAAGACATCATCCGAAAGAAATCAAAACGATGCCCTAGACGATATATGTCCCGACTTAAGGTCTGTTCACCGTTGCCGTTGGCTATTTTGGCCTCAAATTGTGAGATCTGGTTAAGGCCAACATCTCTACCCTTACCAACTTGCATGTACTCATGGTGAGTGACATTTCCTTCACGCAGAGTTGAGTTGAAGCCTGCGGAGTTAACTCAGAAACATATAAAATACAATCTAAATAGAGAGAGTGAACCCAGCAAAACCAAAGAGTAAAGGGTAATAAGGCAGAGAACGTGCCTGCGAATATGTCTTCACTTAGATTGATGACTTTTGAAGCTTTACTAACACCTCCTCTTGTTAAGTGGAACAATCTATCAAATACATCCGGGTGCCCGTAGTGAAATCGTACCCTGTTCACAAGTGAAGATTGGTGATCAACTACCTATGTTCATGAGCCAGCCCCAACAAGCAGAGAATAAGCCACGCATCCCATTCATAAACCTTGGGTTTGTCAAATGTATAGTTTTGCCTCAGTTTTTTTAATTAACGCAAAAAAATTACAAGGAGGGCACTGAAAAACTGTAAAACAAGGGTGTTAATAAGTGTGCACCCCAAGAACAACAATTTCGTATCCTACTTTCCCAACTCAAATGTGAACAAAGTAGGAAATGGAAAATATTTTAATTTAACAATAGAAGGGTAAATATAAATAAGTGGATATCTACGATTTCAGCCTATTATTTAGATTTCTGCAATCCACTTAATACAACAAACAGGATAGCTACAGTGACAGTTTGGTCAGGTATCTTACTTTAAAGGATTGGCAAGCAACCGCTGTCCAATGGTCACAAAACTGGTCTCCTGGTTTGACATAAACCATGCAAGAGATGAAACACTGACACAAATACAACATTCGTTAGCGTCGAATTACTTAACAGTGCAATCATCAACTGAGAAAACAACTTCCTACAACGTTCCATGAATTACCATACCTCCCAGTAAATATATGCTCACGAACACCAAGAATTGAAGGAAGCATCGCATCATTGTTCTTTTTGAGGAACTCTTGAAGCAAATTTCTTATCTTGAAAGCTTCCTCCATATAATTATCCTGTACGAGGTATACACCGTCATCGTCAACAAAAAGTCGTCACATTGATGGGCAGTTTGCCTGGATGGAGCTCGTGCATGTCCCCCAGATAGGGAGAGCGAGAGAGAGAGAGGGAGACAGGAGGCGTGACAATAGAATTTGAAGAACAAGCTTTACCTGATTCATGTCAATCGTTTGTAGACCTTCACCTCGGGTAAAAATGATAGCATGGTTCTGGTTTTCCGGCTTCCCTTCACCTAAAATGGCAGGACCTGGTAGCTTAACCCGATATATAACCTACACATAAAATTATGCTCTGTTACAAACTCTGTAGACATCTTTCTGCAAAAGTACATCAAATCAAACAAGAATCTTGATGAATTAGATATGTAAACTATCACCTCATAGATAAGAGCGTAAAATATACAAAAAAATGAGCAAAAGGCGACTCCTTTATGAAGAAAATAATTAGATGCAGTTTGATGGGGACTGAAGCACAACACCATTTTTCTTAAGGGAAGACCAAGGTATATGTTAGGCCTCCATTTACAGATTAAAATCAGCCATCCTAAAAATGGCTGGGTGCCTAGTGATTCAGATATTTTCTGCACATTCTGGGCAACACACAAACTTAGCAGCCAAACGATGACATATATATAAATCCTCAACCTTTTTGTCAGTGCACTACTTTACTACAACTAATAACTGAAGCATGAAAATTCTCAGTAATTGCCGACCATACACATAAGAAATTAACTCATAATGGAATAATGAAATGCAGGGATAAAAAATGTAATTACCTCATCGAGATTTTGAACAGATTCACCAATATCACCAGGTTTCGCCAAAGCAGCTTTTGTCAAAGTAGAATAATACAGTTTTTCGAACACTTTGGGTCTATCATTCTTCGGTATCTCAACTTCATCAATATATGCAACACGAAGTGATGGATATCTGGAATATTCATCAAATTCTTAGTGTACCCGAAATTATCAAAAGTTCATCACATAAAAATGGTAGTCAGATGCATAAATCAAAATCCACAGCTCCAGATTATACGCGCATTCACAACAGAAGATATCACAACAAGATTATAAATGGACAACAAATCCATGTTTTAGTCACCAAACTACAAGAGCGCCAATGAAGTAAATAAGTTCAGTCTAAATTAAGGATACCAAACTACATGATTTCTACCAACTTTACCGATTTCACAAAATGTTTACATTTTACCCTTCTACAACAACAATAACAAAACCACGAAGGCATACCTTGACATAAGTTTTAAAATGTCCTGAGCACGAGGATCACCCTTTCGTTTGTGAATTCCATAATTCTGGCAGGAAACCACATATGTGAATTTCATATCAGCTATCGCTTGACACTCAGTCAAGTAAGAGTCTCCATTTTTTGTGTCCTTTTCAGAGCGCATCTCTATTGCCTTGAAACCTTCCGAAAAATCTGGATAAAGAAAAATGACAACGAGAAATAAATACAAATGGTAGAACATCTAAATAAATGCGGATAAACAACATGAAATAGAAAAACAGTACCTTTTTCATTTGCCACGTCAAGAAAAGCCTGAAGCTCCAAAGCTTCGCGATAATACATCATGCCTCTGACTAATAATATAACAGTAAATGCGTAAATTACATAGAATAAACATAATCTGACAAACAAGATTAGAAAAGAGCTGACAGAATAGCATACCTGTTCTTGTCAAAGTCTGCCCCCTATACGAAGCCCAAAGACGAAGTTCTTCTGACAGCTCATCCCTGCTCCGAAGTTCTTCCTCTGATTTACAATCCACTCGTTCAAGAAAATTATTCCATTCATCTACATATAATGAAAGATTAATGTCACAAGCAGGATATAAAACAAACTAAAATCGGCAAAAAAATATGACGGATAAAGTAAGGATACCAGGATAGATCTTCTGCAAGTAAAACAGGATTGAGACACCATCTTCGTTTTTCTCCTCGAGATTAGCAGAAGAAAAAAGGACCTCCTCTTCGTAGTAGGGGGTCAGAACACTAAAAAAGTACAGGGAACATAGATCATTTAAACACTAGAAATAGCACAAATTACGGGCACTAAACCATTCCATAATAACAAAGGGATATCTTGGTGAAAGCAAAACCAGACACATGATTCTTCGTAAGAGCATGTAAGACCTGCCTTGCTCCCCTCTCTTCTCCCCTGCCCTATTTCCCCAGTTTTCTTCTTAAGTCTTCTATAGAAATTGCATTCATAAAATGAATAATAACGGAAAGGAAGGTACTTTCTTCTGCATTAGATTCTGTATTGTCGAAGAAGAATATTAAGAGAGGATGGAAAAGAATGGTAGGTGACACTGTGGGGATAAACATAGGTAGTGATGAGTTCTGAAGTCTGGGTATACAGACCGAAGGAACTGCAGACAGATGTGAGGAAATGGAGTAATAGGATGGTGGAGGGAAAAAGACTGAACGACGCAGACATAATAAGGCAGGTGAGGATTAAATGATGAATACATAAGAAATTAAGATTTCAGCGTAAGCATTATTGAGGATTTCAAACTAGAAAACCTTAGAGTGAAAATGTTCGGTCAGCCATATGCCATCATTAATGGCCTAACCAAAATCTATCTTACATGTTTTTAACGCGTATGTCCCTACTTGTACCCTTGGTTATTCGCATCTCGCTAAATCGGATAGTCATTATCAAAAAACAACTAATTAGCACAAGAGAAGCCCCCGACGGAATGTAGAATTCAAACCACCAAAACTTACGAGAAAGAAATCATTCTCCTAACTTCAGGTGCCTCTGGCATTTTCATAAACAATGAATTAGTGAAGAACGAAATTCTTCTTCTAGCTTCCAAATTAGTTGGCACATCCATCGCGGATTCCTTGACAGTAAGGAGCAGGTGAATTCTTTTGATCTGCAGATAAAAATATAAAAGAACGGGTTAGATTCAAAAGACCAAAGTCCAAGCAAAAACAAACTATACTGACGAGGATTTACCTTCTCTGTCCAAGCATCAGACTGTTTTAGCGGAAACATCAGGGCCCCTTGCGAAGCAAATAACTGTCGACCAGACAGTGTTGTAACGTCTTCTGTTCCATAAGCTCCCCCGTGGTATGAATCAGAAATACTGCCAGGAAAGAACACCAAAGCAACAATTACAACGTTGAACATTACGATGACAACACTAACCCTAACAACAATGATGCAACAAGGCCAGTGACCTCAGATAACTTACCTGTATAAATGTTCCTCCGCAATGTCTTTTGTTGTAACCTCTAACATGTCTTGGAAAAGTAAGACAACCTGATCCTCGTCTTCACGCTCATTCTTCAACTGCAGCCACATTAAATGAAGAAAAAATAAAATAAGCGTCAATGATTGTCAATAGATATAAACACGAAAGTAAAGTAAAGAAACGGACCAGTAGGTTGGTTAGATCCACGAATTTCTCATAGAGAGTGTGAAGTGCACACAAGTTCAACTTGGTTATCTCGTCATCGGTTATAAAACCATCAACTATCTCAAAAATACTATTTATTAATCTACAAAAAAAAGCACCAGTTAATAGAAGATGAATGTAAAAAAGATGGGCCAACAGACAAACGGGAGCAAAACCAAGAATTCACCGGTTAAAAGAAATACTTACTCTCTCTCCTTGTCACCCCGAACCATATGTTTAATAATGTTTCTAAATGATGCATAGCACTCACGGACAGCATAAAGCATGTAGTCATCTGCAAGTATTCTCTTTATCAGTTCATTCTCCTTCCCATTGCTGTCTTTCGTCATGTCAACTGCTATTGGAATCTAAACATACAAGACCAAAAACAATTAGAGGCCAATCATAACTTGGCAATCGGAGAGAATAAGATGATCATAAAATAAACCTTGCTTGCAAGTAAGAATGGTGGCCACTGAATAATGCCTAAATCACCATCCGCCCAATATGGAACCAGCAACAAGTCCCTCTCCCTGGATATTCCACAACGAAAAAACTTGAAAAGGCCATAGGTAACCTAGCTAGCAATAATCTCAATTCAGTAAAGATAAAAATGTGCACAGTTTTACCGGTTATCTATCAGATCCTCCTTGCGAAAACTAGTAATTATTTTATTCCATAGTTGGGCAAATTTCGCATTATTCTTTTTATTATCATCCGGCATCTGTGAACCCAGGCAAGACATCAACATCAGAAGCGCTCCAAAGATCAAGTCAAAAAGAGATTAAATTTTACTCACATAGAAAATGGAAAAAAGGAACCGTACCTTGGAAAAATTGCGGGATAAAGTAGCCTTCAGACCTCTCTTTTTCCGTACCTTGGATGCATCACCCGCAACTAGACGTTCATTGAATTTCTCAGGAAGTGAATGAAAACGGGATCGTAGCAGTCCTAAAGTTCGAATCTACAATTTGGGAGGTGGACAAGAGAGCAACAAACAATCAAGAACACTACCTGGTCGTCTAATGAGCCAAAAAAAGAGAAATATCTAATTCGTAGATTTCCCAGTTTACATGGAAAAATTCTGGATGAAAGTTCTGAGATACAACGCCAGAGTATATAGAAAAACACAAGGAAAACAAGTCGCAACTGATGTAGATCAATTATCAAAAGTCAAGGAACCTGGATTTTTAAAATGTTAGTTTCTCAGTAAGGATATGGTAGTCAATTTCCATATATACTCAGTTTCATTCAACAAATGTACTTTTTTTTTTTTTCCAAAGCAATAAAAGTTAATGTGGTACAGCATATAAGAACTGTAAAAGAGCATAATTTATTAAGACTCTCAAAGATTAATGCGAAAACCTAAATACGTCTTTGCTAATTTGCAGCAGCAAAATGAAAACTACTTCAAGCTTCTCAGAATTATCGAAAGCATCCAGGTAAACAAATTGTAACCTCTCCAAGCCGCCGACAAGCTCCATAAATGCCACCAAGCAAGGTCGAAAAAATGGCATACCAGATCTGAGTATCCATAAAATAGACCTGCAGACCATCACAAGATAAAATTACTTAAACAAACAAAATGAAAAAGGAACAACATAAAAGGAGAACAACTGCAATAAAGACATACAAGAATAATAGGAGCCCACAGGGCAATCACAACGCCAATATTGTTCTTGGCTGCAAAAGTATGAGTAGAATGTCAGGTTCTGCCCTCATAGAAAAGTTCATCGCTTATCACCATGAAATACCTCGTGGAAAGAACTCATGCCACTGAAAGGTTGTTATACGATATCTCATGATGTCTTTTGTCGGACCCACGAGTGGCTTTATCTGCATTCATTCAGAATTCATTAAAAAACTATGAAAACTACAGCAGGCATTACATAGTCACGCGTTCCAAACTGGCAAACACGGTTCAGAAACATTAGTGGCCAAAAAAAGAACTAGTAGATGCCGGAGATTATTTAATCACGATAACTTAAATATACCCTTCTCTCAGTGGAAGTGCTTTCTCTCCGTCTTTTTGAACCAGGCAGTTAAACAGACAGGAATATCTAAGGCTATCATCCAGCAAGCAAGTCTCACTCCCAATTAAGAATGTAAGGAGATGTTAATAATACAAAAGCGCAGGTACTAAATAGATAGACCTGAAAAGAGAACACACGACACTGATCTTTCTCCCCAATAAAGTAACTGAAATAGGCAAGCACTGCAATCCAACACCGCCACAAGAAACCATATATATAACAGATTACTGAAGATGTAACATGATTAATACCTCAACGTAATAACTGAATGCAATCTTCGTCGCCAGGAGCAGCACCCAGAACAGTGTGTACCTGGTAATCCAAATAACGACAATATTAAATGGCACAGACAAACAATTCAATTTGCAAATCTACACAGCATTGTAACTGTACTCTTACTTGAAAAGTGAAAATGCACTTTCATGCATGCCTCTTCCAACATAGAGCCGTGGCTGTCAACAAAAAGAAAAACAGATCCATTTTACTAGAATCACATAAGTTAGCTAGCGCGACAAAAGCATTCGGATTGGAAATCAAAAGCCAGATGGACTAGTTTTGATTGGTATACCTGGGACCACCACATTACAAGCATTATGATTTTATAATTCGATCGTTCAAGGTATCGCCTGAGGAAGGGAAAAATAAACAGAACTGCAGCTAACATATTTGGTGACAAATATATCACTACAGCCAATATGTACAACGAAGGCTGATGTTGACCATTCCCAACCCAAGACTTGATAGTCCGTGCAAGACCAGAAGGATTCTCCCAGGTGTAAGCATAAGTTACAGGTAAAATAACAACCCATGCGGCCGCTGAAATAACTTTCAGAATGTATCTTAGTTTAACTGGGAATGACATGCTCTGCCTAGCTTTCCAACTCAGAATTGCATCAAGCACAGCTGAAAGATAAGAATACAAACAACGCAATTATTATCCACAGGACATATCAAATAGTTTATTTCAAGACATCAGCCTTTGTTGAGGAAGGCAAGGTGAAAACTCCGTACCTAAAGATGAACAACAGGCAAGAGGAAGACGTAAATATAAGTTAAAAAAACTCAAAATGCTACAGAAAAAACAAACACACCCATGGGAACTAAAAATACGACGAACAGAAGAAAAACAACTACACCGCAGAAATCCCTATCGTAAAGATTTGTTCCCATGTTTTGTAAAGCAATACACTATCTTTTGTCTCTCTAATAGGCTTGAGATATTTCATTCTTTTTGTTATCTTTAGGTACAGGTATGAACTGGCCTTCCTGAATTAGTTTCGGTTTAGATCCTCCATACCAACAGAAGACGATATTGACTACATACTTCGGACAAAGGAATACCCAGAATAAAGCACAATTAGAGTGATCAAGAATTAAAAAAATAACTTCATGTTTTAATTATATACAAATTTTATATAGGCTAAAGACCCATGATAGTGTCAAAGTCGTTCTCTTTAGTCACCGGAATAAAGTCCATTTCACAAAAAATAATCAGGAAAATGTCCATATAAAAGAGTTTATGGGTAAATCCAGCATGATGGCTTTCTAAGAATGAAGCACATTTTAGAGTTTATCGAATATAGGACAAAGTGAGCCATTAGAAATATGATTAAAACCTCACTATATCTCTTATTACCAGTCAGAAACTCGACCGTGATCGACATCAATAAAGAAAAATCAAAAATAATGAAACGCAGCCTAAAAGATAGAAACCATCCAAAATTAAATTTTCCAACTCTTCCTCCTCTTTCGCCACCAAGCAGACGATTTGCCGCAGTACAACTACAGGGACATCTAGAGCAGCTTTCGCCAGCAACTAAACTAACACAAGAAACTTCTATCAACCCATTCCTCCTAGACTAGAGTTCCGTTGATTGTGCACAAAATGTCACAGGCAATATGCAGATCTTCATGTGGCACTCTTCCTGTTAGAACACCTAGAAACGCTCCCTAACCTAATCTTCTATAGGTACACTCTAACATCGAAAAAGAGATACAAAAGAAGGGCCACATAATGCCCAGCTGGGTCTCAACCAACTATATCTTCAGTCTCCCCAGCTAAATCCGCTCCTTCATGTTCCTAGAGATCAGACCAACCATAGGCCCGTGTTTTAGCGATCTCACCATTCTAGAGTAGGAAGAACAGTTGAAAGGTCATAATGCCTGCTAGCTGAAAATGAGCAGTACACCCCTGTCCAAGTAGGTAAGTATGAGGTTTCAAATCCAGGTGGTCAAACTGACCAGAGCCCTCAAGTCCTGTAGACTTGTAAGCACAGGTTAGAAGTAGATTCGACAGTGCAAAATGAACACAAAGATCAATGAACCAGAAATGTTCATCCTTCTCCAATACCGTGGTCATCTGACGATTGCATAGCCCTCTCCAGACCCAACAATGAAAACAGCCAGAATGCCTACTGCTCGTCTCTTCTCAGACAGCCACACTAACACCCCCTCTCCCCACCGGGGATCCATTCGTCATCTCTCATAATCGAGCCGCTTTTCTGAACAGCACATTGGAAAATCTTCGAACAGGCATGCCACACTCATTGAGACTCGCTTATCTTACTCTAGTCTAGGGGTCACCTAGAGCCTACCAAAGAAGAGCGAGAATCATAGAAGAGCTCAGTCAAAATCATGGGCGAATTTTCTCCTTTAATAAATTAATTATAAACCGTACAGAAAAATACCATACAATACAACAAATAGCTTGTTAGACTTCATACAGATATACATGTATTTTAACCTTCAGTTACCAGAACAACAACTATCAAAATAAAGTGTTCAGAAAAACAGAGAACATGAAATGTAAGACATGACATAACATAACAGCTCACTCTCTGGATCAACAAGAGGAATGCTATTCCAACCATACCAATGTTGTTCTTCCAAAAACAAATAAAAATATAATTTCAACTAAACGACATGATGGAATCCCTGTTGTCAAAGATAACAGGAAAAACATATCCCAAAATTTATGAAGATACCTTGTGCAAGCTTCAAAATTGCAGCCGTAATAAAGATACTCAATATCTTCTTAAAAACAATACCATCAAACAAATCGCTTGGTGAGCCACCGTTCCAAGAAAGTATGATCATGGCCTTAAAAAGAAAAAAGGTACACATCAATAAAAGATTAGAAAAACTATAACATGTCAGCATTTCAGGAAGACAATCACCTGCAAAGATAAAATAAAAAAACTCCACATTCTGTCAAAGCTCCGAAATAGATGCCAAAATGAGCGTATCTCAACAAAATTGATCTTCCCAGTCCATCGATCATTAGGAGGAGACTTAATTTCCTGAAAAAGGCATAAAACACAAAAGCTTCTTGGGTCAAAAAGAGCATTATATACGCCAAACTATAACAGATACGAAAGATGAAAACAGCACAAGAATGCATCGAGATGCCACTAAATAATAAAAGATCAAACTGTGTTACTTACCCATCCGAAGTAACTGAGACAGATGTTGATGATGAAAACAATGCTAACTGCATTCCGGTATATGGTAACAGAAAAACTTTTACTTCCGAACTATCTTAGAAGACGTTGCACGTGGTTAAGAAATGATGCACGAATATCTTCAAAGCGGTTACTTTTTTCACAGCAAACTAATTTCATTTTATGCCATTTAAAACAATTCATACAAGTATTTAAGAAAATAAACGACGTGCATCAAGTGTAATATTTATTCAATATTCTGTTCTCCATATAACTCCTCTCAGAACTGGGACATTCCTAAATAATTTATATTGTAATATGCGAATATGAACATTATTTTTTTAATAAGGCACATGGCAAGAAATACCAGTGGTAGAGAGAACAGTTTAATTGCCTACATATAGAAAACAGTGCCACAAAGAAACCAACTTTTAGAACCTTCTACAATTATAACCAGACTTAACATGGCTCGATAATGGTGAGTAGAAATATGTCACACAGACATTAAAGTTAAAAGTACTGATCCCATATTACTTATACAAGGAGAAAAACACAAATTTTGGCAGGAGGATGTTATATCCGAATGTCCCACAGGCCAATCAAAATCCTCTATGATGATAAGGGGCTAGATCCACTACTCTAATCCCTGGATAAAGGCCGCTAAGGATGTATGAACAGGAGATACAGCAACCCACTATTTTACACTACCCAAGGCTATGAAACATTTCGAAATAGAGAAACATTTACTGAAGCAGGTATTATCAAAAAACAATTATCCGATTCGGATTTGCGAATTCTTACAGATCCACTTGACAATTAATCAAAAAATAAAACTTTCCGTCCACCATAGAAGAAACTGATCGGAACACAAGAATTAATTAAAACTTACTAAATAAAATACAGGAAACACACAACGTTGTTTTCGGTCTTCATATTCATTTTCCCCGATAAATCATCACAGGTCCCATTGTCAATCAGTCACATACCATTTCTGGCAGGCACGCCTCATTTACATCAATAATCATACCTTTGCCTTTTTCATTATCTGAGCTCATTGTTCAGGATAATACTTTTCAATTTTAAGATGTGATAGACTTGTAATTTAAATATGGTCGAATCACCCTGACACTACATCAGATCCACTAATCGGTTGATCTTCAATCATCCAGTAAGTTCCAGGTAAACAGAAAAATGAAATAAATATAGGAGTAAAATTTACAGACAATGACTATGCCATCAAATCCCACACAAGAATACTTACTCCATTTCTCTCGCCATTCGGGGGCTGGCAAAAGAAATCAGCATCAGCACGCATTGGCCACCCAAGGGAGAAGCAATCAGCAGACCTACATTATTTAAATGAAGTTATGTGCTGCATATAGTATAGTCGAATAAATATAAATCATCACAGAAAAGTCCTCCAGCAGCACCAGAAGTACTCATTTAAATCGTCATAGTTCCTCCAGTGCGAATGTTTTGATTTTCCTGTTTTACTTCGCTCAGCTTCCTAAAACACATAGATCAAATACAAAGTGACAATCTATTGAAATTACACTAAACATCACACAAACCGAATAAATAATGTGGTGTCACAGCGAACACCTTTGCAATCGTTTGATAAATTGGAGTAACAACTTTCTTTAAAAAGGCTTCTTCATCACCTCCATACGTAGGCTTTACATTCTCACCAGTCACTGGGCTCACATTACCAGCAAGCATCCCATAGAGCTCAAAAGCCATCTGATCAGTGTAGGAAAATAAAAGAGATTTCGAAGAAAGATAATCAAACAAAAAAAATAGAAGAGAATGGATGTAACAAGACGAAATATCCTCCAGAATTTCCAACATAAATGGTACTCGGTTAAGACCAATAAAATAGACAAGAAATGGAAACCACAAAAAATTATGGAACCAGAGGAAGAATAGCACCGTATTTTATTTCAAAAATATGATAAAAAAACCTCATCAAGAAGAAACAACAAAGGGTAAAAATTGAAATAGAGTGAACCTCTTGTGCACACTACTCACAAACGTAATATGGTGTTTCCTTCCATGAGTCTGAGACACCAATGCTAATGGAAACAGAAACAACCACTAACTAAAGCCAAAAAGATACTGGTTATGCACTTCCCCCCACTAACTAACAACTAGGTGAAGTTCACTCTATTTTGCAATCCGCAAGAACATGCTCAAAAATAAAAACATGAAAACAGCAAAAATCTAGTGTGAAGTTCCATGCACCAAAAGAAAACTAGTGTAACCCATTCTGCAAAATCCATATCTTATCTAAAATCCACTTACTCACTCCGAATTCTGACACAGAATAGACAGAGAACCGATTTTTTTACAACATGAATTAGCAGATCAATTCTGCTATTTTCATTAATCTCATCAAATAGTTAATTACTTATTGAAACAGTATATGACTTCCTAACTTTAAAGGTATTTATGTTATTTTCAAAAAAGATACAACCAACCAAAAAAAATAGATATTCAACGAATCAGTCTAGAACCCAAAGAAAAATAGATTTTTGATTCACTAGCATTGAGATTCCCAGTTTCAGCATTATTGTTGTCATTTCCCAGTTCAAAAAAAAATTAGCAGGAGATAAACACAATTCCAATCATCAAAGACGAGAAACAAGAAAAGGAAAAAGGACAACAATATGACGCATAATAAAGAGATAGCATAAACAACCCGAAAATATGGGTTTTTAGAATAGACAATCATTGTCTCCACATGAACGAATCAAATTCGAGAACTTACATGATGATAAATGTAACAAAGACATTCTGGCATAAATCGTAAGTTAGCTGCTTCGCCCCAGATTAGAAGATAAAGACCCATATACAACAGTTTCCTCTGATGCACTTCCTGTTGAATGGTAGGCAGCCTACAATTCGATAAAACATATGAAATAGACAACATAGAGAACAAACGAATAAAGAAACACCCAGAACTAACCCTCTTCTTTGGAAGCTCCAAGTAGTTTAGATAATGGAAAAAGGATATAAAATACACAGACAAGACCCCAAGCCCTCAAAGAGAGGAAATCGGTCATAAGAAACTTTAGGACTCACCAAAGGCTACGCTTACGGCCCAAGTATTTGCACCATTTCGTGTAGTTTTTAAATAACTTCTTCATGACATCATTCAATGCGCGTTCATCCAGCTGCAGAAGATGAAGTCAACGTAAGACTCACAGATTCTGCACAATGCATCACAACAAAGCATGGAATATGACGAGAAAAAGAGAACCTTGGTCTTTGACTGCTGGTCAGATTTTGGCAGCCGTATGTGCACATTGGCAAGCAGTAATATCAGATGTTCTCTTTGATTAGCAACATTGTCTTTCTGCATGATTCTAAAGTTATAAGGTCGAAGCCAAGCTACATAAAGAAGAAAGAAATTAAACAAATAAAGCAGTGGAAAAGCTTCATTACCTGAAATCCAAACATTGCTCGAAGCCAATCAAGAATATCTTCATCAACCTTCTTAACATGGTCCTTGGGCCATGGTAGCCCTCTTATGTTACGAAGTGCCAAAACAGCGGCCTGAATCTGCAAGATGTCGTGAAACAACAAAGCCATTCTAATTGGCTGATTCCAATGAAAGAAATGAGAGGAAATTCCGGACTGGAACGCAAACCTCTGGATGCTGCATAATTGCTTGATTAGCACTGTCCGGATCAAGGGGGAGAATATTATAAGGAACATACAGCTTCGTTTTCTCTTCAACCTTACTGTGTATTTCAGAGATCTAGAATGAAGCATCAGATACAAAAGATCAGAAAAACACCCATCCACGGAATGAGAAGTGCCAAGAGCACAATATAATAAAGATAACTTTACTCGGCAAGAAGCAAGAGAGACATTATAGGAAGTACCTCAACACCGACTTCAAGAGACTGAGTCGAGCTAACAGCCTTTAATACATCAAAAAGAACTGTTGCTGTCTGGTATGCTTTTGTAAGTTGCGCACTGAACAAATCCAACGTAAAAATTGTGATAATTATATATATAGACAAAAAAGAGTAGCGTAACTTTGACCATAATATTTTTGCTAAATTAGCATGTAGCCACTAACCGATCAGCTTTGTCAGCAGCATTTTGAAGGGCTTGAATATATTTTTTATAATAGTCGAAATAGAAAGTCTGGATTTCTCGTGCATCACTCTGTTTCACCCTTTCCTTCAAGGTAGGATCATTTTCCTGAACCATAGAAATCATAGAACTTCAACAAAGTAATGAAGACGTGATAAATAGTATATGCACTTTCGTTATGTACTACATGTACGGGAAAAAAACTCATCACTCTCCAAATGAGCCAATACTGTCCAAAAGGAAAGAAAAAAAAGTTCACAAGAGGAAAAGGAAAGGTGAGCCAGTATCTCTTGATTTTGAAACTATATTTATATAAGCTCTGCATTAGGCGTCCTGTATTTCCCTTGTGGTAGAACCAGAATGATCTGAAAGAAATGGCTCACCTATAGGAAGTAAATAGAATGAAAAATAAGTGAGGAAACACCACTGAAGGATACATCCAGACTGACACAATGGGTTGACCTACAAAAAAAGAGACCTAGTAAAAGGACCGAAAGACATCTGCTGAACGATCAACTACCTCCTAATTTTTTTATCACGAAATTATCGGTTTTCCTTTTGCAAATTGCCAGGATCTTTTCCTTGCTTTGAAATGTGCTTCTAGAACATAGAAAATAATGCTTTTCATGTAAAACATCCTCATTAAGTTTTCTTATCAAATCATTTCTATGTCTGAAGTCAATCCAGAACAATCCTGCTAATGCTTTCATTTTAAAATCCACTTGAGTTACAAAGACCATTCGAATAAAATACTTAGTAGTCATAATATTTAACTGGTAGATCACCATGCTCCACCGACTTAACTGGTAGATCATTTGCATGCCCATGTAATGTTCTGTATTACTACCTTCAGGTACATGAACCACAGTAATAGAACTTTGTTGCTCCAAAGATACAGTACCAGAAAAAAACGGATGATTATGAAGGCTCCCACAAGGTAATGGGAACCAGGAAGTAATGGCAACCAGGATGCCAGAGGAACAAAAGAGCGAAACAAAAGAAAAATCTGGACTGTCAGGAGTTGGTTATTCTCTGAGGGTGTAGTCAGGACGGATACCTGATTCGAATCCTGGTGCAATCGCAATGGGAGTCAAAGTCGGCAACTAATAGCACACAGAAGCAGAAAACTGACCAGCAATAATCGCCAAATGCTTGATAAAATTGACACTACCAAATGAGAATGGGAAGGCAGAAGAGAAGAAAAGGAGTGGTGTACTGGTGGCAAGGGAAAGGAGGTAGGGTCACAACCTCTCTGATAATACAAATGAATTCCTACGCCCATGGAGCTACAGATTGATTCTTCCAACTGTAGTCCTATTGAGAATTGTTTACAAGTCAAATATCAACAGAATTCATTGAAATACTAGTTGAATGTATGCTTTTTGAAATCTTATCACTAAAACACCTCAAATGAAACACTAAGAAATTCGATATTCACTTTTAATTCAACAAAATATTTCATTTAATGGACTTACACAATTCTCTTGACAAAAATAAACACACGTGAACTTGGATCTCCACCTTAAACTTTACAAATTGAGAAAATTCCAATACACACATACATGTGTGTATAAACACGCACCACTTTCCTACAATTTATATGTATGTATGTGTGTATCTATATAGATACACTTATGTATATGCATGTACAAGTTAATTTTGAATATTTACCATGCCTACAATGTCTTGTGCCTGTTCTTCAAAACTATGACTATATCCCATATTCAATGAGGTGCCATTGTAAGATATTTAAATTTAAATAGCAAACATATAATGCAAAACTACCTGTTAGTACAATAATAATACCATGATAAAGAAACATCCGCCCAATTAGAAAGAAACAGTGAAAAAATTACAGGAGGGATACCCTTTCCAACCGTTGTAGAAGTGCAGTCTTGAATTGCCGTACACCACGTCCGCTTGATGTTGGATCCAATTTATGAGCCTTCTCAAAAGCATAAAATCGACCTAGTTTGGCCCAAAGAAGAATCAGCATCAAACTTAACGTAATGATGACAAGTAAATGAAAATAACGATATGTGAGTAAAACTTTCATTAAATATAGCTTCAAGAAGCAGCTACAAAGGAAAGGAAAAACTGTTAATTTCCACAATTCAAGAAAAGTTCCTTACTAATTTGGACACGTTAAAAAGACTCAGAAAAAGGAGTCACGTATCTAATGCTTCGATATATTGGTATACTTTGAACATTTCATAAGCAATACGGATATGGATCTGTGTTCACCACTTAAATGAGAAAAATGGAAAGAGAAGAAAAGGCATCCCACTTTCAATCCATAGGAACAACAATGACTGGGCCCCTGCCTTCAAGAAAGCATGAACAAAACATACCGGGCCAATGATGGCTAGGGCCTCACTCTGAGATATGATTCTTCGCCAGTACAGCATGTAAGGCAAAAAATTATGGAACAGTGAGGATGTGTGTAGTGTGCATGACACTAACTTCAGGATGCACTATTAAAATACCAATCTTGGAGGATATGTGCAACTTCTGAATTTTCAATTTCTATCAATGAGAGCATACAGACACCACGCACACACAAATGAGTCTGAACAGTCCGCTAATGATGAGAGTGATTAACTTGTATCGAGGCTGAGCAATCCACTACCATTGCCCTCGCGAATGGCATATTACACGTTTAGATAGGCCAACTAACTAATTTTCAATAGCTTCGAATCACAAACGTCCCTTCCCTCCTTGAAACGGGAAAACGTACAGGATAAGCCACAACACTAATCACAAACTCTATAACAAGCAACGCAGCATGACTTGAACTTCTCCACAGGCCAGGGAAGAGGAGAAGAGAGAAAAGGGGCAGATATCCTCCGAGCCTCAGCGTGTACTTACATAAGTAGGCGACTCGCGGGTTGCCGGACTCCACGTCATTGGCGACCCGGAGGATGGGGGCAATATCTGAAAGTGACGACGGCACAACTTCACTGTCAAAGATAGACTCTCCCAGGTTTCCCGCCGTTTGCGTCCGCAAAATCCTCCGCTGAGAAGGCGGGTCGCCTCCTCTCCTCGAATAGGACGACATCTCGCACTCCCTTCCACCTCCTTCTGGGGCCCTTCAGAAGCCCTGTTCACCCGTCCACAAAAATTCTCAGGACTAGAAAAACTCCAATCCTCACAGAAACACAAATAGACGAACGAAACTCGAAGATATTCGGGGAAAATGACCCTCACCTTGCCGAGTTCCCCCAGCGCAAGCTCCCCAACACTCATCCACCCACCCGATGCAGCATCGGCTACCCACTGAAGTGAAGAAGATGAAGAACCAGATGAGACACGAAACGACCCGAGGAAGAATCCCCAGGGGAAGAGAGCCTCAAGATGATGGACGGCCTGGTGAAGAGGGGAACGTACCAGCGAGAGTTCGGAGCCGGAACAGTAGTACTGCTGCTCCTGCTGCTGCAAAACCAAGCAACCTCGGTGACCTAACGCTTACCCAACTTCCATGGACAGGCGGACAAATACTCCACTCCGCCTCCCCCCCCCACTCCGACACTGAGAAAACGACTTTTCTTCTACCATCGTAAACTGTAATTATTACACTTATGTCACTGAAGTACGGATAAAGCGGTAAGAGAGACTATATTGACCGCCGTCGTGTAATGGCAAACCCGTAAAATATCGTCTCTTTCCGCTCACTTGCCTCCGGATTCGAATTTCAAAATACCCCTTCCTCCTCCTCCCCGCCCCTGGCGCAGTATTTACCCCTGGCTTCCAATCGTAGGGTATGGCTATTATTTAAATAATAATTAGGGGTATCAAGTAAAGAATGAAAGCAGGGTTTTTTAAAAGTAGTGGGCCCCAGAACCGGTAACGACAAGCTTCGACGTGACGTGGCCCAAGTGGTGTGTTGCGACTAGCTGGGACCCGGCGACTGTCACCGAAGTGTCCAGAGATTAACGGCTGAGATTGAAGACGTCGATCCCAAGACACGAAAGTCGAGAAGCCTTTTTCAGAGTCCGCATATTCTTTAATAGTCTGGGACGGAGGAACTACCTCACGTGCCGGAGCGTATTTATTCCCCTAATTTCCCTTCTCATTTTTTATTTATTTTTCCCCTCTGTAGGAATAAAAATATATTATCCGTTGTTTAATATATATAAATATATATATATATCTCCCTATTGCTGTGTGGGTGGGTAGGATGTAATTATCCAACAGTGGAGTGTAATTATCGACTGCATGGCATCTGATTATTCTCTCTTCTGTGACAGAATAAAGTTTGGTCATTTTTGTAATGAAAGAAATTTCCGACTATTTGCATAAATAGCTCCTGGAATTCAGCTCGAGGGAGCTGGGTCGTTGACTTCTTGATTGCCCACTTACTAGATTTACTTGCAGTCAAATGAAGGCGATATTATTTAACGCAGATGGGCTGCCGTACCACGGCCACCAAGTCAGATATTTCCATATATATATATATATGAATATAATATTATCTACCGACGGTGTTTCTGGTCAAACTTTTGCCGCCACCCACGTCGCCGTTGGAAAGGACGGTTCACTCGTCGTCTTCTCTCCTTCTGATCTTGATCCACATGTCGGCATAGGAAGGAGATGCAGGGGTTATATATAATTTATCCGGAAAGTTGCTGAGCGCATGCCGCGTGTCATAGACCAGGTCCACCCCCCCGGAAGACGAGGTCAGATGTCATCGTGGGCGTTGACTTCCTGCAGAGTAGGAGAGGCCACCGACAGGAGGGTCACTCATTAGGACAAATTTGAATTCCGATGAAGAGAGATCCACCGACGGATAGGGAGGGCCTAAAACGCTCACCTTGTTCTCGAGGGAGACTCCGTCCGGTACTTCGAGCTTCTGTCCCGGCTTCGCACGGATTATCACTTTGCCCTGAAGGGTCAACGCAGAGGAGGGGTGGGGGGAGAAGTTCAGCCCGTTGACATCGAAGGTTTCCGGATTTGGAAAGTTGACCTGCCGCAGCTGCCCACATGATAACATAAGAAGGCATACCTTGAGAATTATGTCGGCACCGAACCATACGTCGCCAGAAACCTTCAGACTATCGAGTTCGATGATGCTGGGGATGGACTTGAAGCGGCTGAGGAAGTCGCCCACCTAGATAGCGAGAGAGAGAGAGAGAGAGAGCGTTAGGTGCAATGAACAGAAATTCCAAGAAAGGAAAGCCAAGGGGAGGGAACGTAAGGTGTATACCTTCTTGAATTCAGGGCCCAGGTCAACGGAGGGGTTCGCCGGGCTGGTTCTAGCTTTGTTCCGGATGACGAAACCGTTGACCAGGGTGTAAAGGTCGGACTGCAAGTCAACGGACAAGGGAGGGTGAATAAGTTTAAAAATAAAAAACACGGCCCTTAAAAAAATCTCATGGATAAGATACCAAAAAGAGGCTTCTTTTACAGACCTGGACAAGAAGCAGGTCCGATGTTGCCTTCACAGGGAGGAAGCGGGATCGAGGAACATTGATCCCGATCGCATTATCAAAGAACTGAGAGAAGCGACAACAGTGGATGAACAATACGGTATGAAAGGAAATCACCAAGAGAGAGAGAGAGAGAGAGAGAGAGAGAGAGAGAGAGAGAGAGAGAGGATAAGAATCTTTCATGGGTACCCGGATTGCAGCGCCTGCTGCTGTCTCCAGCTGAAGAACTTTAACACCGTCGACTTCCTAGAAAGTTAGACAGAAAATGGGTACATTTTTAGTAGAGTAACGATTAATGATACCCCTTGGGGTAGAGAATGATACGAAGGAGATGAACCTTGGGGTTGGGAATGATCTCCATTTTCAGAGCGTCGGCCTCAACGAGACGTTTGATGGCTCTTAAATTGACCCACCTGGAAAAGGTAAGGTCAACGGGGCTTGAACAACGATGAAATGAAAGCACGAAGCAAGCAACGAGTTTAATTCACAGAATAAGCCTGCTCACAAGTTGTTGGTGTTGAAGATCTTGAATTTTTCGATTGACTTGAACTCGTTGACCTGGATGGAAAATTACACATTTTTTCATGAAATTTTAATCTTTCTTTGATTACCCTCACACCGTGTTATTTAAAAGGAGATGAACAGGCAGCAGCTACACTCACATGTTCATTGGGAACCTGTGCGATTTCCAGGAGCTGCATTAGAATGAGAGAGATCATTAGTAGCAGATCCAAAATAGCAGCAGATAATGGAAATAAGAGTTGTTCTTCTTCCCCTGATCGACTGGTAAGCGCATCAAATATCGCAACTACTTTGATCACCCAGAAAATAGTTCATGCAAGAATAAATAGCATATATGCAGGTATTTTTAGAGGTTTTTTTAGAAGAACATATTTTCTTCTTCTGTGATGAGAGATCATTAATTAATTTCCGCTGATCAGGCATTAATTACCAATTAATCAATAGATATCAAATTGTCAAAGGTCCAAAGGTGGCTCAGAGACACTGGTTTCACAACAGGGAGGAAGTTATGGAGACAAGGTGTGTAAGTCAACGGCAATAAATTATTGCATACCTGAACCCTTCCTTCGTACGATATTAGGGTGCCGCCTTTGACATCAGCCAAGGTTTTGGGGGTCACCTGAGAGAAGGTACTGTCAGAGAAAAGACATGGATGCATCTGAGCGTCAAGCCTCTGAGAGCATCAATACTACCTCCATGCAGTACTCATTCTGGTTGTGAACCAGGTGATTCAGTATTTCTTCAGATCAGTCAAGGATAGAGCGTGTCTTGATGGCATTTTCATAGCCATCGGATTCAACTTATGAACTACACGGTAACAAAGAATTAAGCTTGGAAATGATGGCAGGATACTCAAATCCACTATGGCACCTAAGTTATCAGAGTTGGCCACAAAGATATACTCTTTACCCTGCAAAACGAAGGGCCGACACATGAGAAAGAAAATAATATTTTCTTCATAATGTTGAGCGGCCGTATGTCATGGGAAAAATTAAATATCAAAGCAAACCTGTGATATTAGGGCATCTAGTTTCCCACTGTTCAACAAGGAAGGGAACACGTCACCGTGACCTGGGGGATACCTTGAGGAATGCATAAGACTTTAGTCAGAAAAATGATAATTAGAATGATTCTGATCACGGAGGTTTCTAGAGCATAGTAACTAGGAGAATGATAGTGAAGCGTTCACAAATGCTTGAACAGGGACCTTTTTTGGATGAAAAATATCAACCGAATGCTAGAATGTATATAAGAAACATTGGGACTAGTAATAAAGCGTGTGAAATTGACAAGATATATAAGCTGATGTAGATATGTACATATAGATAATTAAATAATATATGAAAATTCAGCAGGGAGACGGCCGAATTGCAGCCAATCCTGCCCTTCTGGCCTCAATATAAAAAAAAATTGACCGTTGAAAATATTTTGCAGGAAAAAAGATAAGTCAAGGACATCTCACTGTACTCATGCTAACATGTAGACCTGTCTGTAAAATGGTTCAGAGGATCAGACAGACTCGAAGTTGGTTCAAAGTCAATGCAACAAAGCAATGACAATCCATAAATAAAAAATATATACAAGAGTACACTCACCAGCCATCTTTCCCAGTCTGTCCCTTGCTTGGGAGTGGTGTAAAATCTTCAACAACCAAACGAGGGTATTGACTCTGAAGTATAGAGTTTCACACCATCACGGTCAGAATTAAGTAGGAAAAAAAGAGGAAAGAAATATTTCTATCAGAAATGATTTACCTGATTAAAGGTATGTATCTCAATATTTGAGTTGGAATATTTCTCCACGATCTGTATAAAAGATTATTTAGATGGTTAGGCATGTGAAAATCCCAAACATATTTTACGATTTAGAAGACATAAAATATGAGAAGCGAATACCTTCTGTGTATCCTCATGCGTGTTGAATGAGTTCATCAAAAGAAGAGGAACATTGCACCCGTACTTGGTGTTCAGAGACTGTAAACAAGAATGTAAAATGTGTAATTTACAGATGCATATATCAAAAATGAGAAGAACACAAGTAAGTTACCTCAATTTGAATAACGATCAAATCGAGAAATGTCAACCCATTTCGAACTTCAATGACAGATCTGCAGTAAAGATAAAAGAGAACTTTTGTTATTTAACTCTCCATTTGTAATCGCGTCTAGATTATCAGATTTCTTGATATTTATGAGAACGAGTGGACTTGGTCTTCAAAGATGTATCCAATCAGCTCCGTGCCCACTGTGAAACATCGAGTCCTTATTTCTGTGGATAAAGTGTAACAAGTCTGCCGTTCGTTCCTCTCAAATTAAGCATTAAACGACCTCTAAGACCATCGATTCCTATGATATCAATATCTTCACATAATGATGAAGTATTGTACGCTATACACACTTGGTTCTTGAGATTTTAATATTTAATGTGAAAATTTTGATTATCAAACTCTCGGCTAGAATTAGTTGATAAAATAATAAGGAATGGAGAGCCGTGTTGATGGTCCCATGAAAATTTGTTTTAGTCAACCGCGTGGTCAATGAAAAAAAGAAATCAGTGATGCAGAAAAAGTGGCAAAAAATTTGTCTTACTTAGGACCAGTGCAGCCCATCGTTGTTCCGAGGCCGCCATTGAGCTTTAAGACAGCGAGCTTGTCAAGAAGTTTCCTAGTTGACCCAAGCTCTGAATGGAGATAACCAAGTCGTTAAAATAAAAGATATGGCATGAGTAAACAGAACAACAAAAGGATCTTCCTCTGAGTAGGACTGATACGTGAGTCGGCCGGAAGGTATGAACAAACCTTCTGGAGGAGGCGCCAAACTCTCGTAAGGCACGACGACTTCTTCAGTCGGAGTCTGGATCTTACTCCATTCAATCTGCTGTGCCTCTCCACTGAACAGTAGAAAAACGGCGGCAGGGAAAAGGGTGAGGTGAGATCTCGGTTATAACTCGAGAGCACAAAAAAAAAGGCTGGTGTTTTATTAAAGGGTATACCTCAGATATCGGGAAACCAGGCTGATGAACCCAGATTTCTCGTTCTCGCTGCAAAGAGATCACAGGGCTGAGGCAAGGGTCCAAAGAACGCGAGGATAAAAACGAACAGATTCGACCGCCGAACGGGAGCTGTCTCACCTGATCTGGCTGAGACCCGCCACCGCTGCTTGGAGCTTCGCGACCTTCTCGGCCTCGGTAAAGAGGGGAGCCTCCGCAACAGCAGCCATTGGAGAATGCTCTTCCTCGACCCTCCCTCGACGGACCACACTACCGCAAGAAGACAGAGCGGAAGGGAGAAAATGGCCCCGGGGACCACACTACCTGACGTTTATAGCAGACGGTGGTCGAGTAAGAGAGAGAGAGAGGGAGAGAGAGAGCTTAACGGCATCCGCGGAGTGAACGACCAAGCTCGACGGTGATCTATTCTCTGTTCGAAAGCACGGCCCAACGCTACGCCAGCTTCCAACCACACGTCGCCGGCGCCGATGATGCCCGGAATCAAAGAACGAATGTGCTGCCGTGCTCCGTCTTTGCCTGCGGACAGCTACGCGTGGAGCCCTCTGGTAGCAAAAGCCCCGAGCTTTCTGCCTGCCGTATCCTCTCCTTTCGGTTCTCGAACGCGTGGCTACTTGCCAGCTACGGAGCTCCTCGCATGGCGACACGACATCACTCCGGAGGAAGCTCGCTCGCTCGATCGATCGATCGACCGACCGGAGCCACAATCAGTCTCTCCGGACCGTCCACCAGACTCAGGGCCTCCCCTGTACGGAAGGATCATATTTTATTTATTTTATTAATACAAATCGTAAAATATTAATTTTATTCAGGAAAAAGGGAGGTATGCTTGCCGTTTACAAAATCCTTAATTACCAATAGATTAATTACCTAATCCACATAATTCCAATTCATGGATATAGATTATTGCAACCGTCCCTTATTAAAAATGACCAAACTATCACAAGGATTGCACGATAATGTGATGTCAAACGTGATTAGTCCTAGAATTAAGTATTAATTTAAGATCGTTTATTCTAATAATCGAGTAGCTTAAACCCCTATATAAAAGAGTTAAATGCCTAATATAGAGAACACTTTGACCAATACAACAGAAAACGATAGAAGGAACCATCTTTTGAACTAAAACTAAAAATCTTAAAGTTTTAGGCTCATTGGGGTCATGAGTATGCCCAAGTGACATAGTCTCCTAGCTGGGGATTCATTCGTAGGAAGAGGCAAGCAGTAGACCCAGAGAAAATGTTGTATTTCTAATGTGAACTTTGGTATGGGTTTTTATTAAAAACAATAAACATTTCAAAAAAATTGCGACTTTGCCCACCTATATACTTCTCCGGGCGCCACCTCAGAAAACAACTTCGAGGAGCATACCTAGTAGAGCCTTGGAGGAGCTTGCTTGCGAGCTGGCATCTCTGACCTTGGCTTGGCGACTTCAACAAAGATGACTCGCCCGTCTAGGAACTGAAGAACAGAAAGAAAGTCAGAAAATCAGTAAATGAGCTTTCCAGACTAAATAATTTCAAGAGAATAGAATCTAAAGAACTCATCACAGGGATCCTGGAAAACCACGAATCTATTCTAATGCCCATGAAAAGAACAAGGTTTAGTGGCTAAAGGGTGGGCTTTATCCGTAGGCCCCGCTTGGCAGACCCAATAAAGCAAAAGTCAAGCATAAAAACCCATATAATAAGTTATTCGAAATTCTTGATTTAGAAATCTCCGGATGCCAATGAGAACTCGGTTGATGCTGAGTGAATCTCAAGGGAGGTGGGGACAAGGCACATTCAGCCTGTTCATCGCCTGGTAAAGGGCTGGCTTGAGCAAGCAGAACTCATTCCCTGAAGGTTTCATTGAAGAAACCGAGCCACGAGAGATGAGGATATTGCAGGCATTTCAGAGGGAGGAGAGATCTTACCAGAGATAGTGACTTATCAATATGTGATCTTTAATGGAAATTCTGATAAATAAATTAGTACAGATATCTCCCATGGGCTTGTTCTGCATGGTTCTCCTATTTACTATTACCTAGCTTCAGAGGGCTGGATCGTTCATCTTGAGAATAAGGTGGCTACCCAATATACACACTTTAACACGAGAAATTTTACAACATGATCAAAAGACGTAAAGTTAATAAAAAAACTCCACACTGATTAATAGTCGAGGGAGAGATTTCCCAACGAGGTTCTGTGCCATTTCTTATTGCAGTGAGAGTGTGATATGCATTTTGTATGGGAAGGGCTTTCGGTAACCTCCTTATTTTAGGGGCTTTACCTCTTAGGAACCATCAACTGGAGGCTGTGTCAAGATCAAACTTATGACCCGATCTATTTTTGGTATGACAAAAAAAATTCCCTCTTTGTCAGCCCAAATAGAGATGGCGGATCCTCATGTCATCATGCTGCTACAATAAATAAATAAATAAATAAATAAATCTTCTGCAAAGTTTTTCACTTGATTTGGCTTTAGAAAAAGCCCTTGTAAATTATTAGACTAACAAGGATGAATGGACAAGGCTCAGATTATACAGCCTCTGATGACTAATCTGGATTTGGTTCAAAAGTAAGATAACGTCCTCGCTTGTTTATGCACAAAAAAATCAAAGAAGTAGGAATCACATGAGTTCAAAATTATAAACCTTTCCATGCATCCCTTCGATGGCATTCTGGGATTCTTCCTCAGTTGCATATTGAAGAAAGGCAAACCCTCTCGGCCTGTTTGCTATTCTATCCATCACTAGGTTGACTGCACAACGAAAACAAAATGGATAGCTGTTGATTCACCCTTTCATTTTTCTTTTTTGGCTGAATAAATCATTCGCCTCACTCAGTAGCATCAGTTGTACCGATTTCTGCGCAAGAATTCTTAAATCGAGGCAAAGTATCTAGATTGTGATGAAGAGAAATGAAGGAGATGAGTTCTACAACTACTCTCACCGTCTACAAGCCGACCAAATTTTTCAAAGGCACTTGTTAAACTTTCCTCCGTTGTGCGAAAAGAAAGTCCTGCAGAGAATGCAAAGAGATTACGTAAGAAACATGGACACTGGACGTTCTGAAGAGTCAACGCAGTCGGTCCTGCCCACAAATTCGAGCAAAGAAATATTAATTCCTCATAGATCCAGCACGAAGGCAAATTACGATCCTCTCCACAAATATTACGGCACATCAATTTCCAAGCCCTGGCCAAGATTTAGAATTCCGTAAAGGTCAAAAACGACCTGAAATCTCACTGATCATCCGTTCCCGCCAATTAAGCATCTAAAATAACAAAAAGCATTGCGCACATTGCGCACACTTCACATTTTCCGGTGGAAGCAAGAGACTAAATCGCGAAGAAGAAGAGAGGACGATGCGTACCACTAACATAAAGCTTCGTGGAGCCGCTGGGGGCTCTCGTGGGGGAAGGAGGCGAAATAGACGCCACCAGCCCCGATAATCCATTCCGCCGCCTCCGCAGCCGATTGTTCACAGGTTGAACTGATAATCTCCAGGGAGAAGGGTTCCCGCGGAGGCGGAGAGCTCGAGGAGCAACTTCCGGGAATCCACCTCCGATGATCCTCCCGGAGAGGGAGCAGAAGGTCGCCGCCATCTTCCCCACTCTTCCGCTCTTCCCGCAGAGCCGAGGATGCCTACGGTGGCGCTCGAAGACTTCCCGATAAACTGGAAATTATCGCAGTTCACAGGAAAACATTGAAGTATTATAATTTGCTACCATTAAAACATATATTGTACATGAGTCCAGGCCAAACGCTCAGTGGGCCGTAAACTGTGAACACTGTTAATACACATGGGCCTATTGGGTTTTCCAGTTACCTCTCGGACCATTTTTATTCCCAACTACAGCGAGTTATCCAAGAGCGACAGATTTTATACCCATAATTGAATAATTAGAATTTTAAAAAAGAATAAAAATACACAACGTCTGAGGATTTTTATTATTATTTAATATTAATTATAATAATTTTAATGTATTTTCAAAATAATTCTTCTCTGACCGTGAGAGGAAACCATTGTAGCCCAACAGATGATTGGTATCTTAAAGGAGAGATAGAGCGAGAGAGAGATACCCATAACTGAATAAGTAGAATTAAAAAACAGAGAAAAATAACCAGCATGATGAATTTTTTAGCTTACTATTTAATTATACATTTTTATGTATTTTAAAAATAATCCCCCTGACCATGAGACGAAGCCGTTGTAGTCTATTATATACCTCGTAAGGAGAGAGAGACACACATAATTAAATAATTAAAATTAAAATAAACAGATAAAAATACCCAACATATGAGGATTTTTTTAAACTTACTATTTAATTATGTATTTTAAAAATAATCCCCATGACTGTGAGTGGAAGCTATTGTAGCCCAACAAATGATAGGTACAAAGGGGGGGGGGGGAGAGAAAGAGATATACCCATTGAATAATTAGAATTAAAATAAACATAGAAAAATGGGCAACATATGAGGATTTTAACTCACTATTTAATTATCATTTTTCCTGTATTTTTAAAATAATCCCCCTCACTGTGAGAGGAAGCCATTGTAGCCCAATAGATGATAGATACTTCATTAGGGGAGAGAGAGAGAGAGAGAGAGAGAGAGAGAGAGAGAGAGACCCATAATTAAATAATTTGATTTTTTTTAACTTACTATTTAATTACACATTTTTATGTATTTCAAAAATAATTCCCCTGACCGTGAGAGGAAGCCATTGTAACCCAGCAGATGATAGACATTTCATAAGGGGAGGGAGGGAGAGAGAGAGAGAGAGAGAGAGAGAGAGAGAGAGAGAGAGAGAGAGAGAACCAAAAAGCCCAAATTGGACGGATACCGCGTTTTTTTTTAAACTTTCTTTGAGGTCATTTAAGGAAGCCAAGCTGGGCAAAAGAGCAAGTTTCCAGGAACCATTGAGAAACCCAACACGAGAACCACATACCAGCAGAATCCATTTAAACCATATTGTGCCTCTGCTAATTGTGTGGACTCCCACAAAAAAATTAGGTTAAATCAGGAGCAGGCTAATCCAACCAAAAGGGAACGGGGAAGAACTCTCACAGAAGCACCTCAAGGCCAGGTTAATCTGCTCCAGCGGTGACCTTCCACTTCTCAAACTCTGAGGAATCCACCATGAAGGAACTCGCATTACGATGCCCTCCTCCTCCATGGGCCTGCCCAAGAGCACAAGGAAGGCGCAAAGAATAAATAGTCCCATACTGATATTACTGTGAGATATTAGCTCTGAGGTGGAGATGAGTGTGGGTGGCGTATCCCAAGGGCTCCCAATCAAAGGTACCTGAGAGATGGGCGTTGTGTCCTCTGGGCCTACGCTCCTCAGGCTCACCTTCAGCAGCTGATCATTTCCAAGTTCGGACACCTTGTAGACAACAGCACCAATGCCCCTGGATTCAGAACAAAAGAGGGTAATAAGCATGGGGGAGATGAATGATTCAGGAATGAAAGTGACCAGAGAAGAGCAGAGAGAGAACCTCAATCCGAGGCTTTGACTCTTCTCAGCTAATTGGTTCCCAATATCACTCCTTAGATCCGAGATGGCATCGACATTGACAGCCTGGGCGGAAAACCCAAGTGGGCATCTCAGTTAAGAACCTAATTTAAACAATTAATGGGTAAACCATAAAAAAAAATACAAAATAAATTGGGGATTCATGTACAGCGGTAGCTCCGAAAAAATCCCCCACCAGAAGAGATAGAGGATTCAAGGCAATCCAGGAGAGAGAGAGAGAGAGAGAGAGAGAGAGAGAGAGGGAGGGGGGTTGGTTGGTGTGCATGCATACCAAGCAGCGGCCAAATAATCCACCGCCAAGAACTATTCCGTATGACTGGTCAACAGCCTCCTGTATTAACTTTTGCTTACAGAGCATCGTCTCTTTGCCGTGGTCAATGACGAAATCTGGGTCTAAAGCAAGAAGCTGTATGATTTTAAATTACTTCACGAGGTTACATAGCAGGAAGAGCAGACTTTATTCCATAAATGATAAATGAATAAATTACAGAAGCCGAAATATGCAGCCAAGCTTGGAACATAAGTGGTCACTTATACAACGCTGTTCTGCAGAACAGCTGCCAGAGTAGCTCTCATTTCATAGGCTACATCCTCGGTATATATCTACAACAAGTACAGGAGGATGAAGGGTCAAGATGGACAGAAGAAGGAGCCTCCTCCTCCTCCACCCACGTCCCATGAACAAGGGAAAGTAGCGGAATGAAGAAAAGTGATCGAATCCATCGTCTAGGGTGCATCAGTCAACTGCCCAGAATGAGTCCATGACGGAATATCAATAACACCGCTCTATGGGTAATGTCGGCATAGTTTTCTACCCTTCAGAAGTGCAGGATTAATGTTCTACGTTAATTCATCACCAACCACAAGGGGTAAACGCCGACAATTAATTAATACTTGGTATTTGTTCTTGTCGATTCATTACTTATCCAATATCTTCATGGCTCACCATAAATCATGTAATTATTCTGGCCTCATCCGATCATCCAGGAGGGAAAGATCCCGCATCGACAGATCAAAACAGACTTGAAGGGCTTACATCCCCCCCCAACCTCCTCCTCAGTTGTTAATATTAAAGGAGAACAACTTTCTTTGAAAAAAACAATCTCTAAGAAGAGGAAGCATGCACGAGTATTTCAGCTGAATAGTATATTCTCTATTACCCCTTGGGGAAAGCAAGATGCCATTCCATGAACAAATCCTTTACCGAGTGAACAAGAAGGAATGGTTTGAATCAGAGATCGTCACAGTGATGATCATGAGCCTTGTATCTCTGACCAGACTGCTCACTATTTGAGTAAGCAATAGCTCACCCACAGAAGATGGGCATTCTAATTCGACAGCCAATAAGTTTAAACGTGGCAAAGATTGTTCCAAGTTTGAAACAGATTCTACACAGAATCTCTTACCTGATCAAAGAGGGATGGGTTCAGATCGACGTTATATTCTATATTCATGTCCTTCAGGCCCCAGTAGAAAGCCTTGCTATGTCGAATAGTCCACCTCCACAGATCCCCATCTTCGACGAGTTTAAAGAGCCGGCTGACTCTCTCTACCTCATTTTTGCTGGCCAATCTGCCGAGTGGCCAAGCATTACCATCCGTCACAGCATGCCCTAAAGACTTGGATCTCTTTACAAGCCTGTCCCTAAAGAAATCATAAGCGATGGTAGCGCCACTCCTTTTCAGGTCTATGACCTTTGTAACGTTACTTGACTGCTGATCACTTCTGGAAAGTTCCTCCAGCGCAGTTTTGTGATGATCTAAAATGATTACACTGAAAGGAAAAAAACAGGGAAAATGTATTAGTCATCATTCTTCCTGGAAAGATGATCAGGACCATAATTCATTGCTTAAGTTACTAGTTAAAAAAAAAGCTACAGAACAGTGAAAAAGTCTAGAATTCTTCATGCATTGTGGGAAAGAAAACAGCCAGACAATTCCCAGCGTGGTATTCAGAACCAGAAGAGCCCGACCCGTCTGGGCTTTTAGGGGCTTAATCTTCCCTGAGTCAATTCACTCTGGATGGGTTCGGTCTGGCCCAATGGCGGACATGGCAAAGATCAATAGGAGGGCCGGAGATGGAATGAGAGCAGGTTTGGAAGCACGGGCATCAGCCGAAAATATTAGCCCCATACCTCATTACTGCAACACATCTGGGCCTCTTAACAGACATTATTGCAAACGGCATACTGAATAATAAATTTTGATTTAATTCCACAAGATTGGAAAGAAATATTGACATACCTTTTAGCCTTTGAAGACGTTTTTTTAACAAATCCCGGAGGCCCGGCGAAGTCCAGAAGGTACACATCCTCGAATTCTTCAGAAGGAATGTTCTCTACCCTGCAACGAAAGATAATCCAACATGAACACGCAAACTCTGATGGCTCGCTCAGTATCAGTAGATCGTAACATAGGCAAAACAAATTATAGGATCAAAAAATAGAAGACGAGCACATTCGAGTATGGCAGCTACCCTCCCGACTGCTCTCCAGAATACGAGTCCTCAACAAAAGGCACCATAATGATACGCGTACGGAGCCAAACTTTCAGTTGTTGATAGCATGAGTTAAAACGCGCGGTAATCGCCCCTGCGCTCTGTTTTCCAGATCGGGGACTTCGAAACCCAAAGGTGCACTGACTGCGAGAGAAGAGTTGATGAACCAAAACCTGACGGGATCGTAGACAGTGTTGGGGATAAAGACGACAGGCAGAGACAGCGCCGAGAAGTAAAGGTGCGCAGCTAGGGCTGCGAAAGCTCCGTCGGGGCAAGGATAGTGGTAAAGCACTGCCGACCTTCTCACGGCTTCAATCATGCTGCCGGGATGGAGGCGTGGCGCAGAAGGGCGGAACCGCTCCATCGAGAGAGACAGAGACAGAGCAATTGCCACCTTCAGGGAAAACAGCTCGAATGGTCGAAGACAACGCGCTGATATTTATTCTCGATTAATCACAAATAACCAAAAAGGCTAACAATCTGATTTATTAAAAAAAAACGAAATAAATAAGAATTTATAAACTTAACTTCTTAATAAATATTATTTATTTATTTTTTTGACTGTCAAGTGAACTGAATCGACCCTTTTATTTTAGCCCCAATTTAATCTCAAAGCCGTAATTATGTAGGCTGTTATTTCGCTGACAAAAGGGAATTAATTACTAAAAATAAAAAATAGTTTAATAATAATTTTAGATTTAATGCACAAAGTTGTATAGAATAAAACACTTTGATACTTATTATGATATTAGTAACGCTTATGGTTGCATAAAATGTGACCACGTACAAAATTATGGGAGAAAGAAGGTAAATATGCGTGAAATGGTAATAATAATATTAATAATCCTTTAGTTGTAAGTAAGCGAGAGAGAGAGAGAGAGAGAGAGAGAGAGAGAGAGAGAGAGAGACCAAATTTTAAACCGAGTTATACTAAGCAATCAACAAGGTTCTATAAATAATTTTTACGCGGAATTCTTAGAATTAATCCAACGGGTATTTCCTACGAATTTACCCTTTTCAATCCTAATTATTTTAGGACTTAAAAAGTCAACGACCCTCAAGATCATGTGGTATATTTTTTATCTTCCCGTGGCCTCTTTTTAATATTTATACGCGGAGATATGGATAAATAACAGGGTTTAACGAACTAGAAGACCACCGTAGATAGCGAATGTAGTCGTTACGGATTTAATTCCGACCTAATCCGTTGACTTAAAAAACTGTCAGAACATGAATCGATTCGAACTATTTCGGCTAGTCTCGCTTTTCATGTCAAGAATCGTCAACCATCGTCGTAGATTATGAATCATAAAGTAGAAGCCAGATAAGTAAAAATGTGCGATTCGATGGCGCTCATCTTCCAGATTGCTCAATTCGGGCGTCCGGCGAAGTCAACGGTCACCTTCGGCCCTTATTCTCAGTATAGCAAGTTCAGCTCATCCTCTTCACTTCTTTATTAGTTGGACAGCGCCGTCGAACGAGGATCATCGGCGATCTCGCCGCTGGCCCACGGCGGCGAGGGCCACGTCTCCTCGGCGATGAACTGCATCCACGCGTCGTCCTCATCGGTGGTGCCGGCGGGCGTTCCGGCGAGCAACTCCGGCGATAAGTTGCAGTCGCCATCGCCGTCGCCGACGCCAGAGGAGTTCTCCGCCGGCGCCGGCGCGATCTTCTTGAAGACTCGGCACAGCGCGTGGGAGTCCTGGTGCAACGGCAGAGCGACCAGATTTCATCAACATGAACAGGAATATTGGAAACTTTCAGACGTAATCTCGAGAGGAAGAAACAGGAAAGGGGGCAGATTTCATCGAGAAGAACAAGAAAATCGAACACTTTCAGACGTAATCATGATAGGAAGAAACGGGAAATCACAGAGAGGTTGATCGTCGGCGGCGCCGCCTGAACGCCGCCGGTGAGGTCGTCGGACTCCGAGTCGTGGATCCGGTACTCGTGCATCACCCAACTCGTCCGAGTCCCATGTGGGGCGCGCCCCAGGTAGTAGACCAGGGTTTTCTTCATCCCTATGACTCGGCTCCGGCAGCTCACCGGCCTGTCTTTGCCCGTTGACTTCCAGTACCCAGCCCGAGTCGCTCGATTAGTCCGGAGACCGTTAGGGTACTTCCTGTCCCGTGGCCCAAAGAAATACCACTCTGGATCTCGACCCGTCAGAAACGACTTCTCTGCAAGCCAGGCAGATGTAGCTCAGAGCGAGAACTAGAGAGAGAGAGAGAGAGAGAGAGAGAGAGAGAGAGAGAGAGAGAGAGAGAGAGAGAGAGAGAGAGAGAGAGAGGGAGAGAGAGGGAGGGAGAGAGACCTGCGAGTTCCCAGGGTTCAGACTTGTAGAGGTCGACTTCGGGGATGATGTCAAGATCTATCTGAAGTCTGTTGATCTTCCTCTTGAGGTAGTAGTTGACGAGCTCTTCGTCTGTGGGGCGGAAGCGGAAGCCCGGGGGCAAGCCCAGGGGTGCCATCCCTCTATCTCACTCTACCCCTCTTTCGCCCTTTCCTCTCCCTCCAAGGAACTACTCTCCTGGTTTGCTTTTCTTCTGTTCGTCGCCACCGCCATCATGGCTCACATATATACATCCTTCGAGAGATCCGAGATCGATCTCCCGGCTCTTTCTGATAGCTTTCGCTTTCTCTTTAAGGATTCTTGGAAGGGCTTGAGATTATCCTGCTTCTCTCTCACTCACTCTCTCTCTATCTCTCTTTCTCTCTCTCTCTCTCTCTCTCTCTCTCTCCTCTTCTCTCTTTGTGTGTCTGTAGGATATTGAAATCCGGGGAATGGAGTGGAGGCCTTCAAAGTTGTTGGTCAAGCGTCGAGATTGCTACTCGATTCTGTGTTTAATGATTTCGAATGTAGCTGCCCGGCGGAATCCTTTGGTCATTCTTGTCGGAGAGGCGTAGGTTGGAGTCCGAGAAAGAGAGATATCAGTTGGTACGCTGAATCTATCTCCAAATTACGTCAATTCTGTCTGACTGTTCACGTCTGATCGGTTTGTAGCCGACAATCTCTCTCTCTCTCTCTCTCTGCCTCTGCCTCCTTCCCTCCCTCGGAAGATAGTGAGATGAAGATCAGAGAAACGGGTCTCCGGATTCACATTATAAGACAAGGTAGTAGAACCCTTCTCGATCCCTTTCTCTCAAAAGATGAAAAGGGGGAGGCAAAGTAACGCTCTCTCTCTCTCGCTATCCCCCCTCTGGTTTCCTTCAAGCTTGGGGTCTTTGGACGGCGCTTTGAAGAAAGGGCGAGCCATGGTCCTCGGCCCCTCTAGACGCTCTGCAAAGGCGCCGCCGCCCCTGACTACTCTCCAGAGAGAGCGACAAGTCGGGAGGCAAACGAGGCTGTGATGACTCCCGCAAGACTAGGAAGAACGTTGTTTGTATCTCCTCGTGGACGGGCAGGTCCCGGTGGTCTACCAGGCAAGGAAAGAATAATGTGGGGAAGCTATATATGACAAAATAGTTATTCTTACCCACGGTTTCATAATTCATAATTTTTTTCACCGTTTGCTTGCCCAACTTTATTTTCGCATCATTTTACCTTAATCACCATATATATATATATATATATATATATATGGGGGAAAAAGGCCCATTGTTTTATCTTCATTAACTCGGGGGAGAGCAATCCGTGGATTTAACTTTAGAAAAAGAATGCACATTTATTTTGATAATCCCTCCCATGATTTTCTGTCTCCACTCGACTCTGTTGATTGATGGGTACTTCTGAACTCGCCCCCGTCCCACATCGTAGGGCATGTCAACTGAATAATGATAAAAATGCCGTGGAGTGACGTGGTCTAAGCATCGAATTCACATTTACCCATGAACTCCACCTACGAAGTTGCACCATCATGACTGGACTAGCAAAACTGCACCACTTGCATCATCAGGTCTTCTCTTGCTTGTGAAAATCCCGATCGCCGCCTCTCGTCTACCTTTCCGTCAGCTCCGGCGGCGGGAGTTGACGGGCAGTTGCCGATTCGACAAGGCCGCCGCCGGCGGCCGTCCCACCGTTCGTTCTGTCTTCTGCTCAGAGGGCCACCGGTAGGTGCGAGCAGGGTGGGAGGGCGTGCGCTCAGCGACCTCAGTCCCTGCTATAAATGGCATGAAGGGGAACATCCGGTCACAGAGGTCGCTGGAGTTCGACAGTGGCTGAGGAAGAAGAGGTGAGTGAGTGTGTGTGTGTGTGAGAGAGAGAGAGAGAGAGAAACCTCGCCGGCGGCGACGGACAGGATGGTGGTGAAGGTCTACGGCAGCAGCCGCGCGGTGTCCGTGCAGAGGGTGATGCTCTGCCTGGTAGAGAAGGGGGTGGACTTTGAGGTCGTCCATGTCGACCTGGACACTATGGAGCACAAGACCACCGAGTATCTCGTCAAGCAGGTAAGTTGAGCAATGTGCCCTTCTTCTCCGCCGCCGGCGCCGGTACTGATGGATGTTTGATCCCTCTTTCAGCCCTTCGGGAAGGTCCCTTACATCGAAGACGGAGACCTCAAGCTCTACGGTAAGTAAGTGGGTAGGTGTAGGTGGGTTTCTGCTCTGTTCATGGCGGAAATGAACGGTGATGTTGCAGAGTCGAGGGCCATAGCGAGGTACTACGCGGCGAAGCACGCGGGGAGAGGGGCGGCGCTGCTGGGAAAGTCGCTGGAGGAGCGGGCCTTCGTGGACCAGTGGACAGACGTGGAGGCCATGAACTTCGACCCCCTGGTTTTCCAGGTCGTCTTCAACCTCGTCATCCTCCCGCGGCTCGGCGTTCCGGCCGACGGCGGCGCCGCGCAGGTGGCGCTGCAGAAGCTGGACAAGGTGCTGGACATCTACGAGCACCGCCTGTCCAGGAGCAAGTACCTTGCCGGGGAGGAGTTCACCCTGGCGGACTTGAGCCACATCCCCGCCACCCGCCGCCTGTTGGAGGACGCAGGTCTGAGCTGCCTCCTCGCCGGGAGGAAGCACCTCAGGGCCTGGTGGGACGACGTCTCCGGCCGCCCCGCGTGGAAGAAGGTGGTGGACATGGAGGACTGCTGATGAGCGAGCCCCTCCGCCACTGCCGCCGCCGCCGCCGCCGCCGCTTCTTCTCCTCATCTCCGCCATGTCCGCCACAGCTTAGCGTTGGTTGCTCACTTCTTTCTGTTTTTCCATCTGTTTATTACCGGAAAAGGCGCAGCGAGAGAAACCCTTCATGATGATCTCTGTGACGATCTCGCACCGCCGAGTCCGCTGTTCCTACCTTTCGAAACCCTAGCGGCCTCCTATACAGTCCATGAGACTTTAGAACCCTAGATTCACGTGCACAGACATAACACTCATGAGATCATCATCATCATCCATGGAGATTCACAGAGAGACCTTCACACCAGACGTGCGCCATCGCCGCCCCATGCATTTAAAAAATAGAAAAAAAGTGAAAAGAAGAAGAAGAAGCAAGAACAGGACTACTTGGTCAAAAGACTTGGTCAAAACATGGTCAAAAGACGATTACTTGGTGTTAGTTCCTCGGATATGAAAAGGACCAACCCAACTCACGTGCAAATCCGCTGATATGAAAAGTTCCTGCTCCCATCCGCGGTCTCCTGGTTCCCCGCAGGCCACGATCTGCGCCCGCCATTCACTGAACGGTCCTTGGCAAAGGGAATCAATCCACACCAACCTCGTCACTCCACCCTGGCCATCTCCACAAGAATACCATCCTCCCATGTCTCGGCCCATCTACAGACACAAAAAATAATTAATAAATAAATAAATATATAACATCAGTTAGAGTAGCAAAGACCCACCCAGGCAATTGAATTTTTTTTTATATATATATATATTCAGAATTCAAATAAAATCCGGGTGAAGTAACTGAAAAAAACATGGATATATGGGGACATGATACCTCAATCCATGTTGGTCAATGAAGAGGCTCCGGCCGTGACGCCAGCCGTCCCGGAAGTGGCCGAAGAACACGCTGCCGGACTTAGAGTAGAATCGCGCTTCGCCGTTGGCCTTCCCTCTCCAGAAGTTGGCGAACCAGCGGTCCCCAGAATGGAAATAGAACCAGCCCTGGGAGAAGACGCTCCCATCTTGAGCACAAAAAACGAACAACGAAAAACCAAGCGTGGGGGAATTGAAAAAAAAAAAAAAAAAAAGTGCCCAAGAGAAGGAGAAAATCGCAAAGCGTGCATTTCTGGTTAAAACAAAAAGGAAGAAAAGCAGTGGATCTCCGACGGCGGATTTGTTCATGTTTTGGGTGGCTATTAGCTATCTCAGTCCAGTCAACCCCACGTTGGGAGAAAGATGAGGAGGAGGAAAGAAGGGAGATGGAGCGTATCGTTCGTACGTACCTTGCCGTGCATGAGGTCATCCCTCCATGCTCCTTGGAAAACGTCTCCATTACTGTAGCAGAATGTGCCCAGACCACATCTCCTCCCAGACCTCCACATCCCATCGTAGAAGCTGCCGTCTCCAAAGGTTAGGCGGCCCTGCAGGAAATAAAATAAAATAAAATAACATAAAATAAAATAAAATGATAAGCCCGACAATGATCAAATCATCGCATCCCAGTCAAAAGAATTTTGGCAAATAATGCCTCTATTGTAATTATGGGAAAATTGGATTAGCAGGACAAAAAAAGAAACCCACACCCGGTAGGAGTCCTTGTGCCTGGCTCATCCAAGTACTATTATCTTGATCAGCTCTGAGAATCAGCCCGCAGTGGGCGAGCCAGAAGACATCTCCACAAACCTTGGAGGCACTCTCTCTCTCTCTCTCTCTCTCTCTCTCTCTCTATCTCTCTATTTATATATATATATATATATATATATATATATATATATATATAATGCTAGTCACGGGTTGAGAATTCATTTTGATCGGGTTCCACTGGTACCTTCCCTTCTGGGAGACCACCTTGGCGCCGCCCTCTGTAAGTTCCACCTCTGTACTGCATCTGGATCACAGGTGTCCAGGTTTTGTCTGATTCCCGTTCAGTCTCCTGCAAGAAAACACCGACGAATCATGGCTCCTCAAAATTCAGACCGACCCAAGTGAACGAAATCCCCAGAGAAGATGCGCAGCCGTGAAACTTTGCAAGACTCAACGAAAGCATGCTTGGCAGCGACATCAGGAAACGGGATTGAAAAGAAGACCACAAGATTACTGCAACATGCTGGTTATATGCCATTAACGATTAACAATCTTCACAGTTATATGAGACAGCTGATGACCCATGGGTGAAGGTAGGGTTTGTACATCATCAAAACAAAAATAGTAGAAAGCAAAGATCTATGAACCCCAGTTCAGCAGCATAATGCCCGCCGGCTATACATGGATGACAACTTAAAATAAAACGTATGATAGAAACAACAACAATCCGTTTGTTTAATAATAGAATAAGTTCGGACAACTAGAACAGCACCAATACAAAGATCTAGTAAAAGAGAAGGTAACTGTCAAAAAACATTGATTCAAGTGGACTCAAGGGTATCAATAATCACCAGCATTGATTCCGCACGAGCAGTTAGTGCTCCTCGCTTTCTGGGTATTTCAAAGCCTTTCCCTTTCATGAGAGCTGCCAACACGGAGGTATGTGTGTCAAATGTTACCTGAGAAGCTTGTGGTCAAATGATTATGAGAGAGTTGGTTCTTGCTTACTCGTGGACTCCCTGCCTATTTCATCCAGCGTTTCAGCGTCCATGTTGTCAAAGGATTGAGAAACAACAGAGGCCTTTCCAGAGGATTTTATCCCAACCGGAAGGGAGAAGACTTTTGATTTACTGTTACCGGGCACTCTTTCAGATAATGCTGCTCGCTCCTTAGCCCAAAGCTGTGCCATGTTGAACCCAGGACCGACATCAGAGCTGCTGAGCTGCTCTTCCTCTTGGCCAGATTCGTCTTGACGAAACAATGGGGGGTAACAAAGAAGAGAAGAATGTAAAACACGATATTTTACGGCAAAGTGACAACAGATACAATATCAACTAATGCTGTTAAGAGTTATTGAGCCATTCAACTCAAAACCGATTGGCTATTGGTGAAGTAGGACTGTTCTTATAATCTCATGTTTATTCTTCTTATAACAAATTAAGGACAGATCTTAAAACAGCCTCTCTTGGGCAAGATGGTCTCTAGGCTTTGTCAAGTGCACTGCATAACCGGGGTATGCTCAGCCAAAGAACAACTGATGGCTCTGATAGATATCGTGGTAGAGTTATCGAGCCATCCCAGCAAAAAGCATTTGAGAATGACTAGATTGTCTAGGCCCATCTCTAAAATCAACGTTTATTATGGGCAATTCTTAATAAATACCTTCATCAATTTCAGTATAAACCGTGGAAACTGAATCGATGTTAACGTCCAACAGTCTACCGACATTGGTATTTCTAGCGCCAGACGTCCTGCAAAATCGAGTAAAATTTATAGAAAATTCTCTAAAATAGCCTAGTGCTGATACCAGAACGCTGAAAAAAAAAATGCACGAGGCAAAATTCAACAACATCAAATCATAGATGATCTTACTTCCCAGAAGATTCGGTCTCTGGTTCTTCCCAGAGAACATCACGATCTCCAGCACTACCATTTCTCTTCTCGGAGTCACTGGATGCCAACAAGGCATAATCTGATGGGGTACTACGAGTGCGACCTGAAGGATCAATACTTTGACCCAAACGGTCTTTGGGTAAAAGAGAAGACAAAAAGGGGAAATGGGAAGCAAGGCCAGACAGAAAGCTCCTTTTTGGAGAAAAGGCAGCTTCATTGCACCTGATGAGAAATCAAACGATATCCACAACTGTGGTGTCAGCAGCATCTATAATTATTTATCAATGAAAAGTTATTACGATTTCTACTGTCAAGACACAATAATACCAAATCCTAAAGCCAAATTTGAGATTCCAGCTGGAGATGGCGCGAATTCTGTGAGTAAAACAAATCATCTGAAAAACGCAGCATTTGTATTGCTGAAGAAAAGAGCCACTTGATACACATAACTACACAAATGCCTGAACCATTGGAACTTGGGCACCATGGCATAATGAAGTATTCAAGTCCATGATTTTTTTTTAACATGGATTTGCTGAAACTGAACTTGATCTATCGCAGATATCTTGTGCCAAGCATAAACACTTACCCAAGAACGAAGAGGGTGGTTATCACTAAATTAGGTTCCAAAGCAGGCTCATGGATTCCAGAAAATATGATTTCCCCTTGGAATCCTGTAATTTGACGGAAAGCAAGAACAACAGGAGAAACCTCACTTCTTTTCATCTCACGTGCCCAAGAGAGGGTGAGGATAACTGTTCCATTTATGTCCTGTTAATCAAAGACGAAACAATTAGGAAGAGGCTGCAACACCAAAGATTAACTAAGTATTGGTCATTAACTTTTACAAGCGACAGAATTAATGGGCAAATGAAACAGTTTCTTAATGAAGACTATGATTCTGTTATCTGTGCAGCTTAACCACCTAATGTCACTGAGTTACTTCACTTTAGTGACAAGATTCTACCCAACTTTTTTAACAGAAACTTTAAAGAATCAGAAATGATTCATGCCTTACTGAGTTTGATCTTTCTACTTATAAAGAACTGAAATGAAACGAAAAAGCGCAGATTGTCTGAAAATAATTGTATCCTTTTTATGACTCTTGCAGCGCTGCCATGAAATTACATAGATGATCATACTCAGCTTGTGGTCGACTATGTTTTTGATCCCAAGTAACCAGGAAGACTTGAAGCACCACCATGTGAATTGACCATTTTATCGCCATATGACAGAGGCCCAGCATAAAACAAGACAGGTGCCAAAGTTTCTTCAAACATAAGCAAATAACTGAAGCCAACTTCAAATGAAAGGGCAACGACGTTTGAAAATGCCATGTCAAAAGAGTAAAGACAACCTTCAGACCCCCACCAAGGAATGGACAACGGAGAGCAGCCTGTGTAATTGATGATTTGATGTTGTACCCAGTACCAAAGCCAACTTTCATTTCTCCATATGATTTTACAAGCTGTGGATACGACAGAATCATTAGAATGTATATGAAATAGCTAACAAATACTCAGGCAAGGGCAGAAGTCATAAAATGACAGCATTACAAAATATCAAGACATTATATATTATTCGATTCGTCCAAAAATTCACCCGAAAAATTAGCGCGCAGTAATAAGCACACCATGATTGACTATATGCCAGAAACGTGACCTACATACTAACAGAGGAAAAATTAATAATAACAGAAAACAGAAGGGTATAGGCACGAAAGTTACGAGAATGCACCTTCACAACCTCTGAAGCTTTGAGTTCCATAATTTGTTCATTTGGTGCAGCAAGGAGTTTTTGATTTAATTCCTAGATGATGCCAAAATAACGCCTAAAACTCAGAATAATTAACACGGGAACTGATAAAGTAATAGAAAACAGACTTACTGAAGTGAGAGCAGAGATTGTACTAATAGTCAATAACACAGCATTGTTTGAACTCTTTAAAGCTTCATCAAGGGTTTCCATTTCCGTTTTAAGCAAATAATCCGTTTCCACCACTTCTCAAAAATGGAAAGAACAAACGGTTAGCTAAAATAGAACACTTCCTGATAACTATAAGGTATACAAGCATGGCAGGAGGAAAAAGAATATGCACAGGCACGCTGATCCATTTTAAAAAAAAGAATATTAGTGGTGCGATATTTTGCAAATTTGGGAAAAAATGCACTGGTGGGTCCTTAATCCCAAAGAAGACTATAAAAAGTGTCATGGGCACAGTTTAGTCTCATATTTTTCTAGTTCAAGGGCCTAGAGTCTCTTCACTTTCATACAGTTTCGTGCCCTGACCATTACCTTTTCTGGTACTATTCTTCCTCTAAGGTGACAAGTAAAATTTCATACCTAGCACCCATCAATGATACCTAGATTTCAGGCATGTAAAATGTGGTTCCCTCAGTACGTTCCATATCTTTGTGCAGGCAGAACAAAATAACGCACACGCACACACAACCATACAGGCATAAGAATACAATAAAGGAGAAAAGAATATCAACTTATAAGACACCACAAGGAGATAATCTAGATAGCCGAGCTTTACTCCATTAGCTTTATACCTTTGTGCGGTAGGAAATGAAGTCCAAAATACCATTGCTTTATAATCTACATACTCGTTAATAAGATGGGCTGGAAAATAGAACAATTCCAGAATTCCAGGACATTGCACATGATGCATTATTAAGGAGGACTCCTTCAAACAATCAGAGAGAATGCTGGAATTTGAAGGCAAGGGATTTACGATAGCAAACAAGAAACTACACAAAAAGGGAAGTCAAGTTAACAGTGTAGCTGAAGGACCTACCACCGTAGAATATTGAGCAATCCTGAAGCTTCTTTGACAAGTCGTCAACCTGTTATTAACTCAACATTAATCAATAGCAAGAGAATACAAGGGGAATCTAAAAAACATTATTCAGGCATATATTCTTAGGCGATAAAAGTAAAGGAAACGTTATTTTCAGGAAATGGCAATCGCACAAACGTTGTAGATGCATCTCGTCACCAAGTGATGTAAATGGTTTTCTATCGTGGCACCATTCAGCACATAGCGTTTGCAGAGATGACCCCACAGCTAAAGAATATAAGAATATTTTTTTATAAATCAGCACAACCTCTAGCTGGCGCCTTTGTCCTTCAAAGCTGAATGGTCTGATAAGAACAGCAATAGCTAAACCGCCCGCTGATTTAACAGCATTTAAAAGCGTTATTGCAGCAATATGATCTCTATCATGCCCAGCACTTGCAACCTAGAAATTATATGAAATAGTTCATAAATTCCTTCATATATCTTAGAACAACAACACGAATTTCATTGTGAAAATTCAAGTACAACATATAGTTGAAGAAATGGCAAAATAAGGACGAGCAACACTAGGTGAGAAATGTACAAACAAGGATAGTAGCTGAAGGGCATGACTGCGGTGAGAGTGGAAAGTCAACGATCCTTGGCAAAGTATCTGAAAATAAGACACAAAACATGCATTATGAATAAAACATCAAGAAAACATCACATTAAAATCAATTAGACTTCATAACGTAAAAGGCAATAGCATTTATTTAGAAATGAGTAAAACTGTTTGAGGATTAAAGGACGAATCTTGTAGATTAAATAACACACCTTTTCCAGAAAATCTTTGTGATAGCTGCACCCTCAAGGAATCTCTCGTACGAATTGTCCTAAAAAAAGTAATAATAAATATTCTCATAAATTGGTAGAAATCACTCGTTGCTCACCTTTCAAACAAACCAGAATGGAAAACAAATACCACAGAATAATGAGGAGAACCGAAGGAACAATAACAAAAATTTATGTGCAAATTAACTTCAGGGACACTCTATGATCAACTCAAAGCATCATGAAACACCATAAAACCTGGGTAGCATGAACACAATGCAAGAGATAGACAAACAATGGAAAATATAGGCCAGATATTTACGAACGCAGGGGCAAGTGAATCAAGAGCACAAGAGTATTTGTTAGGTCACAGGTATCTTCTTCTTTATATGATGTTGCATCTTCTGAAGGAAAGAGGGGGGATATGACTAGTAGCCCGCTAGAAAGATGGACATTATGCCACAACATAGCTACACAAAACCATCTCCAGGATTAGAAACATACATGTTACACAACTGTAGATAAGAAACAAATCAACGACAATAGAGAAAGTAACAAAAACCAAGAGCACATCATATCTTTGCCCTTACAAAGATGGAGCCAAAGTATCTCCGAAATACTTATATGGAAGTACTTCAAATTATTTATGGAGGTAATGAGAAAAATACAACACTAAAGCACCCAGAATCCCAATGAAAATCATATGATAATAAGCCCTGCACCCATTGGATACATACACATTATAAAATGCCATAGGTAAGATAGTGAAAGCCCTAGCATCAATGATAACATAACGACACTTTCAAGTATGGAAGATGTGGGAAATGAAGACCATACCCTATGTCTAAGTTTCCACGTTATCAAGTACTCCCTTGACAAAATCTTGGAGTTCTGAGATTTTAATCATAGCTACTGTTTGCCGAACTGATGGAAGAAAGTATGAAGCTATACACTAATTGGCTTTTGCATTTGCAAAGATCATGCAGTTCCGGTCTCTGGAAAATAAGAAAATAAGATGTATCTTAATCTTCTATCGTTTAATCTTCTCTGGAAAGTTTCAGTTTCTCGAAGCAATTCTTGTAATGGCTGGTTCTTGAGGGTGAAACGCTTGTGTAGGAATAAATGATCACATAAATGACTAAACCTTGAATGTGACATGCAGGCTAAAAAACAATTTAAACTTCTCCCCAAACCCATTCAAAATGAACAAAAATGAAAGACGAAAATACTTAGTGATCTCCGCGAACCAATTAATTAACGATCCAAGTAAAAATAATATCCTATGTCTATATCCTAAAGAAAGGAAATCGATCACCCAATTCTCCAACGCATCTAGTGAGTCTCATAGAAAGTAAGAAAGTGAAGAAAGAAAATCCATGTTTATTCGCCCAAGCTTAACATTCTATTTGCGTGGTTACAATGACAAGCCATCATCCCCTAATCCTGATATTAAGGTCAAAATGTACCATTGCCTGAGTGACATTCACACGAGCCTCTGGCAAAGATGCCGGGAGATTAAGAAACAGATGACATGCTTGTTCAATTGACTTTCTAGGCGACATGATAAGGATAGTAATATAAGACAACTTTGTCAAGAATCTATATAAGACAAGTTCAGCCACAGAGTTCCGCATTCCGGTTTCTAAGACCTACAGTAGAATGGCCAAGCGGATTGTCATGAATCCGTCAAATTAATCGGTTCTTAATGTCTGTCCCTTTTTCCTCTCCAATGGCGTCCAGGGAGATTACGGCAGTTGAAATTTCGAACAGGTCAACTTCCTCTGAACCAACGCAACATATAAGTTACGGAACACGTACCAAAACCTTGCTCCAGATGAGTTCACCAATGGCGAGTCCAGACAGAAATCTATGAACGCGTCCTTCCTGCTCCCAATGGCAATGACGTCCACCGCGCTCGAATCAAGCGGCCCGATCTGATCATCCGACCTCGAGCTCAAAGACACACGACCTCCCGCAGACCGAAGAGGCCACTTCCCGGCGAGGGCGGGGTAGAAGTTGCAGGAGAAACCGAAACCCGCGGAAGAACTGCTCGGGAGGTGAGGAATGAAGGGAATGCCCAACATGGAAGACCGCGCCGAGATGAGAGTCTCCATGGAAAACCTGAGAGAAGTGGAGATTGAGCTCGTTAGGGGTAGTGAACGGGTTGATACGTTGTGTACTTTTAATAAATAAACCCTAATACGTTAAATAATTTTTAAATAGCATCTTAAAGATATTATTTACTTTTAGACCCTCGTGAACGGATAAACCGTTAGCTATCCCGCGGACGCACGCACGGGTTTGACGAAGCTAGGACAAGAACGAGTCAACTGGTCAACCTAACCAGCGAAGACCAATAAAGTTAGTTGCAGAAAATCGAGCCTACTCACCATATTTTATATGACACGAAGAGTCAAATACGATAAGACACGTGCCAACCATGTTTCCACTTCTCACACGAGACTGAGGATAGTAGGACCCGTAATTGGATTAAGTGGACTGGGGTCAAGGGTTATGTTATAATTCTTTAGTCAAAACACCCGTAAGACCTTAAAGTCAAAACTATACTAACATATATACCTTATTTTAGACCCAAAACATCCATGTCTACTAGTCATATCTCGGCCGCATGCAACGCAGTTCGGACGTATTATGAAGCACGTGTTTAGAAAAAGAAACAAAACCCATGAAATAGACAAGACCTAAGTTAGAGAGAGAGAGAGAGAGAAGCATGGTCATGAAAGGCATAACATATTTTCCCGACCCAAGTCTTAAGTAGATTATTGACTTCTGTATAATATATTTTCCTATCAAGACCAATCGTGAATGTTTGACTTCTCCATATTAATAGCCCAAACTTTCAAACCGAATCTACTTCTTTATCTTGCTATGGACAAAAAGGGTTAAGAATAACACTACACTATCATGCATGACAATTTTCTCCCATCGATGAACAAAATATTGGTGAGTCCATGAGAGATGCTGCCAATTAACAAAATATTATTGACATTTAGTACCTGAAAAATGACAAAGGACTAAAGTAACTTATGAATTTCAAGCCACATGAGATCACAAGGAATGTGCCATAGCGTGCAAGGCGTATGCCCTGTGGCATGGAATTGAGCTGATCTTCTTTCTCTTTTTTTTTTATACAACTCCAAGAGCAAATTATCCCTCAAGAACCAACTTTCACTAATCCAAAAGGCATGGAGAGAGAGAGAGAGAGAGAGAGTAGATAGCTATTTGGGTTTTTTTAAAACAATATTTCTGGACCATTTTATTTTTAATATTTTCTTTTGAATAAAGTTTTAAGCTCTCTTCCAAAATCCTCTATGATTTTTGTTAAATGAGGATACTGGAGTTTTCATCTTAGTTCAGCTTTTCTTTGGTACAAGTTGATTTGCCATTTTTGACTCATTTTCCATGTTTCTGATTTTAAGTGTCATAATATGATTTCCAAGTCGTTATCGATGAAATGTCAAAAGAATTGGGGCGTCAAGACATGTAACTTTGTAAATAATAAATTAAATCATGTAGTTCATGCGGATGATAGTATTCTATCTATAGCCAAATGATTTTCGAGTTGGATGACCTGTTATCGGGACACGATATCAAAACTCACAGTTAACCTTCAGTTTCGAAGTGTGAAGCATGTTAGGATAACCTCTAATCGGAAAGAATATTCAAACTAAAGTAATTATATGAGAGACATTGTTCATCTCTGTTTAGAGAGAGGGGAGAGAGAGAGGGAGAGAGAGAGAGGGAGAGAGAGAGAGGGAGAGAGAGAGAGGGAGAGAGAGAGAGAGAGAGAGAGAGAGAGAGAGAGAGAGAGAGAGAGAGAGAGAGAGAGAGAGAGAGAGAGAGAGAGAGAGAGAGAGAGAGAGAGAGAGAGAGAGAGAGAGAGAGAGAGATCAATGCAAACAACAGCAAAAACATAGAGACGAAAATACGATCGTCCTCAACAAGTTCTGACATCCATACACCTGATTTCTTTATTTAAGACTGCTTTTGGATGACGGGATCTCTCTCACCTCTTCACTCCCAACCTCTGCCTGGGAAAGGCCTACTAGATGACGCAGACGTCAGCTCAGAGTCGAAGGGGAGAAAATCTATGCCGCCATGCTGGTCTCTTTGAGAGATCATGTCTCTCACCATGCTCCCGATTCCAAGAAAGTCCCTCGTGAATCCTGCCGATCCGCTGATGCCCTCCATCGGCAGGCCCTGCTGCAGCTTGGGTTCATCCCCTCCAATTAGACCTCCCTCTTCCACGCGCCCACCGCCGCTGCAAACCCGCCTGAAGGCTTCAGGTTCTCCGCCGCAGGCCATGAGATCTACACCAACGTTTCCATTAGCCAGGGAGTTCATGAGGTCTCGAAGATGGGCGTCATGAACACTGCCGGAGGAATAAGAGCCCTCCATGCCTCTGAACAAGGACCCGGAGCTGCTCGCCGTGGCACCTGTCTGGTCTGTGCTATGAAACAATCCAGTTTCGGAGATCTGAGGCAGCATGAAGTTGCTCTGTTGGATGGCCCTATAAAGAGGTCCCCGATGATCGGACGTCTGCAGTAGATGAGAGTTCTGGCCACTGCTTTGGGTTCTACTATGGGAGAAGAAGCTGAGATTGAACATGCTAGACGCAGAAGAGGCAGCGGCTGAGGAAGACGACGGTGTTGAAGTGGTGGTGATGTACTGAGGCTCTGGAAGTTGCTCCAAGCCGTGGAAGGGCTTCTCTGGGAGGATGGAGTGGTGGAACTGAAGACCTCTGTTGTTATGGTTGGTTCTAACGGGGAAGAACGGCGCAGAAGAGCCACCGGCTTGGTCATGCGGGAGGAGAGAGGAAGGGTTCGATGAAGAAAGAAAGCCCCCCGCCCCGAGGGTGTCCCCGAAGCGAAGGAGATCACTTGCAGGTTGTTTCTGCTCTTTCTGAGGGCAGATATGAGAGGTCATCTGAGATAGACCAAGACCCATGCTGTTGTTGCTTCCGTATATCTCGCTTTTAATTACGGAGAGGTGGGCGCTCTCCTGGGCTAGAGCGTCGCAGAATGCCCGGTGGGTGATGAAGCTATCGCGCCTGCAAAACGTTTAGATGATGCATATGAATTAGATTCAAAGACAACAAAAACAGTCGGGAAAAAATGAGCAAGATTCAAATTAAGATCGAGATTTAGCCTCGTAATTAGGTAATTAACTTCTTGAAGAAGAAATTCTTCAAAAGAAGTTCAGACGGCTTGGTACAATAGCTGATATTTCGACTTCGTGGCGAAGAACACGGAAAAGAGATAGGAAAAGGGAGGCGAGAGGGACGGGCGGAATGGAAACCAAGAGAGGAAGCTTCATTCATTCACCCTCGCCTGGGGCAATGAAGGAAGGAAGCCAGTTCTAGGACTGTTCCCCAGTTAATGCAGACGGGTAACTTTTGCAGGAAACATGAAACGAATATTTTGAATGAAAGAATTTGCTGAAACCATGCAAACCATCTGAGGGCAATGCTCCATGGGTCAGCCTTTTTTTGGCACTCTTTCCAATTAAAGAAGAGAGAAGCCGCATGATAGGTCTCACTCGGTATATAGACATATAGATAGAGAGATAGATAGATAGATAGATAGATAGATAGATAGATAGATAGATAGATAGATAGATAGATAGATAGATAGAGAGAGAGAGAGAGAGAGAGAGAGAGAGAGAGAGAGAGAGAGAGAGAGAGAGAGAGAGAGAGGATGGCATCTCTACCCACACGTTGTTATGAAAGGAGGACCTGCAGGAAAAGCAGAGGGCACAGACATCCCGGCGACCTCTGTCGTGCCTAGAAGAGGACAAAACTGCTGAAACCTTTCCGAAATGGCAGCATGTGAGGAGAACAGGGTAAGGAGAGAGATGAGGAGAGGGTAGGGTTTGGGAAGTTTGGAGAAGAGCAAGCTGGACGTTGACTCCGAGGCTGAAAAAGATGACCGCTACTTTAGTAATGGTGTTCTCCATCTCTGAGTCAAGTCTGTATGATCATCATTTACTACAATACGAAGCAGCCTGTGGACACAGATACTGAACCTATGAAAGGGAAAACCCTGCATGTAATATATACGAAAGAGAAGACAGAGAGAGAGAGAATCCTTGGTCTCGGAAATTGCCTGAAAACTTTCGCCTTTTAAAACACCGTTTACTCCATCAATACAAAGACGCCCGAGTAGACTCGATTATTCAACTTAAGAGAGGAAGAACATAGCAGTGATATTATGATAGCGAATAAAACGTTGTTCAAAGAAAAGATCTCAAAAACCATCGTTTACCAAGCAAAACAAGGAGTAGAAACAAGAAAAGGGAAAGCTCAACTAGTAGAGCTCAAAGAAAAGAAAAATGAAAGACGTAGATGGATAGACAGAGAAAGAGGGAGTATTCTTTCTCTCTGAGAATATCTACAAATGCCCGTCTTCCAAAACGTGACTTTTCCACTTGGAAATTCACGTGGGAGCAGTCTCGCCGTCGCACATTCAAAGGCGACCATTCCTTCCTCTTCTATCCATCCCCCCGGAGACGCAGGAGGAAGGACGACACCTTTCGTCAATTAAGTCAATACAGAAGAAGGGAGGAGTCCGAGTCTTACCGAGAGAAGACAGTGCCGCAGCCACAACGATACTCGCGGGTTCCGCAGGTTTTCGAGTGGGCCTTCAGATCCGAGAGGACGGCGTAGCGCTTGGAGCACTTCTCGCACTTCCACTTCTTCTCGCCGTGCTTCCGGAAGTAATGCTTCTTGATTCCGGTGAGGTCGCCGAGTGCACGAGAGGGGTCGTGGTGAACGCAGGTGGGCTCCGGGCAGAGGTAGACCCGCTGCTTCACCTCACTGGTGCCCTTCTGCCGCAGGCTCCACGGCAGGTTGTGCCCCCTCCTGTGCAGCCGCAGGTTTTGATCTCTCTGGAATCCCTTGTTGCAGACCTCGCAGATGAACCGGTTCGTCGCCATTAGGGTCTTGGGGGACAGAGCTATCACCTCCGCGTCCGGATCTGTAACGCAGGCAGCACTCTCTTATAAACCATTAACGACGCACCAGAAAATTGAAGTCATGGCCAAGGATTTAGCCATTAAAGAAATTATTGTCTAGACGTGTAATATCTTTATTCCAAACAAGTATATTAGATCATCCCGATGTCTGTCGAAGCTGAGGCTGTGTTCTGAATAGAAGGCATTGCGTCTGGGTCAGATGGGGAAAGCAGCCGATCCGTCTATCGTGTATAGCTGGACACTGAGATGGAACGTTTGTAGGGGAAGAGGAGGAGACCGTCATGAAGTCTTCATGAAGGAGGGAGAAATGGGTTTAGCAGTGAATCGGAAGTTTCGGAAGACAAGGGAAGGTAAAAAAGAGAGATTTTGTTTTCGTGTGCTAGAAAAACTCGTTTCACTGAAGCCAATCAATGATGTAAATCATATGACAAAGCGTAGAGAGAGAGAAAGAGAGAGAGAGAGAGAGTCCCCGAATTTAGACTCTCATTCAAGAACGGGAGGGATCTTTCTGATATCCGCGACTAGGGTTTTATGAGGTTGAGACCGCATGAAATCATCTAGAATTGGACGACTATGATTCACCTTCGTGAACTTATTTCTTTCCATGGAGCAAAGTATCCGAAAGATGGTTGCTAAGAGACTGCTATGCATGCGTCTGGGTGTGTAGATACCGTACTTGGTGTTCCTGGTTGGTTCCTCCTCCTCTTCTGTGGGGCGGCAGATGACGGAGCAGCAGCTGCGGGAGGAGTGGCAGAGGACAACTTCTGCTGGTTCATCTGATCTGAAAGCTCTCCCTCTCTGACGCCAAAGATGGTGGTGGATGACGAAGCCGTAGCCATCTTCAGATCCAAAAGAAAAATTTTCCGTCTCCCTCTTTTTTCTCTACCTTTCTTTCTAGACTACCTGTACTTTAAATCGAGCCAGAATTCTCACTACCCAACATGAATTAGAAGATTGCTCTCCACCCTGCTCAGATCCATTCAAGACCCATATACACGTCAATAGATGGCAGGCGGAAGAGATCGAAAGGTGTTCCAACCCCAAAGGCCTCCGGACCACAGAAGGGATCCTTTTCGGGTCAATAAAATGAGCAAATAGAAGCGGAAATCAAGGCAGAAGATCGAACGAGGCATAAAATCAGACGGCACGATCGAACCAATCCAAGAATCCTTCCGCCTCTCTTCTTCTTACTTCTTCTCGCCCTCCTCTTCTTCTCACCCTCTGATAATTACCTTGGAGTTGGTCGGGATGTGGGAGTGGAAGTGTGGCGTGATTTCCTTCGGCTTCCTATATTATACTTATCTCTTCGGCCCAGTGCTCCGAGTTATTTCCTCTCCTTTTGTTTCCTTGACGCGTAATGCCTTCAGACGCGAGAAGAAACAAAATTACGACATCAGCCGCTGCATGTGGGCCTCTGAGTGAGACACACAGACATAGAGATAGAGAGAGAGGGAGAGGGGAGAGGGGAGAGAGAGAGAGAGAGAGAGAGAGAGAGAGAGAGTATTCTCTCTGGCAGGCGAGGTCTGTCGTGATGCGGGAGCGAGTTAGGGCGACCAACCGGTCGCTGCCCGGCCCTCTGCTCCATCGTCCACCCTCTTCCCTTTCCGATGCGCAGACAAATCTCTCACCTAATCCGGATTTCTGAGCGCAGACCCGTAGATTCGTATCACACCATATGGACGATATTATCTACGATTTCACTGGCGATTTGCCGCGCTATTAGAATATATATTTTTCTTCTTTTCCTACAAGACAATTGATACTTCGCTTCTTCGGCGTTACACCCCACTTTGGACATCCTCTCTAAAGAGGTTCCGCCTGATAAGAACCCCATGGACCACCGACACGTATGGTCCGCCGAGAATGACGAACCCCTTTCCTGCTTTGCCAAGGTTCCGGTGGAGATCGACAGCGGGTCTTCATCTCCCCAATTTCTGAAGCACCAACTGCATATCCCGTTTTGGGGACAAGCTAGCAGGATGATCCATTAGATGTTCTTGAACGTTCGAAATTCAATCAGCCGTTGGTCGGAGAACGGGCGGGTCAACGCCCCTCGCTCCCCCCCGGTTAGGGTTTCTTCTACGAGACTTAATCCGACGGCTGAGGTAGCTCGCCAGGGTGAAGACGAATGGGGCTGTCGGCCTTAGTTCACGTGGGGGACTGCGATCTGGTCTGCATGCATGTGTTTTAGAGTTCCTCGTCCATATGAATTTCATATTTTCTGGGTTGTGCGGGAAGCAAAACGGGTACGATGATCATTACAGTGGACCCAGTTCTCGTCGGTTTCCAGAGTATGATTCCCTCACAGTCTGCGTCTGTGTATGCCCGAGCAGAGAAAACTACAAGGATGGGTGAATTCACCACGGTGATGTACCCCGAGACCATCGCCATGAACATCTATCATTGCCAGATAGCCTTCTTCAGTTTTTGGAGAGGGAGAGGGGGAGAGAGAGAGAGAGAGAGAGAGAGAAAGAGAGAAAGAGAGAGAGGGAGAGAGAGTTACCACTGGGAGAGAAATCGGGTTCCCCCTTCCCCAGCCACCACTCTCTCTCTCTCCAAGGTTCGAGCGTAGGTGAGAGAGCCTGGTAACTGAGGGTTTTTTCATCCGGATGCCGTCTGCCTTCTTCGATCTTTCATTTCATCCTGTGCAACGTGAGGCCCGTCCCACATGCATTCATTCTCAGCGAGAGGGACAGCAGAAGCTCCCAAAAGGCCCGGTAGACGACGGCCAATGGCCCTCGCACAGACGACGGCCAATGGAAGGGGAGACACGGGTTGCGGGTGCCGACATTTTCTCTGCTTCGAACGTGCGGCTGCCAGCCCTTGAGTTCCATTGTCTCAGTCATGGGCACGGTTGCACGTACCACCGACATGCTCTCTCTCTCTCTCTCCTAGTATGGGACTCCTCTCTTTCTTTCTCCCGGTTGAGGGACACTGGGATCTCCCTCTCTCACTAGTACAGGGGTCCTCTCTCTTTCTTTCTCCCTGTTCAGGCACACAGGGATCTCCCTTCCTCTCTCTCGTCAGTTACCAACTGCATGTTCTCTCCCCCCCCCCCTCTCTCTCTCTCTCTCTTATCATGAAGTACACGAGCCATCTCTCGTTCTTTCTCGCTGTTCAGGCAGCACTGGGGTCTCTCTCTCTCTCTCTCTCTCTCTCTCTCTGTCTCTCTCTCTCTTCAGGTAGCACCGGAGTCCTCTATGTTTATGAAGGTGGGCCTGGGTCCCTTGTGAAGAGCAAGTTGGTAAGACTTCGTTCCTTTTCATGCAGTGTAAGACTGGTGCAAGACCACGTGAAAGAGGTCCAAAAATTGAGGGACACCATACTTAATTAAACTGATTTAGATAATCCTCCTGCATCCACTGTCCCACAATGGAAAAATGACACATATGCCCCTCAAACCATATTTTGGGTACATCTCACCAAAGAGCCCACCAGATCCTATTAAGGCCCAATAGGGAATGGAAGTACTAATGGGCCTAAGTAGTCTGAAAGCCCAACCTTTTTTAATCTCAGACCAACCGAATGATAAAATGAATTATTTTCTTGGCAGGAATGGTTGAATAATAAATTATTTTATAGGGGCCATAACGATACTCTCCCCTCATAAATGGGTCGGCCCGCAGGCCCGTATCACAAGTTTGGATTAATGGGCTGTTCTCTGGCCCATGAAAATTTGGGATTCGGCCCATTTACTCACTGGAATAATAGGCGGGCTTACGTCACCCTCTCTCTCTCTCTCTCTCTCGCTCGCTCTCTCTCTCTGAGTCTTCTTCTTCCTGCAGCAGCTGGGAGAGCGGAAGGTCGGTAAAGCGGCTTGCGGGAGGTCGGTGGGGGCTATGGATAAAGGACGGCGGGGAGGTTGAGCGCTGCAGGTCTGTGAGCATGTCGGATCCGTACAAGAAAGCGAAGGCAGGGCGGCTCACATTCAAGGGCGGGGAGCTCGCTGCGGTGAAGTCCATCGAGAAGACGAAGAAGAAGAAGAAGAAGGAGAAGAAGAAGCAGACGGAGGAGGAAGCCGGCGACGACGTTAGAGATGAGGGGGCATCGGCGTTGGGGGAGAGCGGGGAAGGAACCGGGGACGGGGAGGAGAAGGCTGTTTACACGATCGATGCTGCAAAGCGTATGAAGTACGAGGAGCTCTTCCCAGTCGAGACTAAGCGGTTCGGCTACGATCCGGCGAACAAATCTCGTTCCGGGGCGCGCACGGTTGAAGAAGCCTTAGACGACCGAGTTAAGAAGAAGGCCGATCGCTACTGCAAGTGATGCAAGGTAACCGAACATCATTGCTTCGTGGGCTGTTCTTCGACTTGGCTATTAGGGTTAGATGGATTCCTATTTTAAGCTTCTCAGGCGTGGAATCGGGTCCCTCTTAGGTTTTCTTCCTTTCCTCCCGTTATTGCGATAACTATCATTCTTGGGCGTTGTTTAGACATGGAGGATTGTCAGAATTGAGCAGCACGAGTGGACTCAGAATGCGTTAGTTTGGTATCTTCCATGTATTATCTTCTTTTGTGAGAAAAGAGGAGTTTCCATGAATCATAACTTGAAATTCGCTGTAAACATGTTGCTTGTAACTTGTTTGACGAGTGGGGTGAGCTACTCTGCTCTTTTTGCCAGACACATAAATTGAGAAAATTTAAAACAACCTTGCTTCAGGTTGTGTGGGATAGCATGGGTGATTAACAGATTCATATTCGTTTTTAAGGTGAAATTAGCTTTGTTAGATCTGTGTAAGGTTACAGACTTCAGAAAATTTCTGTTCACAATTATGAAGAAATTCGTAGTTAAATTTTTAGATGCTGTTGGCGCCACTGTGTCAGGAATAAATGAAATAGGTGGATAGACGTAAATCCCAGCATTTCAAGATCTCTGGGACCCAAAAAATCTCAGAAAGTTTTCTATCTCCATGCCAAAGATTACAACATCGCCAAGGCAGCAGGTGTAGCTTCTGGCACAAGGTTAATAAACGCAGAAACTTCCACACTATCTCTCTAATGGTCTTTTCCACGTCGCGTCATCTGATAGATCTTCTTAAAGGCGCACACGCAGCTTCTAGCCATGTAAAACATGTCATATCATATGTGAGTGTCTTCTAAATCCTGTATTTTTTCCTCTTCTGAGCAGAGTATCTTCTATTTAAGCTGCCTGTGCCCTATATTTGCCATTGGTTTCATTCACTGCTTCTCACATCAAAGCCCTTCCGATTTCAGGCTGCTATATGCCGATATGGTTCAAAGACACAACGTGGAGTTATCTAGGAGAAGATATTCTTGTTGCTCGTCACTGGGCTCAATTTTTCTCATTTCACACTAAAAAACTTGGAACGTTTAATGTTTTGTAAGCTTGCAAAACATTAGATCAATATTTCCTCTCAAACACAATATTTCCTCTTTCCTGTGTCAAAGACAGACCTTTGATGTTACGCTGAAAAATAAAGGAGTGACTAGGAAGAGTGACAGCAAAGCCGTAGATCCTCAAAAAAATTAAGTTCACGCCATTTTAGAAATGTGTGCCATCCAATACAAAGCTCACACAAGCAAAGTATGATGGCCCAGGGGTGTCTGATACCGGGCCAAATTTTAGACAGAGGGTCATAGTCAATGGTTTTTGTGAGGTTAATCTCGGAGAAATAGATCAGCCATTACTGTGTGTTCTTTTGGTACCTAAAGAGAAGTAGAAGAGAAAAGTAAAATGAGATCTTGATCAAAATCTTAAAGCTAAACGACCTTAAAATTTCGGGAGGTATTTCTTCCTCTCTAGATCATGATAAGCTTAAGATAAACAACCTTTGTTGACAAAATATCTTGATCTAAGGACAATGTTTTCAACCATATGTTCTTCTTTGATTCATTCAAGGATGATGCATGGGAAACGCCCTATCAATCTTCCCCTGAGGGCCACTTAAGGGGGGTAACGTTCCTTTCTAATAAGGAGAGAAAAAAATAGTCATGTCTATGCAACTAAGTATCATCATCCCAGTAATCTTTTTCACGATTGAACTCATTGGTTCTCTAACATTGATTTATTCATCATACCTGGTCTTGACCCTGTTTTACAGATATGCTTCTTCAGCGACGAAACCTAGATAATTCAAATGGCAACAAAGGATATTGTCGTTGCCATTCTTCCAATGTTACTTTTTCTCATATCAAATTTATGAAAAAATCATCTGTTTGGAAGTGCTGTGGTGTATAAAATAGAACCCTTTCAGCAGACACGCACAGTGAGTTTATGTAAATATATACGTATATATATTGTTTTCCTTGAAATTGTCTTCAATCCCTTTCTTTCTACTTCCCTGAGAATCACGCTCTTGTGGCTGACACTTTTTGTTGCCTAATTCCTACCCGTCGATTCTGCTATTTCGCACCATTCATAGTTGTCACTCTGTTTGCAGCCTTGCTACCTTATAGACGGTTGGCTGAAGAGAAAGATCCATACATTTAAATACCATCAGGAGTATAACTGAACCGGACACTGGAAATTGGATCAACCTCTCTCATCTTCCATGTCCCATTGCCGCTATTAGTCAGCTCTACGTTCAGATTATTATTTCTCCCTCATCAGAATATTAGGGTTTCATGAAAGTGACCTCCTGTCTTCAATATATGCTTTGAATTATTTCTTGCTTGCATCTGTGAAATTTTTTGGCTTAATTTGCCCATAAATTCTGGTTCCTGACACAGTTTATGAATTATCTCCTCAGGAAATCTACTCTACTGTGTTCTGCCAAGCCCAGTCGACACCAGGGATAGGGAAACCTGAGAGCTGATGATGCCGTTCTTCCTCAAGCAGTGGTTTCTGGTAGGTGATGCCTCCTGTACAGGTTATGCAGAACCCGAGTTCACTCAATTGATAGCCACTTTCGGGTGTGCAAAACCCCTAACCTACCTTTAGTGGGCCTATTTAATTCCCGGTGGGGTTTTCAGTAATTCTTAGTTACTCGAGCAACTGTTCATCTTATGCAAGGATTTATAGCAAACGAGTCCCTGGGAATTTTTTTTTAATATATATTTTAACGTGAGTTCTTGGAAACCTAAGCAGAATCGAGTCTTGGCCAGGTTTCAATTTGGGCCGCGACCTTTGTAGCAGTGTTTAATGGCCTTGCTGGGCTGGAGGGCTATTTAGTATGAGAGTTCAGCTGGATGAACACCATGAGATGGGTTGTTATGGGGCTCAGCTACCAGGAAGCCGGCCTATTTTCCGGGAGTTTACTATAATATCGTTTTTAACTCGTGCATAAGTCATTGAAATCTAGCACGAAAAATAGGAAATTATAACCCATAAATAGTAGAAAGTGTGTTTAGTTCTTAGAAATTGGTACCGTTTAAAGTGTAAAACATTGTTTTCATATGTTTCTGTAGATAGTAAATCACTGTAATAATGTCTGAAAGTGAGATGCTCTGAAGCCGTCTTCAGCTGCTTTCTCTGTGCCTCCGTTGGGCCGCGGAAGGAAAATCCAAAGAGGCGTATAATATAATATAAATGTATTCTGAGTAGCCCCAGATCCCCCGCCCACCCGAACAGACCGCTAGACCTCTCCAGAGGGCAGGGAATTTGGGGTAACATTTCCATATTTGGCGACCCGCGGGTGATGACCACCCCTATAAATAGTAACAGGAATCACGAATCCACCATTTATAGCGGCGGCTGCGGCGGCATCTTCTCCGTTGAGGATCTACAAGGAGAATTGAGGGCGATCATCTTCATCTGGACATTGATTGCATTATCTGTACAGGCACCCTCTGTAGGTGGGCGTCCAGTAGTCCGGTCCGTTGTTCTCGCGGTACATCTGAGGAGTGCAGGCGACGGGGACGAGGCAGAGGCCCCGACTCTTCAGGTCAACCTCAGGTTCCTGCTTCTCCTTCCTCTCTGCGCCCCCCCACGAGCTGTGATCCTGCGGAACACGGGAGAGCCCCGGGAGCCCGTCCATGGCTACCGTTAATGCTTTCTGTGAATAGAAGAAATTCGTCGTAGTAGATGGGGAGGAGGACAAGTATGAGCGTACCTTGCTGAAGCCTGATTTCATGTAGGGATCGCTGAGGAGCTGCAGTGGAAGAGAGGAGATCATTACGGCAGCCAAGAGGAAGATGAAGCGAGGGCTTCCATTCTCTCCGTCTGTTCTTCAGGGCGGGGGTGCTCGTTCTCTACGTAGGGGAATCATGGGGTGATTACCGCCTCCTCCAAACGTTGACTTTCGGGCAATTTTCTCGGGTGCATGCGGGGGTTTGTGCAAATGGGGCTTTTGGGGAAATCCTCAGATCACATCGTTTGGCGGTTGATCGGTATTCGGTGTTCATGCAGTGTTTAGTTGAAGGTACCAAGTGTGGCTGTATGAGCGGTATGATGTAGTTAAATGACACGGTAATTTTGGATGATGTGGGTTAAATGACATTCTAAAACTGTCTGATCTAGTTAGAGACTGCGCTGGATTGTGATATTAGATCAGAAATTAGCTCATCAAACTAAATACAGATGCATAATGATTAGATCGAAGTTATTCTATCTACTGGGACGTCTCTAGTTGTAAATACCAGAGTTGAGTTGAGTAGAGATAGATAGATACATATATATATATTATATGTATATATGTGAGAGTGAGAGTGAGAGTGAGAGTGAGAGTGAGAGTGAGAGAGAGAGAGAGAGAGAGAGAGAGAGAGAGAGAGAGAGAGAGAGAGAGAGAGAGAGAGAGAGAGAGAGAGAGAGAAATCTTCATTTGCCTACTCCCCTTGTTTAGGCCTGCACATGTATATATCTAACATCATACACAATTGTCACTTTAATGATATCGCAGGAGAAATTACCTGAACTTGCTCGTGGAGGTATTTGATGAAGTTGATCGTCTCCAGCAACACGGATGCAGTATCAGTCTGGTAGTAAAAACCTCAAGCAGGTCATGATCGAAGCTCTCGCTAATGAAGAAGCTGTAGCAGTGAGTCTACCTTCCCAAAGGGTGAGACGATCTGCTGAAGCGCGGTGATCCTCTCCGCTAGCTTTACCTTAGGTACCTGCGACTGCTATCGACATATACACAGTTTCCCATCAAATATCTACATATTCATATATTCTCTTGGTTTGTGTTTCAGATAAGACCTTGGCTGAGGGCGACGTGGAGTTGTCGCTCTTTGACTTTTTGAGTCGACTTTCAGCGTTATCCTCAGATCTCTTCTTCTTCCCCTCGCTCGATACGCTCGGCTGACTCCCACTGCCTCTTATCTGCACCAAACAAAGGTCATCTCCGACCTAGATATGAAAAGATCAGATCAAAGGAGTCTCAAGGGCTTATCGGCCTTACAGATGGAGCAATCTCCTGTCCCTGCTTCCTGCTGTCAGCAGAATCCGAGCTCTTCGTGCTGGATTTGGGGCCTCTAAAATCAATTAGAGGCTTGCTAGGGCAGCTTCCAAAGGAGACGAGGTCGGAGAAGTTCCTCGTTGTGGACCATGGACCCTCCGGGGTCGCGGCACTCTCGTACCTGCTAACACACACAGGAGGGCTGCTGAAGCCAAGCTGGTGCATGGTACTGAGACCTCCGATAGACCTCAGCAGAGAAGGCTCCGAGGATAAGGTTGGAGTCCCTTGTTTGAGGTTACAGAAGGTGGGCTCGACGTAGCGGCCCATCAGTGTGCTGAGAGAACTCGTGCAGGCGATCGGGGAGCTCATCTGACGGATGCCGTGTGGGTCTGGTGGGGCAATGGACCAGTTGGTCACCAGGTCTGATAGGTTGGTGAGTCTCTCGTGCTCCATGTAGCGCCCATTGATGACAGTCGGGTGCTTTCCCATATTGTTGAATGGAGTAGGGCTCGTGAAACCCCCCCAGCTGCTGTTGTCCAGCTTCTTCAAGTAGTTGAAAGCTGGTTCAGGAATCTCTGAAGGTAGGTTCTTGGAGGAGAGCACCTCCATGAAGTTCTCCCCGCTATCGTCTGTACCACGCAAGTCCGCCAAGCTTCCTACGCCCCTGCAGAATTCAAACCCTAGATATAATCTTTGAAGAACTGGGAAGGGAAGAGAACTAGTCCATTTGATCGTATGGGTTCATTAGTTATTTGGATTTATCGCTGTTCTTATTCATACAATCAGAAGATGATCTCGTCGTTATGATTATCATACTGAAAGTAAAGGCAGCGAAAGAACAGATGACTGACTTTGAGACGAGGAAGAATCAATCAAGCTCGGGAAGATTCCCAAAACATATAGGAAGGCGTAGCCTTTAGATGAATTGATTCGAAAATCTAAAGAAACCGAAAAAAGAACCCCTCTGCCAGTTATTACGTCAAATGATGAGAGGGAGAGAGAGAGAGAGAAACTATTTCCTGGCTTTGAATTTTCCATCAGATTCCTTCCCCACTCATCCATATCGTTCATGGTCTAGTTACCAACAAATCTGAAATCATCTCTTTTCAGTAGAACTCACAGTAAAACCTGTCTCCAGATGTGATGCTCAACGTGCTCCCCCGGCAGCTCCGTGGCGGCGGTGTCCGCCGTCAGGGCGGAGTGGCTGGAGGCGTTGGTGAAGGAGGTGGCGGAGATGGCTATGTCCTCTTCGCAGGAGGAGGCGGAGTTGGGGTTTTGTGATTGCCATGGGTTCATGGATTGGCTCCAGGAGGCAGCGGCGGAGGAGGGGACGGCGTGGATATGGACGTCCCACCAGTTCGGGCCGGGGGACGTGGTGTTGCTGGCGACCGGCGCCTCCGAGACCTCCTGAGCCATCATGGCTTGCTCTCTTGTGGTCTGTGACGCCCCGCGGGAGATGCACTGGTGAGGAAATGAGCGAGGGAGGTCGGCTTTTAAGGAGGATCTATCGTTGGCATGACATAAGAAAGTGGTTCAGAGCGAGCAAGCGAGAGATAGAGATAGAGAGAGAGAGAGAGAGAGAGAGAGAGAGAGAGAGAGAGAGAGAGAGAGGAAAGAGGAGAGAGGAGAACGGAGAGCGGAGGGAGGGGGGAGGGAGGGGGAGAGAGAGGGAGAGGAGACAACAGAATATGCAGCCTTGTGTTTTCCCACTGAGATTGTGGACAATAATTACGATGGTAAAGAAAGGAGTGCGAGGGTCAGAGCTGATGGGACTCTCTCTGTTTCTCAGTCTACAGAATATAGCGGGCTACGACTTGGGGTTTCTAGAGTCTTGAATGTAGACGGAGGTCATGACTTAAGTTACTACACGAGTACGGCTCCTCGGGATCGGTTCAAAGGTCAGTTGACGGAGTAAGTCAATGGCGACCGTCTTATGAAAACGCGTTACACTCTCCACACAGTTCCACCGTACCAGGCGTTCGTCTCAGTCATCGCATGGGCGGCTCAAGGGCTTCGCGTGCTAATTCCTTCGTTTCCACTCACATTTCCTGCACAGACTAGATCTTCTTATAGACAGAATCCCCTTTGCGGCATTTGATCTAACATCTCTACCGCCGGGCTTTCTTCTTCCTCTTCCTTGTCGAGGTCAACAGCCATTTTCCGGACATATTACCGCATAAAAGAGCAGACAGATAACGAATTGGTCGCGGAGTTATAGTTCGTGTTCCTCATGGGGTGGTTGGTCATTCTTCCCCGACTGACAACGTGTCCCCCCTTTAGGGAGTGCACTATTTGCACTGGTTGGAAGACAGCGGGACGCGGGCGTGCTGGCGGCCGGTGGGTCAAGCTCGTTTCTCCGGCAGGGCCGCACGCCCGGGTTTTTCAAACTCGCCCATGATGGGACCTTACTCGGCAGCCGGCCTGTCTCCAGTGGGGGGTTGGGAGGGCAAAGAAGGGGGAAGGGGGCGTGAGACAGAATGATCACTCGATACATCGGGTTGGTGGAGTTGAATTCTCTCCTTCTTTATTCTTTATCTACCCTTCAGCTTTCTCCTTCTTTTGCGGTCTCAAGTCGCTTCCCTCCGTTTTAATGGCCGAAAGGTATGGTAAGAACGACGGCGTAGAGGGCAGGACGGAGGAGGCTGGTGAAGCGAGCAGTTTCAATGGTGCAATCGATGGCTCTTGCAGTTTTCCCACTGCTTTCAGCTCTGTGGCGTAGATACTCCTTTCTGCGTGAGATTCGACCAGACGAACTTCAGGGGAGGAGTGAACATTCGGAAACCCCTCTCTAACCAACCCTTTGAGGACACGGCCGCCGATATGGAGAGATGACGGAGGACAGACGTCACGGGAGGATAGCCAGGACCAAGCAACGCATGCAGATGGCGTTTATCTGTGCGTATCCCTCCGGCGGGGAAGTCCACGGTAGCAGCCTTCACATAGAGAATGGCCGGCTCTTCAATGCCTTCTCTCTCATGGTAAGATAGCCTGTGGGGCCTCTCTTTCTGGAAAGGAGCTCCTCTGTGAATCCTTGGCCACAAGTCGCCGGTGGTCGTCAACCACATCTTGCCCCCCTCCCCGCCGGAGCCACGACACATATTCCTCCACTAGCAATGTCATCTCACAAGACTCTCTCTCTCTCTCTCTCTCTCTCTCTCTCTCTCTCTGTGTCTCTCTGTGTCTCTCTGTGTCTCTCTCTCGGTGCCCTCCTTTAGAAACCATTTTGTTAGCCAACTCCCACACGGAGGCTCTGCTCGACGAAATTATAAGAAACACAGAGGAGGAGATGAGAGACGGAGAAGAGGCATTGGTCAGTGGTAGCGGGGAGCATATACTATTAGAGATCATAAAGCGAGAGAGAATGCAATTGCCCGCCTTTAATTAGGTCGAGAAAAAAGCCTCGGATAAATAAAAGGCAATGTGACATGACACGAAGCCCAATTCCATCGTTATGGTGTTTTATATACGATGCTGGAGGGAGCTTTTCGCCCCCCCTCTCGCTCTCTCGCACTAAAACCTACCTACATTGGCTCGCAGAGCTCTTCCATCGACTGCTGCCAGTTGAGACGAAGAACTTGGGTAGATTTATCTGAGGAACTTTGGTCGAAAGGCAGGCAGACATACCCAAATAGCGATCGAAACCTCGTGGGAGAAGGAAGGGCCTCAACTTTAGAGGTTTTTTGGTTGGGTGAGTCAGAGGTTCCAAATCCGAGGAGCTTAGCAGAAGCCGTGGTCGGCTCCGGCGGCTAATGTGGGTTGTCTCTGCAAGGGGAAAGAAAGAAGGCTGAGTGGGGTAGCGAGGAGCCTCCGCTCCACGGCAGCTCGCCGGATACGAGGGGAACGGCTGGGGAGCCCCTAAGCTCCAGGGCCCCGCCTCCTTCTTTGCTTTCTCCTGTGGGCCTTCTGGGTGAGTGGTCGAGCAATAAGCACGCCGGCTGGCCCACCCATCTCTACACACGTATAGAGAGAGAGAGAAAGAGAGAGGAAGGTGAGGTGCTTCGTTTTACCGAGGTCCCAGTCAATCCATCTTGGCTCCCTTCCTTTCTTTTGTCGATCACTGATGTCTAGTCTAAGGAGTAGAGATGAGCTTTAGTCCTCTGTCCTCCTCCTGTCCCCCCATCTTTCCGTGGGATCTTTAACGGCATCGAGGACACACTCCGAGAGTGTAATATCTCTCTCGATATCTCTCCTCCCCTCCACTCAGGGGCCGTGGACCTTGCCAGCCGGATGACATCTTCAACGATGCTGTTGACTTGTGCCAGTGCACGGTGATTCTCCAACTAGGGAGCTCCAGAACGGCTCTCAAAAGGGAAAAGAATACAGCACAAAAATCTACGTTACAGCGAGAGACTAAAGATGCGTTCTCCCAAGAGAAATCGGCCGGTTCTTCCTGTATTAGCGTCTCTTTGTGAGTTTGTTGACGGGGGGGGGGGGGGGTGGGGAAAGGATAGAGAGAGAGAGAGAGGAGAGAGAGAGAGTAGAGGACAGACATTGCATCGGGGAAAAGGCGGCTACCCGGTGCCTAGAACATCTTTTCGGCAGGCGTTAGTGAGAGAGGGAGTGAAACACGGCCGGCCTTTGAGTGATGTAGACGCTGGTCTGTGTGAGATTCGTGGAACCGGAGTTTTCTATTTTCTTGTGTGCGACGGCCCTCCAGACTTTCGGACATTAGGGCTGCTATGGAAGAAGAAAGGGTATGGCGGGTAGAATCCCCACTGTCCTGCCACGCGGGAGAATGCCGCCTTTTTCTTTGGACAAGTTCTCTCTCTTTGTGAATGATCAGAGCATCAACTGGTATGCATGCCCGGTTCTCTCTGTGGAAGATTATGGGCGCCAAAGGAGGAGGAAGAAGAAGCAGATAACGCTGTTGCTGCTGCTTCCGCTGATGATGATAATCATGAAATATATACACATAATGATAGAGGCGAGGAAGAGGAGAGAGACGAAGGGGAAGAAGAAGAAGAAGATGACGACGACGACGAGAAAACGATAGAAGAAAAAAGTGGCGGAGAGGAGAGTGCTGAAATATTACTGAGCACAAGAAGAACACAGGAAGAGGAAGGGAGGATGTCAGAATGTTGTAAAGAAAGAAGAAGAAGACGATGATGGTGATGAGTATCAGAAGAAAAGGAAAAAAATTAAAGATATTATAAAATAAAAAATATATGAGGTGAAGAGGCAAATAATATTAGAGTATTACATGGTCAAATTATTCAGTATTATTTTTATTAGTCTAAAAGAATATCCGCGCGGCAAAAGGCGTGAGAATGCAAAACAATTGAGTAAACAAAGAAGAGAGAGACAGGAAGAGGAGGGGGAGGAGCCACTCTAATTTTTTTTTTTAGAGATTTAGAGAGAGAAAAAAAATATTGGAGGGCAGGTGGAGAGAGGTAATTCTGAAATAAAATAAGGAAAAAGAAAATGGGCTGGCCCCCTCAAATATCTGAGAACCATCCATGATTTTAAAACGCCTCGCAATAAGAAAAGGTGGCGGTGCAAGTGATGGATTATTCTGCTGCCGATGATTTTCTACTATCCCAATTGTTTATTACGCCAACTAAGGAAGGTTCTATGTATGAGGCTCTCAATGGAGCAGTAACCTAGTCCCTTGGAGCCTTAAAGTTTGGTCTAGAAAGAGAAAATAGGCCCAAGAAATGACACGTCTCTCTCTCTCTCTCTCTCTCTCTCTCTCTCTCTCTTTTACATACGAAGAGCCAAGAAAGACACTTGAGCCCGGGAGACATCAACCGGCAGCAGGGTCCTGATCATGTAAGAGATCCCGGGGCATGGTGCTCCTTTATTAAGTAAAGAGTAATAAATGACACGTCTCGTCCACCAACTGGAAGCACTTTGACCTCTTACAAAATCTTCAAATCTACTCCTGTCTTAGTCATAGAGCCAATCCAATCCCACTCCAGTGAGGAAAGATAGCGCCAGCCAGGAAAAAGCCACGCGTTGGAAGGAAGGTCCACGCCGCAAGTGATTCCGATCGCCGAACCGGTCCGGACCCGCTCGGCTTCTAGATCTCAAGAGTCCCACTGCCTGGACCTCGATGTCTCGCCGCACACGGCGCTAGCGAGAGAGAGAGAGAGGGAGAGGGGGGGAGAAAGGGACAGAGGGAGAGAGAGGGGGGAGAGGGACAGAGGGAGAGGGGGGATAGAGTTGGGGGAGAGAGGGAGAGGGAGAGGGATAGGGAGAGAGAGGGGAGAGAGAGAGAGGGAGAGGGGAGAGAGGGAGAGGGGAGAGAGGGAGAGGGGAGAGGGAGAGAGAAGAGAGAGAAGAGAGAGAAGAGAGAGAAGAGAGAGAAGAGAGAGAAGAGAGAGAAGAGAGAGAAGAGAGAGAAGAGAGAGAAGAGAGAGAAGAGAGAGAAGAGAGAGAGAGAGCGAGAGAGAGAGAGGTTGATCTGGTTGTCGAGATAGATAGACAAATTTGTTAGACACAACACAGGTTGACCCTAGGGAAGGAGAAAGAACAGATCACCGAGATAATGACGACGAACGTCGACGAAGACAGACGAATTCAATACGCCGGCAGACCCATGGAGTGCTTATGCATGAAGAATAATGCGACACTCATGCGAGCCAAACAAACCCATTTTTCGGGCTTTTTCTCGGAGCCCTAAAATCCGAGGAGACCAATTTCGTTTGGTTCTTCAAGCTGATTTTATTTATTTATTTAATCTCATTCCATTTCATATCTGTTGGATTGATTCCTGGGACAGTCTTATTGGGCCTAGCCCAGTTAGTGCTCTCGAGGAAACAGCTCAGAATACATTCGGAGAAGGCTTTCTCTTCCGATGAGTTCACTAACTATTTGTGTCGCTTCCAAGAATGCGTCTAGAATCGTTCGCTAGATCTTCAGGAGCCTGCCGCAGATCTCTTCAGCCCACATTCTCCGGCGCCGTCGCCGTTGAAGTGGCGAGGAGCTGCTGGGCCGGCGGTGCGATGCCCCTCTTTGGCGGAGCGACGTGTCGCCCTGCTCGGATCCTCTGTTGCGCTGCTGCGCTGGTCGGGCTCCCGCTGCTTCTCGTCGTTGTCCTCTCCGAAAATGACCCTTCCTCGTCGAATCCGTTCATTGACTTTGCTCGAGCCTTCAGGAGCGTCCCTCCGAGGTGCGATTTACTCATTCACCCTCCTTCCCTACCCGCCATCTCGCTCGCTCGCTCTCTTCCTCCATTCTTGTCGATTCATCCCTCTAGGCGTTTTTTGTGCATACTGACATGTCAGTGTGTTACAAATGGCGGTGTTCTTGAAGTGAGAGGGATGGCAGCATCTGGAATGTGCGGAGGATCGTCGAGTGGAGACCATGTCGGTGGTGGCAGACCGGCACGCATCTAACCGGTAAGTGTTCTGTTCTGCCTGGTGACAGGTCTGAGCGTCGGGGCAGTGACAGGTCTCTTTCCTTAGGTTATCTCTTTGAATTTTTTTTTTAAAGCCTGAAATCTTTGTCGAAATGGTTTCGTTGCAGAAAGACAATACTGCAATCGGTTTAATTGTTGAAATTCTGCAGCTCTACCAGCGACGAGCAATGGCTACATCAGAGTGGACTGTTATGGGGGGCTCAATCAAATGCGCCGTGACGTGAGTGCTGAGTGGCTTGGAATCGGGATCTTCTCCTAGTATCTCCCCGTTTTCTTGTGGCAGTGCTTTGAACCTGTTTGTTTTAATTTGTAGTTCTGTGACGGCATCGGGATTGCTCGCCTGCTGAACGCGACTCTGGTGCTGCCCAAATTCGAGGCGGCTGCTTACTGGAATGAATCAAGGTGGACTCAGAGGGATTGGATTTAAGTGAAAAAGGCTTCAACTAGCATGAAACTCAAGTTTAGGTTTTTAACAGTGACTTTGCAGATGTATTTGACGTTGATTACTTCATCGAGCAAACGAAAGATTTTATTCACGTTGTGAGATACTTGCCTGAGGACATTTTATCTGGAGAACCTTTCAGAGTGGACTGCAGCAAGCGCAAGGGTCAATTTGATTATGTAGAGCATGTTCTCCCATTCCTCTTGAAACATCGTTACATCTCGATCACACCGGCAATGAGCCAGAGGAGAGACAGGTGTGTACTCATATACTAGTTTCCATGCTCTTCTTTCACCAGCATCTACATTAAAAACCAGAATGATACCTGATCAAAGAAATCTCTTTTTTTCCGTATTGTTAGTTGAGTCAGACTAAACTTCTTCTTTGCAGCATTTATCTTACCAATTCAACTTCAATGTCTAACTGGCTTTAAAAAAAAGGATGACATTGCGGTGAGTAAGACCAGTAGTGCTTCATTTGAGCAAATTTTAACTGCATCTAAGCAGAATTGGAACAAAACAATTGATATGAATTTTTAACGTGTCGGAAATAAATTCCTTATGGGATTTTGATACCATCTTGTATGTCCAATTATTGTGAAAATTCACCAATGTCTCAAGAACCTCTTTTCCACTTATCTTGGAACAACTTCCTTGCTGGCGACCATTCCTACCTTTTCTTCTATCGCGATTTAATCACCCAAAATTTTTACTCATCTTTGTTTTTTCTCTGAGAGTGTTAACTTGCCATCTACTTCTCGTTTTGACACATGGTAGTACCTTTGATCCGATAATTTTGGATATAATATCCCTGGGTATCCACATCTACGTGCTTCTGCTAATGTTGAACATGCTCGCGCAAGCATTATTGAAGTGTACCCAAACAAGTCAGTTGAAAATGTGCAGTTGTTTCGTGTTTCAAGGGCTTATCGAATGATTGACCACGTAGGGTATTGTCCTTGTGTTGTGCTGTGGCTAGCCAGTATAGGACTGACCTTAGAAGGCAGTATCACTGGGCAGAATTCTTTATAGAAATTTCGAACTTTCATCAAAAGAATTTTGACGACGAGATAATTTGGCATTCGTGAATTTATTACTAAGAATCTGGGTATCCTTTGAATGAAATTTCAATCACTTGAGGCTTTTATATGGAGCCCATGATGAGAGATTATTTCACCCCTTTCTTTGTTTCCATCTGAAAGTGGTTGGAAACTTGCGTCTTGGATATCTAGGATGATGGAATTTTTCTAATTTATTAAACGTTGAAAACCCTAGTGCTGCTTTAATTCTTGACCAACCGCTTACCTCACTTAGGGCGAAAATTTGCTGCCATCTATTTGTCATGGTCTTCCTACCCGTTTCAGCCTGTGAGCATCTTCTCATGTAAAGATGAAAGGTGCATCCAAAGATTGTCATGAACTGCTTTAAGTCAATTGAATGTATTGGTAAGACGAGGATCGAATGCTATTATTATTAGTGGTAGAAAACCTGATACGGATTAGTAGGGATTGGAGTGTTACTTCGGTGTCTATTAACGGTACTAGTTCTGTATAGTGCAATCGGAATTGCTGAAACTGCATTCTTTCATTGAAGCATAGTTAAAATGTGCGATCAGTACATCAGGGATTTTAAGAGTGATCCTGGCCCCAAATGGTCTACTTGTCGAAATTCATTCTCTTTCTTCTTAAGATGTTAGCAGCGGGAACTGGCATTGACATTATTGCTTGAATCAAGATGTAATCCCTTGCTTCTTTGCTTAACACAATTTGGGTGTATTTTCTGACTCTGTAGGTATCCTCTGTATGCAAAAGCCACCCTTTGCCAAGCTTGCTACAAGGCTCTGCAGCTCAACCAGGATCTGGGAAGCAAAGGCTCCAAGCTCCTCAGCCTCATGCCGAAGCCCTTCCTCTCTCTGCATCTCCGATTCGAACCAGACATGGTGGCATACAGCCAGTGCCACTACATCGGGCTATCCTCTGCCTCCATGGACGCCATTGAAGGAGCTCGCGGCAACCGAAGACCGTTTACAGGAGACGTTGCTCGTTATTGGAGAGAGCGTGGGAAATGCCCGCTCATGCCGAATGAGACGGCGTTCATCCTCCAGTCCCTTGCCATTCCTGCCCACACTCCAATTTACCTGGCAGCTGGGGACGGCATTCTAGAGCTTGAAGGGCTGACTTCTATCTACAGTAATGTCTACACCAAGTCTTCCCTTCTCAGCAGGGAAGACTTTGCCCAGATGGGCGGCAACACCAAGGCCGCCTTGGACTATTATATTTCCATAAACAGCGACGCCTACATCGCCACATTCTTCGGGAACATGGACAAGATGGTGGCTGCCATGAGGGCTGCGAGAGGGCTGCACAGGACTCTGTTCTTGAGCAGGAGGGCCTTTGCTGTCGGCGTCTCCAAGGGTCTGGCTGGCGCAGAGCTGGCGACAGCCATGTGGGAGGCCCATAGGGAAGATTACATCATGGGGAGAGGATCTGCCCTGCCGGATTGCTTCTGTGAAACCAAGTTGTGATGGGAAAGGAAGTGCTGGCGGCGGCCACCAGATTGATTCTGTGAGATACCCATCCTTGATCATCCTATAATCATTCTTTCTCCTGTTATGATTTCAAAATCATTCTTGATATGCCAAATTAGGATTTTTTTCTTTTTTGTTTATAGTAAAAATCTGAGCTCCATAGGATATAATATAACCTCAGGAAGCAACTCTCTTTCCCTGGAAGGTTTCAGTCATCTGTGCGTTAATGACCAGGCGAAGATGCCATGCTTCCACTAGCTTCACCCCACCGGGGTCTTCGCGGGTCATCGTCCTCCCCTCTCGCCGCCGTGCTCCGCCGGCGGCGGCGGCTCTGCTCCGTCGCCCATCTTCCCCCGCTCCCCCGGCTCCCACCGTCGCCTTCCCTCCGCCAGATCCTGCAAGCCCATGCGCAGCTCTTGGTGCTCGGTCATGCCGCCAGCCGTGCCGCCATGGGTCACCTCCTCGCCGCCTGCGCGGTCTCCCCCTCCGTCACCCCCGGCGGCTACCCTCGCGCGGTCTTCCAGCAGCTGGAAATCCCCAGCGTCTTTGCCTGCAACAACTTCATCCGCTGTCTCGCCAGGGCCGGCGGCGGTGGCGAGGCCCTCGCTCTCTACGCCTACATGCGCCGCCGTAACGTACCCAGCAACAACTACACCTTCCCTTTCCTCCTCCAGGCCTGCGGCGCAGAAACCCCCGGCGGCGCGCAAGTCCACGCTCACATAGTGAAGCTCGGGCAGGACGGGGACGTCTTCGTGCGCAACGGGCTGGTTCACTTCTACGGCGCGTGCGGGCAGATGGTCAACGCGCGCAAGGTGTTCGACGAGTGGCCCCAGCGGCGGGACGTCGTCACTTGGAACGCCGTCATCGCCGGGTACGCGAGGGACGGACAGGTCAACGTCTGCGAGGAGCTCTTCAAGATGATGCCGGAAAGGGACGTGATCTCGTGGAGTACCATGATCATGGGCTTCGTCCAGAGCGGCCTCCTGGAGAAGGGGGTTGACCTGTTTAGGGAGATGGCGGCGAGAGGGCCGCCGCCGAACGAGGCGACGCTGGTCAGCGTCCTCTCCGCCGCTGCCCAGCTGGGTCTCCTCCAGCAAGGCCAGTTCATCCACGCCGCCATTAAAACCTGCAACTTCCCCATGAGCGTCAACGTCGCCACTGCACTGGTCGACATGTACGCCAAGTGCGGGTGCATCTCCTCCTCAAAGGAGGTGTTCGATGAAATGTCCCACAGAGACGTCTTCTCCTGGAACGCCATGCTCTGTGGGCTCGCCGCCCACGGCCTCGGCAGGGAAGCTCTGCAACTCTTCGAGAGGTTCATCTTCGAGGGGCTCTCCCCCACGAGCGTCACCTTCGTGGGAGTCCTCAACGCCTGTAGCCGCTCGGGGATGGTCGAAGAAGGTCGTCGGCATTTCAACTCCATGACTGAACTTCATGGGATCAAGCCGGAGATGGAGCACTACGGCTGCATGGTGGACCTACTCTCTCGCGCAGGCCTCGTCGGAGAAGCTCTCGAGTTCGTCGCAGGGATGAGCTCCCCGCCGGACCCTGTGCTTTGGGGGACCCTCTTGGGGGCCTGTAAGACTCACAAGTTGCACCATCTTGGGGCCTCCATTGGCCGGAAGCTGATCGAGATGGAGCCCTACCACGACGGGCACTACGTCCTCCTCGCCGGCGTGTACGCGCAGGCCGGGAGGTGGGCCGAGGCCGGTAAGGTCCGCCGGCTGATGGGTGGGAAGGTCGCCGGAAAAGTCGCCGGCTGGAGCCTGATCGAGGCCGGCGGGAGAGTCCACCGGTTCGTCTCCGGCGACAGAACCCACCAGCGATCTGCAGAGATTCGAAAGACCATGGAGATAATCGGGCGGCGCCTGGCGGAGGCCGGGTACTCGCCGGATGTCTCGCCGGTGCTGCACGACATCGGAGAGGAGGAGAAGGTGGCGGCGATCAGCGAGCACAGCGAGAGGCTGGCCATCGCCTTCGGGATGATGGTGGTGGAACAGGGGAAGCCCATCAGGATCGTCAAGAATCTCAGGGTCTGCGGGGACTGCCACGAGGTGAGCAAGATGATATCTGCGGAGTTTCAGAGGGAGATCATCGTCAGGGACGGCAGCAGGTTCCACCATTTTAAGGGCGGCAGCTGTTCCTGCGGGGACTTCTGGTGACTGGCGGCGGCCCATGGGCGGAAGAAAAAGAAGAAGAAGAAGAAGAAGAAGAAGAAGAGCATGGAGATCGATCTGTGGAGGAAAAATCTGACCAGAACTGTAAAAACGGTAGAACTTTTGTGCCCAACCACCAAAAGGAGACGAAGCCAGAGATCAGATTTTTATTTATTTATTCATTCTGTAAACACGCCGGCGATTAAGGCGATGCAGTTGGCATCAGAGAAGAGCCCATTGAAGGTGAAAGGATACGATGAAGAGAACGGCCATTATTCTTGATCGGTGATTGGTTAGACAGAGACAGAGACAGAGACAGAGACACAGACAGAGACGGTCGCCGGTTCCTCCTGAAATCACGACAGATTAAGTAAATAAAACGTATTAAAAATGGGAACGGGAGTGGAGGTGCGGGGAATCGAACCCCGTGCCTCTCGCATGCGAAGCGAGCGCTCTACCATATGAGCTACACCCCCGAATTTGTAATAGGCTCAATGAAAATTATCTTAACCAATTGTATAATATAACGGCTCTCTCCACCCTTTTATAAACGCATGCGAGAGAGAGAGAGGAGAGAGAGAGATTTGAATGAAAAACCGATCCTTTGCCTTCCCCTGTCCTGGTAACGCGCAAACCGTTCTTCCGGAGAGAGCAACCCCTACCACTCCCGCGAAGGCTGAGTCGACGCAGCGGCTTCTCTCATTCTTCCAGCCTTCGGAGGAGGAGGGGACCACGATCTGTCTTGGGATTTGAATATTGCGTTCCCATCGTAGAGCCCACTCGTTCTAGTTGATCACTGGTTTCTTCTAGGTTACTTCCGATTCCTCGATCTCTGGCTTTGCCTTGAAGACTCAGCGGAGGAAGGTCCGTCCTCTGTTGGCACGTCATCTGATCGGTCGCAACGCCATGGATCTGCCCCTGGAGACAGATGAGTACATCAAGGAGTCAATTGAAAACTCGTTGGGGCTTCTTGTTTCCGATAAGACCCTACATTTGAAGCTTCTTGTCTCTGAGGACGAAAGGCGGCGCCTCCAAGACAAGATTTTCACTCTGCAGGATCATCTTGCCGAGGCGGACCGGCGACTCGAGCGCCACAGGGTCCGGTCTCTCACTCCCTAGAAGTTTCGTTCGGTATCTTTGGTTATCTGCTTCTAGGGTTTTGCGTTCGATCCAATTTTTACAATCGTATGATTAACCAATCTATTTCTTTCATTACTGATCAGGCAGAAGCAAACATGAACGCTCAGGGGCTGAAACGATGCATTGAGGAGAAGGAGGCGATGTCGTCGAGGTACTCCGAGTTGTCTAACCACTGCGCCAAGTTGGAGAAGGAGTGCACATTGTATGAACGGGATATTGAGAGGTTGATGGACTCCTGTGACGACTTGGCGAGGGAGAACGAAGAACTAAGAGCGCAGCTGAGGGAAAATGCGGTGAGCTCACTTCTTGATCTTACCTTGCGTGCATTTTTCTTTGAATGGAAAATAGGGCTGTTGAGCTTCCATCCTGATCTCTAATTTTGGTGTTTCTTGAAAGAATGATAAATGCTCTTGCTTTTGGCTCGAGTTTGTTTGCCGGCATCTTTACTGATATCAAGAAGCAATGAGATGTTCCCCTAAAAGTTCCTCACGTTGAAACAAAGAAGTTTTCGACCAACATTATCCAATGTGTAGCACATAGTTAATCCCAGGGGATAGAAATTTTGTTCTTCTGCCCTAGGGAGGAAATACTCTCTTGAAAAACAAGAGGGGGAAGAAAAATCTGGATACCGTATGTGTCGACTTATGGAGAACTTCGGTCTTGAGCTGATGGTCATTTCCATTGAAGAAGGTGCAAGTGAATGTATAGGAAAGTGATCATTTTCTGGAGAGAATTTATACAGCATAGTGGGCAGCATATTGGGTATCATACTGTAAATTCCTGCAGGTGCAAATATAAATGGATAAAAAATAAGCATTTTCCAACGACGCTGACCCTTTTGTATTAGAAATCCTGCGTGAGAATATGGGACTAATATTTAGTAAACATTTGACAAGTACTCTTGAGGAAGATCATATATTCGTGCATTGAGCTTACCTCTTTTTTCTAGACGCTCCTCCTGATCTTAGAGGAACCTTGAGAATTTCCAGATGGTGAATTCAAAACTGAGACTAAGGAGGTAGTTTCTTACGCTGTAGTTGGTTGCACTGAACCTTCAATCAAATCCTCTCCTGCAGAGTCTTGTTGATATTGGATTTTGGGGTCCATTATTTGGATCTTCCCAACTCTAGATCAATGGGATAGGGCTTTTCATTCTGAAATACTGGACTCACTTTTGAATCTGCCTTACATTCCTTAACTTCTGTTACTTCTTCCCAGACAATAGAGCAACCTAACGAAGATTTGATAATAAATCATTTTAATTTGATGAAATGGGGCCCTTTGAACTGCTTATACGGACGATTAGCTGCCCACCAATTTTTTTCCGGGTTTCCTCTATTGTTGGGTTGTTTTTCCTTACTCATTTATTTTGAAAATGAATGCATCATACAGGTTACTACGTTGGTCTCAGAAGTGGAAACTCTGAAAAAAGATAAGGAGCATCTGCGGATTAATCTTAACAGAGCTGAAGAGGAGGTACGACAATAGAAAACCATAACATCAGTTATTCAAATGCTTGACACAAAAAATAACTCTTAAATATCTGCCTGATCTAAGGTCAAAGTTCTTTTCGAAGAAAACAACATTCTGGATGAAGAGAACAAAAGGTTGCTGAAGCTTTTAAACAGAGAGCTTCATAGCCAGGGGTCTGGAAGCAAATACTCAGCTATTGCTCCTGCCAAGGTGAGGAAGACTGGTCTCTCCTTTCTCTTCTCCCTAGGGTAATATGCATTGATTTTGAATGTCGTGCATTGTTACTTTGGCCTCCATATTCATGAGGTCTTCTAGAAGATTAAGGTGGAAAATAGACAAAATATGGTTGATGTGGTCCATGGATCCACATGCATATTAGAATCCCATCGAAGTGAATAAGGGTGGTTACAAGTCCTAAATCGCGATGATTGACATTTTTAGTTCTTATCTTCTGTCTTCTTTTCTGTGACTACAGATCATCTAAAAGTGAGTGATGGTGATCTCCTTGGTTGGATCATATGTTGTAGCATAAATATTTTTGATATCGTTGTTAAGGTGCATGCTGGATGCACTTAATATTCACGATGGGTTTATTATTTCTGGGATTATTTGTGAATTCTTAATCTTAGAATTCTCATTTTGATCGCTAATCGAGTCGTGTTTAAAATGTTTTTCTATCTGTATTTATATAGCTGCAATTTATATAGAGGTTAAGGTGCATGGTGGATGCACAGAGATTTATGTGCCTTTCTTCTCAACAGGCTTTGGTTTCATTTTTTTTGGTTTCTTTTATTCATTCTGTTTTCTTTTAGCAGACATCGATTCAATGATTTGATACTTTTTCAGAGAACCCGTGGAATGTATAAACATGAAACGTGCATTTAAGATCTTTGTAGAGAACGGATTTCACCTTTACTAGACGATCTGCCCGACTAACTAGCAACGAGGCTGCTTTTCCCAGTACCTGCATCGTTGTCAGCTTTGCATATTTAAGGGTTCATGCTGTTCTTCAAAGATACATGATTCATTAGGGTGTTCTACACGGTGGCCCCATCCGTTTTTTATTTTTGGCATCTTCTGTATAAATAAATAATCCTTCTGGATGTGAAAGTTCTTCTTCTTAGTCGTTAATATTTAGTAAAGTTACTTATCTTGAAAATCACAAGATTGTCAAAGGGTCGGATATAGATTAGGAGTGAAGGTGATAGATAGGACAAAGTATTTTCAAAGGGTCGGATTCCTAGGCGTTTTGTGTAGCAGGGTAGCCATTTTTTTCTAATCCTCTCTCTCTCTCCTCCCACACGTGTAAAAGGGTGGATGGGGACGGGGGAGAACAACTCTGATGAAAAAAAGATGGGACAAGACAGATATTGGCTGGGCTTGTGAACGGGAAACTCGGGGATCTTCCTCCCTGAAGTCTGAAAGAAGCTTCTTTTTCCTACCTCAAAAGAGTCGGAAAACACCTTTTAAAGAAGTCTTCGTAGAGTAAAGGATAATTTGTGAAATTTTATAATGATCTCATCACATCTCATTTATGGGTATTATTTTGGAAATTTTATATTCCTTTTGTTGCAGGGTAAACGGAAGTCTAGCCCTTTGGAGAAGGCGGTAGAATTCAATGGGACAGATCTGTCGAGGCAGCCATTGTCACCTCTGCAGCAGAATTCTCCTGACAGTAGGATGCATAAAAAGTAGTCGACCGAGTAAAATTCTCTTCAGAACTATCGCAGCTCGTGGTAATCAGCTGACTTGCCATTCTTCTGAAGTAGGGAAGGTGTTATAATGCTGACACCAAGTTGATACTTGGCAGAACTGGCCTAGATATCTTCTGTCTTGGAATCTTTTGCAAGCCATGCAAGATATAGATATATGCTAGGTTTGGTAATTCACATGTGAATTGTCGTCATTTGTTGAATGAAAATAATGCCTCATGCTGATCTTTGCTAGGAGCACTAGCAATTTCCCTTTCGGCGGTTGATCAAATATTGAAAAATTCCTTATTTTGTTGTTGTTGGTTCCTGGACGTACATGGTATGAAGCATCAAATTTTGCATATGGATATACCTATCTTGATCCAGATATGAGATTGCCGTTTATTTTTTGTGTATTGACAGTCTTCTAAAAAGGTTTTTGACCCTTGAGAGAAATTCTGGATTTATACTTTGGGTAATCTTTTATCTATTTATGTCATTTCAAATCCTTCAAAATACATAAGTCAATCATAAATAATATTAAAATGGCTACCAATGGGCATTAATCATATTGCTGTTGTGTGAATCGATCTAAGTGTAACTAAGTCTACATCCAAGTTAATGTAGATAGATTATTAAAGGATATCATTGAAAAAACAATTTATTGAGATGGCAAAATGGATATGCTTGGGCTCCTACATGCCTAGGTAATAATCTAAGCACTTGGATATGGGTTTATATAATTATGAATGTATTTCTCATTAATTAGGTGCGATACATTTTCTTCACCGATAATTCATCTAAAAAAATGAAACTCAATGACCCGTTCGTTATCAAATGCTTGTTATGTGTACAATATTTTTTTTGTTTTCAATAGGTAAATAATAGGAATTTAACAAAAAAAATGATTTTAAATTTGATAAAGATGTTTATACTTCAGTTTATTTTTTGTTGATCTACGATATACAAACTTTAAAAACAATAAAATTATTATTTTTATAATTAAATGTGACAAGAATATGTGCTAAAACCTTGCAACAAGGATTGTTAAAATTGCACATCATGAACACAACATTTTACTACTTTTCTTGTGTGGAAAGTTGAACTCACCATTTACAAATAAAATCAGTGTTATCCGATGAGAATTTTGAAGTGGATGTTACGCTGGTTAGCTCCTCAAATCACGCTGATAAATGAACTTAGCCCCACAAACGAACTCGCTCTCATTCTTTTTTTTTTGTATATATTATGATATTACATCGTGTGTTATTGTTGTATCTTGACTAAATTCAAGTTTTTTGGGCCATCCAAGTGTTGGTCAAAGAGAATCAGGCAAACTATTGATGGATTCATGAACAATCCTAGATTTCTTAGTGCGTAGGAAGAGGGAGTTCCTATGTTAGTGATGCAACTCCTAAGTAGTCTCTTCCTTAGCCACGAGTGAGAAAGTGTGAAGTTTTTGCTAAATCGTGAAATGACAAAGATCTAGCTTATGCATCAGATGTTGGCTTAGACCTGGTTTTTATGCTGACACATAGCTGAGGACTAGCAGTAATGGGCATCTTGCAATTGCTCTAGTATGGCCACACAATATCTTGTATTGCTGTCCTTAGAAAGAATTCCATGCGATACTCTTAGACACTGCACGTGGTTGTCTCTTTTAGTATAGGCTGGTTGGTTGGGTGGTGTTGTATCAAACGGCTTCAATGCTCACATGCCCACACCCTTGAGCTTTGAATGCTTCAGGAATCGAAAACCCAATTGACCACGCCACCGGTTCGCTCTCTTTCCCTAGCCGCTGAAGGAGAGAGGAATTTCAAGGCTGTTCTCCTCCCTCCAGTGCGCTGTGGATGTGGCTTCCAACCGTTAAAAAGGCGAGGAGGAGCCATTGAGAGCGTTCGAAATCATGGTCCAAGATCCGATTTCCCACGATAGTAATTCATTCTCTCTCTCTATGTGCTTAGAAAGAGGGAGTTTAGATTCACGCATTAGTCGAGTCCCTCGTTCAATGTACTTCGAAATCTTCGTAATGGAGGGGGCTGGACAGGTGGGGGGAGCCACTCAGATGAACTGGAAACCATGGTCCCCGGAAGAAGGTAACGTATTCATGCTGGAAGGCTCCGGTGACTCGTCCGGCGCCGTCCACGCAGCTTTTTAAGTGGGGAGCCATCTTAGGCGGCTCCGGTGCCCGATGACCGCCGTTGACATGGGTTGTGAAAACGACCTCAAAGCAACTGCTGACAAGTACGTGTGTGAGAGACGGCCGCTTGACAGCCAGGATATGGCTACCATAGACATTAATTCTCATGAAGGTTCATCAACTTCAACTTGTCCACGTATTAACGCCGTTGAAATGGACAGATGTTGACCACATTAACCTTCTGTGCTGCTTCTTGCGACCTAATCCTTCATATTACCGTCTTTCCACGGCAACACATCTCTCTCTCTCTCTCTCCCCTTCTTTTTCTATATATAGTATGGGAACAACCTCATCTCCTTGCGTCGCCTAGCCAGCTGCTCTTCAAGGCTCTTCCTTGTTCCGTGCCAGCTTGTCTACATCGCTCATGGCGCAACTTCGAGTTCTTCCCATCATTGTCCTCCTCGCCTTGCTCTTGCCCCTGGCGACCACCACCGGTAAGAACTTCCATTCCCCAAGCGGGCAATGCATCTGAATACGGCAAGAATAATGTTTCCATCGAAATTCGGTAATGTTTCTCTTGATCTGATGCCGTCCATCGCTCTTGATATCGTAGAAGCTTCCCGGGAGTTGACGCAGACAAAGAACTTAGGAGACAAAAAGTTCTTCTTCTTCTTCCCGAAATTTTGCTCAGTGCTGAACACAAACACCACAGGGCACTGCCTCTTGGTGAAAAAGTTGTGCTTTTACGATTGCCTGAACAGCGGCTACCACGTGGGATACTGCGGCGGCTTCGCATATTCTGACTGCTACTGCGCCACGGTCTGCCCGTAGATGCGCACTCAAGCCGCCCATGCAACAGAGGTCTGTTGTCGTGTGAGGTTGCGCGTGTGTAGCTTGTGTGAACATCTAATAAGTGATGTTGTCACGTGTGGTTCGATTGTATGGCAGCGTGTGAGGGCCGGCGTGATAATTTGTGGTTATTACATGAAATGGGTCCAGTTTGGACGGTCAGATTCGTTGTCGGTCGCCTTACCCACAAAGGGTAGCGTCCAGTTGTATTTTTGGGTCTATTAAATAAAGATAGTTATATGTTTTCAATAGATTTTACTGTCTTATTTTAATATTAGTCCAGTGGGTGATGACTATGGGTTACAATGCATGGAGTAAACAACAACCTCACCTTGCCCATGGTCGTCTATCTACTGGCGCTTGGTCCCCCTTGCGCTCTCTCACTCTCTCTAGGCAAATAAATAAATAAATACGTCTTTTAATGTGTTTTATGTACTTGGCTCAGGACTCCAGCTCATTCTCTGGCCTTCTGTCTACGCCTCCGTTGGGTCTAGAAGTTGTCAAATACTTGTAAATATGGGCTGGGCTTGGGAAGACGTGAGTGAATGAGACAGCCAATTACATGTATAGTAAGCCGGTGAAGACTATCAAACCAAGACCATACGATTGTTTAATGGCTCTAGGAATAATTTTTGATTGAGTAAAGTATGTTTCCACAATAATAGTAGAAAATTAATGTATAGGTGCTCTAAAAGTGCAATGCTGATTGTAGAATGATATAAATAACGTTAAAATAGAGAACTATGCAGTTTAATCCAAATGGGGAGTGATTGATGTCCAATGACTATGCATTACTTTAGAGATTATGATTAAGCATAAATTAATGAATCGAAGATGAGTAATAAGGTTTTGAAAGAGAAGGGGAGAGGGATGGATAGACTAATTATGTGACCAATAAACTAAGTGATCTAATTTACAATGCTGAATACAGTGGTCAAAGTTTTCATGGTGCCATCATGAATAGTCAATACTGGGAGTATTGTCTAACTATTGAGTTTCGTAAAATATCTTCATTGACTGGTGAACCTATAACTGTCCTTACCAGAGTGTAGAGACCTGACCCCGTATCACTAGTTTGTTTGAATCCCGAGTAGGCCTTGGTGTGAATAATGGTTGTGTTCCAGGTTTCACGCCAAATCATATGATCCTTTAGGGAGGCTCACCCACCCACGTACCCAGCAGGAGGTTTTATGAAGGGTGAATGGGAATGGGGTCAGTGCCGCAGAGGAACAGGACATATGATCGATATCTATGGGAAATTACAAAATATTAAAAAGACCACAGTATATTTTTTTACAATATCAGTAAAGAAATTCGCAACCTTCTCAATTCAACAAGTGTTTCTTATGAGGAAGGTATGGGATGGATCTGCCAGCAAGGAAGTTGACTAGTCATTTGGCGGGCTAAGACTGACGAAAGCCCACTTAAACTTGCGAAATGTTACTCCCAAGATCCGCACAAAACAAAGTGTGGGTAAGGAAGAATAAATCAACCCAAAACAAAGGCACCGGCACACAAAAAAATAATATGGTTCAAAGGTCGGCCTCTAACGGCCACAGACGACGACGGGAAAAACTTAACTAAATGTTGAAAATGAAAATGTTTACAAAAAAATTCTCACCGTGAACCCAATGAGTAAATTCTTTATATTGGCCCTCAAGACTCTCACCAGAACCCAACCTGAGATCTCCACGTTAGAATCTCTCCAAGAACTTTAAAAATGCGTTAATAGGAAGGTGAGACGGGCCCTCTGTTTATAGACACCTCGGAGGACCTTGTATTTGTTAGGCGGCTGTTCTTGTTTCGGAAACGTGCCCTTGATTCAGTTCACTCGTTTGAGCCCTTTTCTTGGGCCAAATCCGTCCGTCCTAGTCACAGCTTACTTATTGGCCGTTTCAGTTCGTGAGAATCAGTCCACAAATGAGCAGTTTCAAGGGCTATTTTACCTTTATATTTTGCTACCATTCTTTAGTATCAATGGAGTGCATCTGTCACTTCCGCGAAGATGATCTATCCTCGTGCGGACGAAGCCTACAGATTGTGTATGATATTCCCCACCCCCATCCAGATACAGCATCAGGGCTTGGAGTGGCAGGCACGCCGGACGATATAGTATCAGCACCTATGTCAACAGGAAAAATTAGTTCGATGTCATCGAGTTTCGCGATTGTGTTTGGCCTTGAGACCCATCAGTACAGAGGCAGAGACGAGCATTATAAGCCGTTAAATTTTATTAGACGGCAGTGAAGATTATTCTAGCCATTAGATTAATCGGCAAGAAGAAAGGAAGACCCGTATAATTTATGCACATATTTTATTTGGTTCAACTACTGAAAAATATTTCTAATATACCAGAGTTCTAGTCGCATGAAATTACGCTCGAGTGGTTCCCAACGGATGCAGTGGAGGAGTACATGTGGTAATATGCAGCGAGAGGAACATTAGGAGAAGAAAGATGACAGTGAGCATTTGGACGCGCGCCATGAGCAAAGCAAGTTTGAGAAAGGCGAAGATGTCTGTGTGTGTGTGTGTGAGAGAGAGAGAGAGAGAGAGAACCCGCGCTGGAATCCTGTTACACAGACAGGAACAGCCGTAGTACCCGTTTTCATGTGCTGTTTATCATGTTTCTGCTTTGTGAACGTTAATACAAGTTCATACAAGACGAGGACGATATATCCGTCTCAAAATTATTGACGATAACAGTCGTAGATGAACGATCAGTGTGCCGGAACACACGGATGACGGCTGTTGCCCAAATGCCCCCTTCTGCCATCGAATAAAAACTTATCCGGTAAACGAGCAGCAAGAGTAACAGCGAAGTAACAAGGCGGCTGCAGGTGTACGAGCGACATTCCACTGTCAGATTTTGACCGCTAATGTTGGGCTAGGTGGACAGTCAAACCTAAGTGACATCACCTAACAGTGAGCTCGCTTCATCTCTATCCACCTATCTGTCTCACTCTCTGTGTTTTTTTCTTCGTCTTCTTCTTTCCTGTTTGTATCTTGGAAAGTCTTTCACAGTATCACACGAGATCAAAATATCTTGATTTTCTTTCTTAGCGCCACGTAGACTCAGTCACGTGAGAACTGTGCACATTCAAGTTTCATTAATAGTTCTCTGACTTCTCAACTTGTGACTGTAGTTATTGTCCGCGGACCCGACCCTCAATTCTCCATTCGTTCTAAGGGCGGAGTTGTATCAGGTGTAGATAATGAGTGCATATAAGGCTTCAGGACGGATACTAAAAGGCCTGGACTGAGCCCAGCTACCCACAGCCCCATCACGATTCTTCGGAAAACTCCGACAGAGCGAAAACACTCGTCATAGAGCAAGAAACTATAGGGGACAATATCAAGAACCTAAATCCGGTAAATGACGAAGCGGTTCTTGACAGAGATGAGATTTATCAAATCGCCCGATCAAAGAGAAATGCTATTTTTTGTGCAACTAATAACAATATATTAACTATGCAAAATTCCCAAAGATGTATGAGCACTTTTGCAACTCTAATTCAAGATTGCTTTATAAAATCGTAAAGCTGTCTCAGAACTTCTTTCCGTTTGGTATAGGGTAGGTTCTAGTATGAAAATCGTCGACAACTGTTCTAGTAGTTGGCGGTTCATTTTTCTTCAAGGCGGCATAGGTTGTGGCAAATGGATGCATTGTTAGCAGGACAGTGGCCAACAAAATTAGAGTGGATGGCGGAGGAGATGATAGTGAATAAGGGGCACGGAATGTGAACAAAATAGAAGCAGTGGAGACAGAAGCTCTGGGGATAACTAGTTTCTCTAGCTCCTCTTGTACTTACTTCGTGGCTTCCATCATCAATCAAAATGTTTTGGACGAATTTAACAATAATAATAGCTTGTGAAAATTCAGAGTGCCGTTAAAGGTCAACATGCGTAAAACTTACACATCTTGTAGGATTATAGAAAGAAGTATAGAATTTACGATCGTGAGATATATGTTAGTCAATCGATAAAAGAAATCCTCAGACGCTTCACAAAAGTTAGGCTCCTTGTAGGGTTACAAACAGGACAGCGCCGTCGTTCTTATACACCAGTTATTTAGCATTAGCCACTCAAGTTCTTTTGTACCGTCAAAGGTTGATAATTACCATGCTATGGAAATTGGGCCTTGAAAGCAAAGAGTCAACAAGACTCAAAAGACTAAACCCACTTCAAAAGCATCGTCTAACTTCCTCATTTTCTGAAAAATCATTATCAAATATATCCTCATATTTGCCTAAATGAATACGATAATATGATTCAATTGAGACAATACTGAACAAATGAAAATATTAAATCAGCTCATTTTGTAATTATTAAAATCGTTTCATGGTGATCAATAGCATGATTAATAATTTTGAATGATAAATGAGATTTCATCATCAACGTGATTCCACTAGAATATGGCCTTGTCATAATCACTCCTTTAGGTGTATTCAAATAGAAACAATCTCAAGCATCGAGTCTATTTATCGAGTCCAGCCCAAACTGGGACTGATCTAAATGGGATTTATGATGCCCCTACGATTCTATTTATCGCACACTGATGGTATTAGAGGAATAGATAATTTTAAGATCTTAAAGCTCCCGGCAACCCCCAAGCGCCGGGCGTCTCCAGTCCGTTGGCCTGGGCCAGGCAGGACTTGGAGCTTGTTCTGCCCCTTCACATCCTTACCTGTTTTTGTCCAGGTAAATGAAATCGCCGGCTAACATGGTTTTTAAGCTTAATTTTTAGTTTTATTTTGAACCATAGTCCAACAACGTTCTATCCCCTTGAGGATAAAGCCCACTGCTTCTACACGATTTCATGTATCAAGATAGGAGACGCTTTGACGAACGACAGAGATTTTAAAGCAAAGAAACTTATTCCACAGACTCAAGACTCGACCGACGACATGTCACCGACAAAGGAGACTATAGAGGAGGAAGATGACGCATACAACACGAGGTTGTTGATTACAACAACACGCTTATTTAGTTCTCGAGGACGCTACAGACGGAACCACTGAGCTCCCATCCTCACCAGGCAACGAGCAAGCCATACCGGGAACAGAGATGAGGGGGGTTGCCAGTCAGCCCTGGCCACTGACTAGACTGGGCATCGCTTGTAACAGATGCATCGACGGGGAAAAATGCCCCGGCAATCTCCCTTAAGGTAACCCAAACTTCTGCACCTCTGTATGCATGTCCGATCAATTATGCAGAACCCTATGCGCCGGCTGCAGAGCCTCTGGGCTGCTTCCACAATCTGCGATAACTCTCGAGCAGAACCTACGTCAACGGTAAAAAATTAGTGTCAAGCCATCATACGAACTTTTATGAACCCCATCGGCGCAGATAGCGATATTATTAACATTATGCTTTATTTGAGGACCATTAGTTACATGTCAAATGATCAATTCAAAATATGGAAGAACCGTGTACGCACAGATTTAGTTTAGTTCAAGTACCAAAGATTATTCTAATATGCTAAAATCCTAGATATACGAAATTACTCCCGAGTGGTCCCCAATGGATGGAGTGGAGGATTACTTGTGGTACTGAGCAGCGAGATGACCATAACGAGCAGGAAGACGATGGGGAACACTTGGACACGAGCCATGCGCAAAGCGAGCTTGAGGAAGCCGATGATGATGGAGAGAGAGAGGGAGAGAGAGAGATGGGATGAAGAGAGTGGACATGCTGGGGCACCTATTATATAGACTGAAGAACAGATGTATTACACTTCAACATGCGCCGTTTGATCATCTTGAGGACGCCTTATTGATGGTTTTATGGAAGATGTCACTTAATCTACGTCGTCGGCATTAACGTTGATAGCAGCCTAGGGTAATGGTCAATTCGCCCGGCGGCACCACGCCGGTACTGCGGTCATCGAGTCTAGCCAATGGGCAGCTAGAGTGCCGGTGAACAATAGAATCCGATACATGGATAAGGCCAGCCCGTATTGACATTTTGATTAGACTCATTTAGTGCTATGTGGATAGATAAGTACTCAAAATTGAGGACGACTTTACCGTTCCCCTACACCTCAGTCCATCTGTATTTTCTATTGTCTCCTCCCCGACTTCTGCATCTGTATTTTTATTCTTCGTGGCATCTAAGTCAATGACAGTGAAAGGAAGATTGTGCAGACTCGAGATTCTAAAGTACTATTGTGACTAGTCAAATTTAGAATGAGGATATCTCTACTAGGATGAACTAAATTCCTAAATTTGCCATTTTTTTTTGCGCTGACGTATGGTTCGGCGTGAATACATGGGGCTCTGGGCAGATCCTCCTAAGCCTGGGTCGGCCTAGCCCGGCACATCCTCAGCAGGAGCCGCTTTGGTAGGAAAGAGGGGCTTGATCGTCACTCGGGAGGGACAAGGAACATCAGGTAAGGGGCCCATATCGGGCAACAATCCGATCCGGATATGGATCTGATTGGGCATATCGACCAATCCCAGAGAAATTGTAATTGAGGGAAAAATAATAATAAAAAGGATATAAGCGAAACGACCGATCCCAAAACAGCAATTTTTCGTCTTCTTGACACGAGGACCAGTTGCTAATGACTGGATTAGCAGTGATTCAGTGCGGATGGTTATGACAGAGATGTGGCAGATAGAAATAAATCGGAGGAATTGAACCTAACACGGAGGTATGGGATGAGCTGGCAATGTATGATGTTAGGAAACAATATGCTATGAGGGAGTGCACTGGGTGCCAACTAGGAGGATATCTGTCTATATGGATATGTATTAATTGACATTGTGCCTACGTAACAGTACTATAGCTCTTAATCATGTAATCCCAACCTGACTTACATGTCACATTTAGATGAATGATTTTTTGAGAACGTTAGAAGAAGCTCAAATTATTGGAGTTGTTGGGAATGATCTATCAGTTCCTAATGGGCTCCAAGGGACTTTTTAGTGTGTACGTGGTTCCAAATCCATGGCAGTTAATAGTGGGCCAAGGGGCAGTGCCCCCTATGCGGAGGTCTCAAGGGAGCCAATGGCCTCAGAGAAAAAAATTGTTCTCCATGTGACTAAAAGTTTTGATCATCAGACTTGTTATTAATGTATCTACTACTCAAATTCTGAGCACATTATTTATCCTTATAACTTAGAATCAATGCGTGATTAATTGAGTGGCTTTCACAGCTAAATTAGTTGTTACTCTAAAGAAGTCTAAGATGAAGCACAAAATATTTAATCTTGAAATAAGGCTAAGATCTTAGTGAGGGGTGACAAAAAGATGATGTGTACTTTTCGTTGTGTTTAAATACCTATTATCTCATAATATTTATAACTTAGACTTAGTAAAATATTACTATAGATGTAAGTCTCATGTTAAACACAAAGAGATTGATTAATCACTATGTAACATTTTTAATATTTTGTCACTATTTAACAGAAATAATAAAACAGAAGGGTGATGTGAGAAGAATAAAGGAAGGGAAGTAGAGAAAGAAAAGAGGAAAAGTGAGAGAAGAGATCTCTCATGAAGGAGAGGAGGATAAAAAGAGGGAGATTGATCGAGAGAGAGTGAGTGAGTGAGTGAGTGAGTGAGAGAGAGAGAGAGAGAGAGAGAGAGAGAGAGAGAGAGAGAGAGAGAGAGAGAGAGAGAGAGAGAGAAAGAAACAAGATGATAATAAAAAGAGAAAAAAATACGATCAACCCATTTTCATAGTGACCATGATTCTCAAGTGAATGTGTACTTGATAATTCACACACATCACATGAGGCCAGTAGTGAATGTCTCCACCTTGTTTCAATAGTTCAACAATCATTAATCAGCCTTTAATCTTGTTGATTTCACATTCAAAAATAGAAAAATACATGTTATTCATAGAATATTGGGAACATAAATACTTTGAGATTCAACTGTGAAAAGCAGTATAAAATAAGCTGGTTACGATCTTTGCTTGATCTTAGATAAGTTTTGAAGGATTCAGAAAAGAAACAAAGATCATTCATCAAGATTGAAATTAGTTTTACTCATTTCAATTGAAACATACATGAAACGAAAATAACTTGTCATCAAATGTAAATAAATACTAAAAGTATGTAAATAAATGAAAAAAGTAGGAAATAAATCATTGCCCAAGTTTAGTTTACCTCCTAGGCAATTGAAGATATTGGTGTGGCGGCTTGATTTTGTCCAAATGTGTCACACCATGCTAGAAGTTAGAGAAGTATTGTTAGGAAATGTTGTACTACTTGTTAAAGAGATTTATCAAAAAGAAGGGTCGGTCACGTTATCACTATCGTTTGAGGGAAGAAAGGAAGAGCTGACTACTCATTGGAGGCCTTGAGCATAGTCGGGGGAGGAAGAAACAAGCTTGTCAATTGCTAGAGGTGTTGATTGTGCAAAAGGAGGAAAGAATAGATACCATATTTATGACTACCATCAGGTTTTTAAAGATAATTGATAATATTTATTTTACTAGACAATAATCAATTATTATATTTATATCTCTCATGGTGATATATGTGAGAACTTAAGTTTCCAGTATCATGACGCTTTGCATGCCACTAGATCGTATATGCTTGATTGTGTGATGCGCTAAGTGAGGTAGGATTAACCTGCCATGAACCGTTGCTAGCCAAAAATTTAAGTGCATGGTACCATGATGCTTTGCTCATCATTGGATCACCATTTCTAGTTATGTGCATGTTGAGTGACATAGGATTCACAAATAGTTGATGGATTGATTTATGCTTTTGGTATCATGGCAGTCTACTTGTTGTGGGATCTCCTGTATCTGGTAACGTGGCTTGTTGAGCATTGTTGGATCACATTGCGCTCTAGACTGTTGCCTTAAAACAAATGAGATTTAGTCCCAAATTGGGACCTTTTAAATAACTGAGCTCAATGTATATAAAAGTTTGGTTTTATGTGTAGAGAGACCTCTTCTCTCGAATAAAATAATACCTAGGACTATCTTGGGAGAAGGTAATAGGTGGTTCATCTTTGCATGCACATGTATGTACGACGCTCTTTGCTCCACAATTGGTTGGCCCTCAAGATGCAAGTGATGCACACATGTGTGAAGTGAGCCCTTAGCCACTTGTGGTTCCCTCAGTTTGGGTCCACCCACTCGATTGTAGTGCCTCTTTGGGTCAATTGTCGAGTGTCGACTTGCCAATAAGTGATGATATATTTTTATTTTATCTTTATATTTTTTAAAATAAAAAATTACCCTATCTTAACTTTAGACTTCCAAATTTATCAATATATTATTATAATTATTTTACAAGTTAACACAAAAATAAAATAATAAAACTAATTAAAACACAAAAATCTAGCTTTACCATAGGACATTGTTGAGATATGGTCATACCTTATGCCAATTGGGCCACACACCATTCCAACAAATAAGAGTGAGAATCTCCAAAATCTCAACTCTTTTAGATTATGTCGGAGGACATTTTTGTAAATTACTATGGGTTGAACACATTGTGATTGAATCCATAATTAAGGCTCCAATTTTGTCAAGTTTGTGTTTAATATTGGTGGCTCTGTCCCTCTTTCATGTCATAAAAGTCTTGAAGATGTACCCCTGTATCAGTTTCCTCTCCATGTCAATATCTATCTCTCGATCATCTCTGTTAATCATTATCCTTGACCACTTCCCCAAGGTTCTTTTCTCTTGGTGTAAGGTCTACTTTCATATTGTTTAGGGTAGGTGCAACCCTGATATAATATTGAAGCAGTCCACCAAATCATAATAAATTGTTAAAATTATCAAATCCTATTTCATATGAAGTTTTTGATACACATTTTACTCATACATTTAGGTAGTCTTCTATTTGTGTCCTTTATGATGAGTAATATTTAATATTCAACATCAGAAAATATTTTAGGCGAAAATGTCAGAGTAAATTTCAGGATATACTCGAATTATCTTAGGATTTTCAATGAGAAACATTGTTGTCAGTCTTATTAAAGAGATTACATGAGATTCTGATGATCATCTTCAAATCACGTCATGGATTCAAAATATAGACTAAGTGACATATGTCGAAATAAAAGTTGAATCCTCTAAAATATTTGGTTACTAGTTCATGGTGTGAACCTTCCTAACCTCCCTTCCTAACGTTTTCCTGATTGTTTATGTATAGCAATGTTTGATGAGAACTATGTTGACTTCTCAACTATTAATAGAGGTTAATGGCATTTGTGGATGTGAGCTAAATTTACCACATTTCATATGATTGGAGGAAGGTCCTCTCAACTATTAATAGAGGCTAATGATAGTTTTTTTTTTTAGGAATTTATTTATTTTAGTTTATCTTTGATTTATAACTAGGGTAGGCTTGCAGTTCACTTATTTTCAATTTATTTCGGATCTTTACTTCAAATATTTCAAAACATTCTCCAAGTTAATAGAATCTACTCTATTGAAAATTACCCTTCCCATCTTTCTATGTCACAATTTCTAAACTATTTTCTTCGATTTGTGATTTAAACATCTCTTCATTATAACCTTCCATCTTATCTGAAGATATTCAAAGAAATAAACATACAAAGTTAATTGGTAAAGGAGGCTGATAAGTAATGAAGAGACGGTTTTATCATTAACCTTATCCTATTTGGCTTTTCTTCTTTTCC